CTAATAATCAATGACTCTTCTGGCTCCTGGAAAAGCCATGTTCCAGCTTCTTCCTTCTGGCAGAAGATAACAATATATAACAATAGGATAACAGCTTTTATTAGTTTAAACAAAGCTTGCATTTTTTATTTAAACAAAAACAAGTAACGAGGGGGGCACAACCATAGACTGTATACATTAACGGACGCAGTCACGCCTATCTACGCCGTTCTAACTAATTGGCCAAAAATTGGGCTCTCATGGAGTGATTCAAAATGGCCGTGGGGGCTGGAAAATGTGAAAAAACGCATCTGCGCCCCATTCATTTAAACAAGTGATTTCAAAAATTCACAGGGAGTAAACTAGACTGGTCCAAAAAAATTCACTCCCCTCAGCATTGACACACATGTGGAACGGAGCATTGGGCCAAGAGTCGACTTTTGGACCATCCTGTAAAGACGTTTTCGAGAGGTTAGAATATACGTACAGTACATTTGCATTGAATAATGCCGGGTCCAGCCCTCTGGCCCAGTGTGGCATTGCAAGCATGTCAGCGCCCATTTCGGCCACTTTTGAGCCGGGATCCGCCCCCACTGGGCACACCTGGGACGCCAGACAGTGCCCTGTGGAGGTGTAGTGGGCCTAACATCAAAACAACTGTGACGACCCCAGTGACGCTTTCAACCCCCCCCTCCCCATAAGTTGGCATCACTATTGGTACTGATACACGCCGCAAATCAATCAATCAATTTTATCCATAGAGCCTTTTACAACAATCAAGGCAACCCAAGTGCTTTACAATAAAATCACATACAAATCCATTAAAACATTTATGCATTTAAAGTATAAAACAGTTGAAAAGCATTTTAAAAAGTGCCACCGTGCTAATGAGTGTTAAAAGTGTTAAAAACCAGTCTGAAAAAATATGTTTTGAGCCTGGATTTAAAAAGGCCAAAAACAGTAAGGACGCGCATATCAGGGGGCAGCTTGTTCCAGAGTCTGGGTCCAGCGACTGAGAATGACCGGTCACCCCAGTGCTTGGACCTGGTGCTATAGGTACTTCCAGGAGGAGTTGAGTTGATGACCTCAATGATCTGCCTGAGTCACATAAGTCTCATAAGTTCAGACAAGTCCGGAGGAGCGAGACCATTGAACCTAATGCACCATAATCAAGGGATTGTTCCATCTAGTCCTATAACAGAACTGAACTTTTTTTGTTGATTGACTTTAGGGTGACAATTCAAGATTCTGGTACTTTTTTGCTTCTTTTATTTTATATATTTTTCTGGTGCACAGTGGTGACTTTTGCACATTTAATCCAATGCGTTTTTACTGCAAATGGCAAATACATTGAATCTAAATCTAACTTTTAACGCTTATAATGTGACCATAATATCCCCATAGAATCCTCTCTCGTACCGATACGCTGCTAGTTTTTTGGGGCAGCCCATTGGGATGCATCCAGTGTGCCGCAGTTGTAACCTTGTGTGACGGTGCTAAGATGAATGACTCCCTAATTGAAGTTGCCGGGTGCGTTTGCTTTGTATGTATGGCCGGCACGCATTGTTGTGCTGCTCTCCATTCATTTGCATTAGGCGGGCGTAGCGGCGATCCTGGAACGGCTGCGGCGAACGCTGTTTACAGATCACGCTGATGTATTTGTCTCCCAACTCCGTCCGACAGACAATCAATATTCCAATTACAGGTAGATTTCCATTTGCGTGGCGCAGACCGGAGCGTGCGTCGATGAGTTTGAATGAGGAGTTGTGGTCGTATGTTTTGCTGGTGTGTTTGAAGGAGCGTGGCGAGGCCTGATCTAGAGCTTGCTGGTGGCTTTCAGTCAAGTTCATGTGTCAAGAGTCAAGTTTTGATTCGTTGTGCTTCAACGAAAAGGAATGCGCAACCATGGCACCCGTTTGCGGCACAGAGGATTTACATTTGTTTTTCCCATCTTCACTCATTTTCTACTTGATTACGTTTTTCTGTCTTTCAAATGATATTCAATTCAACTTATTTTTGTATATCAATGAATCCCAACAGCAGTCGTCTTGGAGGACTTTACAAATGTGTTGATTCACAAACAAAAGATCAGAGAATCAAACAGTTCAAACACAGATAATGCATTAATAACAAACACATTGGAGCCATTGGTCTATAGGGAGCAGGATGACCAATGTCCATAAATGTCTCAGATCATCACTGTCCTTAGATCCTTCCAGAAACAGGATGATCGAAAATGTATTGTTTCCAAATGTCCTTTGAATACTCTCCTCAACATGGATACGTGGATAGGCGCTTGCTTTGTGCAATTCATCTCTTTTATGCATTGGCCCCATGCTCAGGTCTATGTGTGTGTGCGCGCGTGTGTGTGTGTGTGTGTGTCTTTCATTCAGCCACTGTCCCTCTGACCTCATCGATGGTTGAGGAAAGTTCTTAATGGGTGTCTGGCACACTTTTGTCCGTGTGAAACCACACAGACACCAGGATTACAGACATCACTCAATATTGTCCTCCTCTTCATCAGACGAACTGTCACGTGTGAGCATGAAAGATTGGAGGCGAGTCTGTTGTGTTGTGTCCTGTTTACAGACGGTTCCAGGAGTTTTTCTAACATTACCTTGCAGTAGCTTCGGTCTATTAACAAAACTACAATTTCTCAAAGACACAAAAGACCTTAATCATTGTGCATTAATGGAATAGTTGCGACGGCACTAATTATTACCACATTATCTTTTCATGCTTATTTTTTATCATATGTACAGCTTTACCTACATTTGAAACCCTGCCTAGTGCCTTTATATAGATCTACTAAGGAATTTGTGTATGTGACAGTTATTGTGAATATACTTTGTAAACGAATAATTCCAAATTATTATTGTTTCATTTTGCTGGTGAATCGACCGTATGCTTGGTGCTTTAAATTGTAATTAATTTGTATTGAGTTTGGCATCTACAGTAATAAGTGTTTTAACTTTCAACCAAAACCGTTTCACCCGTTTGTCTATACTTTGTAGACTATTGTATTCTGAGTGAAGAGACTGAAATAAATAAACTAACAATAGTAAGTTAGCAATGTTATTACCTGTTCCCAGGCACATCATGTCAGACTGTACAATAAGTCACTTTAAGTCATTAATACACAAAAAGCACTGCTTTTTGAGAAACCTGTGTGACATAGACCACAAGCCTTTTCATTCAATTGTGAGATAGCACCAACAGTTTCCATTAGTTTACCCACCTTTATGTCCTGTCCCTTCTACTCCATCTGCCCACGTTCTCGCTGACCCTGCCCACTCCCTGTCCACTCCTTCGCACTGGGAGTAAAGTGATCCATGCTCTCGCTCTCCTCTGCATCAGCATATCCAAGGCCTGTTCTTAATGCTCTTGTCCAAATGTGCACACCGCTTCCCTTTGGACTAACAGAGCAATTCCCATATACCCTCCAGCTGTGGCCCACATTAAAACCCCATAGTGCTTGGCTGGCTGCGCTGTATACACTGATGGAGAGTGACGGAGGCCATTTGCTTTGTATTAGCTGCTTTATTTGCGGAGAAGGAGGACTGTGCTCTCACTCCTGACCTCTCTGAATCATCCCCGGTGTTGAGTGGCTATCTGCGCCTCTATCTTCTTCCCCGCGGCTCACATTATCGCTGATTAGAGAAGTGAAGAGTGCAAACATCCATGGGATTCTCCTACTCCTGAATAAATGTTGGTACACAGAGGGGATGTTACCAATCATATGTACGGCTGGTGAGTTGGGATATACCTTTTTAACAGTTTTAAATGTAGTTGGATGTAGAACATTTTTTTAACAGCTCGAGTCGATCATACAGATTAATAAATTGTATACTTTTAAATACAATTTTCAGATAGAAAGGTGAAAAGGCCACTCTCACTCATACTTTCTTACAAGTATGCAAAAGAGAATACGTTTTCTAACAGCTGAAGACGGCATGTTGTGGTCTGCTTGGCATGTCTGATGATGCACAAGACATATTTGGGAGCTAAAATCTTACAAAATTTACGTTTTGTGTTCTAATTTGTTCACAACATTTTACTTTTACAAAACTTCTTGTGGGAAAAGAACAAAATGTTATTTATTAAACAAACAAAAAACGCTTGGTGTGGCCTTTAAGCGCCCATCACTATATTGAAGAAAACATTTAAAGTAACATTTACAATAGAATACAAAAAGTAAGACATCCACCACAGTTATTGGGCTGAACTGACCTTTTGTCATAGAATCAGTGAGTTACCAGTTTGTGACCTTTTGGTGGATAAAAACAAAGATTTAGGTAAAGGCCTTGGGTGGGGTGAATGTTTTCATGGCATTAAAAAAAAGGTTGCATCTACACCAATCTCTTGTTCTGCTGATAATATTCCCCTGTGTGTCATGAAACATATCTATATCTATGGAGTTCTCCTAATTATGAAAAACAAATATGTTTCAACTTCTTTTGAGGCAATTAAAGCAAACAAACAATACATACTTTAAGAGATAAGTATATTGTAAATATAGTAAACTATACATGACTATAATAGTAAAGATAATTTCTGCGTTAGATGGTGAATTTGACAGGACAACTTAGACCAGCATAAGATATTTCCATATAAGATATTTATTTAAATAAAACTATACATGTATGAATAAAATCTCTCTGTACTCGTGCATTACCATCTTCATGTAAATCTGCTGCTTTCTCCAGAGCCATGATGCTATTCTGTTCTGTTCTTTGATGCTATGTTTAGTCTGGTCCTGCCTTTTTCCTCATTACCACAGCTTTGCCATTTCCCTTGTAAAGCCCAAGTGTGCTACATACAAGTGGGCGGGGCATCTCTGAGCATCCTTCTCTCTGATTGGCCCTCCCTCCCGCCACTCTGGCTGCCCACACTCTCTGACTTCCTCTGTCCTCCTTTCCTGGTGCAGCCGGGAGGAGGAGGAGGAGGAGGGAGGGTATGGATCTTAGCCGTGTCTTCATCCACAGCCTGCCTCTCAAACCAGCTGTCCTTGCCGTCCACAGATTCAGCTCTCCTCGGCCGCCTTTGTCCGCAGGCTGCCCCGGCGAGTGCGTGCGAGCGAGAGGGGTGCTGATGGGAGCCAGTGCTTTGGCGGGGGACAGCGGGGGATGCTGAGCGGGGGGCGGGAGGGGCTGTTTGAGCTGGGACAGAGGCTCCAGCGGCAGGGGGAGTACCAGGCTGCCCTCCACTGCTTCCTCAGCTGCCTGCTCGGACTCACCCATGTGCAGAGCTTCACCTCGCTGCCCAACTGCCTCCACCAGGTGAGATCACAGCCTGCTGCAACACCGGCATGTCACAGACGTGGATCAATGCAATACACACACACACCCCCACACACACACACACCCCCACACACACACACATGAAGAGAAGTCGCCTGCATAAGATTCAAACGCACCTCTACATGTGGCTTTCCTCTAATGTCAAGTTTAAAGCAGGCCACTACCATAACACATCTGTCCCAGTGAGTACTAGGCCCATTCAAGTAATCACAACAAAATATGTCAACATTTTAACAGCATTTATGGACATTTTTCAACATGTATGGACATTTATCAACGCTTATGGACATTGGTCAACTCCCTCCTTATGGACCAATACCTATGTGTTCTATTTTCTTTGTGTTTTAACTGTTTAATCTTTGTTGATGATTTCAACGGTTTTGTTAAGTCCTCTACTGTTGTGATTTAGGGCTATGCAAAAATACACTGAATTGAATTGAATCTCAGGTGAAACAATAGAGGTGTGCCTTGCTTTTACCTACAGCCAAAAACAAACAAGACACATATGAGAAAGCAAGGCATCAATTACATTACTTATTTGCATTCATTCATCAACTATAACATATGATAGACAAGGCTGGTGTTTTTCATGAAGTCATTTGGACGGAGATAGGGATTGTTTGCGGTCTTTTGCGCCCCTCGTATAGAGAGTCCTGTTCCCTTTGTGTGCAGCGACAGCGTGGTGAGCTCATATCTAGGTCACTTGTGTGTGTATACGTCTCGGAAATGCATGATCCAGTGGATGCAGATTATATTAATGTTTTAAAAGAGCCTTGATCCAGGGCGACAGGGGAAAAAGGTCTTTACTTCATGGAACGACAACAAAGTCCAAACAGTGCAGGATTTGATGCAAGCCAGAGCAGGAGAATAGCTGAGAGAAGTTTATTTTGAAAGATGGAAAAAAGCCCAATGATTGTTAGTTACAAAAAAGAAACAAATCTTTAAAGCAACCATCTTTGACTAGAATAAATAAGAAATGCTTTCTTAACAGCTGGAAGGACTTATTTTAAACTTAAAGGTATATAGGAGGATTTTCTACTTCCGGGTGGATCATCAAGACTATTGGTCCTCCCAGTTGTCAATAATTTTGGTGACATGTGCTCGTCAAATAAGACCAGAGAGTTTTGTTCAAAGAGCGGAGAAGGTGGTACTTTCCTAAAATTTGAAAAAAATTAGTTTAAAGCTGGGTTATCAAACTTTCAAAACACAAAAATAATGAATTTAGTAATAAAATCAATTTCACCATTTCCTTGCTGTCAAATCAGATTGGTTCTACACTAGTTTTCACAGCTTTTTCAGGCAGAAAAGTGAAAAAATAATCAGACCGCCCTCACTCAGCCAATCAGCTCTCAGCCCAAAGAGTGAAAGAGTGACTAACAGGGCTCAAGTATGCACTAGACAACAAGCTTTTGACTAAGTTGAATACAGAATGGTGTGGTCCAATTTGTTCACAACACTTTAGTTTTACACTAGACTTTTGACTTTGCAAACATTATATAATATTTATGACAAAAAAAGTTAGTTATCCCATCTTTAATAGTTGCTATTGTATATAACCCACACGCATTCAATGAATATGGGATTTCTGACCTTTATAAACTGGTAACAACACAATGTATAAACCATTTTTTGTGCGTTTGCAGATTGCAGAGCTCTTCATCACGGAAAAGAACTGTATCCTTTTTCTGACGCTAACAAAAACTGCCATTATAATGAACTATTATGTCAGACTCAAAGTAAATCGGTCCATATTCCAGTTTCAAACGCCTGTATAAGTCTGGCAGCTCAGATCCTGCTGCAAATGAGGGCAATGAGTCGATGGCGTTGGGGAGGTAGAGAGTTGGAGGGGCAGCTTCATATAAAAAAAACTCTTTGTCCCAGAATGCTGTGCGGTTGTGCTGTGTGTGTGTGTGTGTGTGTGTGTGTGTGTGTGTGTGTGTGTGTGTGTGTGTGTGTGTGTGTGTGTGTGTGTGTGTGTGTGTGTGTGTGTGTGTGTGTGTGTGTGTGTGTGTGTGTGTGTGTGTGTGTGTGTGTGTGTGTGTGTGTGTGTCACTTGGCCCCAGTGTCCGCACCTGTGTTGTCTGTTAAGAGGATTTGCTCGCTCTTATCTCAGCGCAGCAGCTCGGGCTAATTAACCTGGCCATGCACCGGAGCATACATACACACACGCACACACACACACACACACACACACACACACACATAAACTATGACACGCGGGGACATGGGCAGAATTTGGTTTCAGGATATGTTACCCGCTTGTTATAGAGACACTGCCAACACTGTCGTTTTCCACAACAGCTTTGTTTGATAACCATGAGGGACGAGGATGCGACATGAGAGGGCCATCTGTCCTGACAAATGACAAACAAAAGAGCGATGAGTAGTTACATCATCTCATCAATAGTAATGGTGCCCGCAGGTGTCCATAAATGCAACGTGGCTGTGGTTATTGTGATAGATAAGACATTAGGACACAATGGGTGTGAGAGAATACCAATAATAAACTCAAATGTAATGGATCCATACTGGGTTAAATACAGGTCAGGAAGGGAGGAATGTGTGTCGAAACTCTGGCAGAGGTTTACAAAGTGTGGAAGTTTTGAATTCTACATCTACAGTAGGTCCCATTTCGTTTTGTCGTCTTCACTCACGCTTTTCATGAATCACGCAGCTGCGTGAAACATTATTAAGATGTTTAATCTTAATCTTAACATGATTAAGATTAAGGGCTTTATTTTTCTCACAGTGGGGGAATTTCAGTGTTGCATCACAAGTTACAGAACAGTAGAAATGAGGAGCACCCAGCTCAAGATAAACACAACATTTCTCTATACTAAAATATAATAGCTTAAAAAGAAGCCGTGCACACTAGGGTAGTCTTGCACAGTTTTTCCAATGTGGTTTTACTGCAAATGGCAAATAAATGAATCTGAATCTGAATCTGTATCAAATCTCTATCTTTAGCGTTTTAAGGAAAGAAGTCTTAAAATCTCCAGCAAAATGAAGAAGCAAGACTGACTTAAGCATAATAAGGAGCAAGTATAAAAGGCTGTATATTCTAGTGAAAGTAATATATAGTTGTGCCATTCAGGGTGGCACGGCGGTGCAGTGGTTAGGATGTTCTACCCGTGTCTGCTCTGGTTTCCTCCGGGTGCTCCGATTTCCACGACCAGTAAAAACATGTACAATAGATCTGGCATGCGCCTCCTGTGTACAGGCGACCCTGCTCCCATCTCTGTGTGGAGTTAGAGACAAATGCTCACAACAATTGTATCGCGCTTTGTGACTCTGGTCTGTGAAAGGTGCTAAATAAATGAATATTACTTACTGACTTACTTATTTATTGAATCAATCCATTTGGAAAAGATTAGTATTAATGCTGGCGTGTCTAACATTCAAACTACAAAAGGGGAACCAGGTTTTACAATCTTTGTCACTATTTCTTGGCTCTAAAATCACTTGTTTTCACATGGATGTTGTTTTTGGACTCGGCCACGTCTTTAGATCAGATTTTTCATACAGAAAAGTGACAAAAAGAGGACCACCCTCACACCAGCGATAAATAGTCACTCCCACAAGTGTGTTAGATATTGCAAAGTAAGACAATGGTATATATGTTTTAGTTTGAGTTTATTTTTTAATTTCAAGCGGTTGGCAACAAAATACACAATAAGGTCTGAAAAAGGAATAGGCACAAACTAAAGCTTATAAATGCCTACCCTTCAGTGTTCATTTCAGACTGAATTGAATAAGCTGCTACACACAAATCAAAAATGTTTACTCCATTGATCTGATGTGTTCAAAAAATGTACTCTAACAAGACTCTTTCTATTTGGGACAAACAACATGTAACATTCACGAAAACCCCAGCGTTAATCCTATTTAATCATTTATTTAAATCGCAGTTGCCCAGTGATATTATTTATTTATTAATGATGGACTGCCCCTTGAGATGAATCGTCTCTTTTTCGAGGGAGTCCTCATCATCCGTTTGCTCGGCCAAATGGTTATGAAACAAAAAATACATACATGGCCACAGAAACAGACAAGAAAAAATGCATAAACGGTACAGATAAATTAAAAATCTAAAACATGCTCATCCTCACCATGCCCATCTCATACCCTTGTCCCTGTTCGCTCCTACTGGGACCTTGGGTTCAGTTTTATAAAAAAAAAAAAGTTTTTGAAAGCGACTTAAGGTGTGTAACTAAGGCAGTTTTAACAATGGCAAGTGAGGAAATAGATTTTATTGAAGCTTGGAGATTATTTTTAAGCATTTACATTAATATTAGCTTATCATATAAACATATTTTCTTCATACAAATGTGTATTGAGTGTTGAATTTCATGTGCTGCGTTACGCTGGAGCTGTGGATGTGTTTTTGTCAGTGTTTTTCTCCTTAGTACCGTTCGTGTCAGACTGAGCATTCTGTCTGTCAAATCATATTTATTACAATCGTGTGCTTTTGTTAGCTTTCTGGCAAGGTCTTAGAGAGTGTGTTATTGTTATTGTTGCCTGTAGCACTGCTAGCACCATTTTTGAGAGCTGAAGCTAAAACATGAGATGTCTTTTCTACACACTCATATTATTTCACTTTCAAAAACATAAAATTATGCCCCCAAACAAATTATTTATTTGTTTATTTGATAGGGACAATGCACATTAATGAACATCAGTATAAAACTAATGTAAAAATGCCGGATTATAGCTACCAAGCTAGTTTTCATCCGTAGTCCCTAAGCAGGAAAATACACAGGAAATGACAACATACAATACAATAAAATACAAAATAATAATACAATACAGACAGCACAGGGAAAAGTTAAGAGTCTAGTGGTCTGGTTTCTTTTCATACAATCTATGTATATGTTAAAGAGTCTTTCAAAGCAAAAAAAATAACTATAATGAAATCCATCTACTACTCTATATCACTAGTTTTTTCATGCGTGTATTTTTTGGCGTCCGTCACATCTTTCAATCAATCAATCAATCAAATTTTTATTTCTTCTCTTCATCTTTAAAACAGCTTTTCAGGGAGAAAATTAAAACAGAGAAAACCACCCTGACTCAGTCCGCATAACCTGAAATAGTGACTGTGGCTATTTTCTTCTAAGCAAAAGATAACAAGATAAAGACAGCATGTTCTTGGTCTAATTTGTTCACAGAATTCTCTTAATGCAAAACAAAGTTAGATACCCCAGCTTTAACTTTGAATAGCTAAGTACTCTACACCGTGAGCAGCCTGATGTAATGTGTGTTTGCTTTGCCATCACCGTCTGCGATGCGCCCGCCACACGCCCCGTACAACCAACATAACTCTGCACATACACAGAGCTCTGAACCACAAGGTAAATATAGACAGCAGAGGACTCAATGCAAACCTCAGAATAATATCATCAGTCTGAACTAAAGGCTGTCATTCTTCCCTTCTCTCAGTGATGAATCATGGCTCACTGACTTAGACATTTTTTACAGAGACTATTTACTTTGTGATTTCTGGATTTGGAACGTGAAATCATGTCTTTCATAGAAAACATATGGCGAAACAAGTATCAAGGGTAAAAAATACTATACACATGTAACTCCCTATGCAACCACCAGAGGGAGGGATAGAATTTGCTTGTTTTTTTGTTTTGTTTTTTCAAAATTAAAACATTTCTGGCTGCAATTATGTGATTACCAACTGTGTAATGTCACCTGAGTTGTGATGTCATAGGGGTAAGTGACATCATACTATTACAGGACTGGGACAGAAGCTTTTTAGACAGAAGGGGTGGAGTTACCAGTTCTCATTCGGCCAATCTCAATCAGCTCCCAGTTTATAAAAAATAACATGTTTTTTTGGGCTGTGACTGATTTAGTAGTTGATGAATTGTTGTTTGAACCTCACATAGACTTAAACATGCTGAGAAGAGGCTGGTTACAAAGTATGTATGCATGTGTGTATGGTCCTCTTTACCAATGTGTTTTCTAGGTGGATCTCTTGAGCTTTGATTTGGTCAAATGTAGAAAAATATCACATTCATTGATCTTTTTGTATCTAAAGAACTGTTTTCTAATGAGAGAACGGCAAAAGGCAGGTTGTGCTCTGGTTTTGTTCTCAAAATGTGACTTAAGCAAGACTCTTTATGTTGAGACAAACAATGTATGGATGAAACAAAAAAGTTGGATACTGCAAGCTTTAAGCATTTAACCTTTTTGTGAATTCATTAAGATTCCACATTCCAGCTCTAAAATAACTTCTCCCAAGTAGAGTTCTCCCAGGCAGCAACAGCAGTCCAGAGGGAGGGATGGAGGTCAGGGGTCTTAGCTAAAGTGGGTCACATCCATGGTAAACACTGCTTTCTGTCCTTCAGTTGTAGATATATTTTTGTGCATTTTCTGTGAGATCTGTGTGTGTGTGCGATTGTGGTGCGGCTGATAGTGGAGGACTGAGAGCGATCACGGTCTGAAGTTGTGTTATCAGAGCTGGCAGCGCTGCACTGACCTTTGCTCAAAGCCACGCGCTCCTCTGAGTGCGAGGACTGGAGGATAGGCTTCTAGGAATACGCACACTTTTGACTTTTACTGGGGATGAAACGCAGACGCCGAGTTTACCAAATTCTCCAGATAAAAGTTATGGAGGAGTTTGTTCTGCTTTCTGCTGATAACGCAACACCCGAGTAGAAACACATGAGAGAGACGGCGTAAACATTAGTTGTGTGGTCTTTAGATGGAAGGGATGATAATTATACAGTGACCTCACCCCCGGATCAGACATGACATGTTCTGATGCCAGCCTGAGCCCTCACTCCCTTCTCTCTGTGGAGTGAGAGACAAATGCCCACAACCATTGTAAAGCGCTTTGTGACTCTGGTCTGTGAAAGGCACTATATAAATAAAGATTACTTACTTACTTAGCTCAAGCCACAGGCCCAAAACACTCCATGACCATACACCTAACGGTCACCATACAGGGTATTTTGAGTTATTGGGATTGGAGTAAAAAACATCCAACAAAACATTCAAAGTAAACAGTGCTATACAGTTCACTAAGGGGTTGGACGAAGCAGACTCTTATTTGGTTCCAGCCCCTGACAAAAGTCAAAACAACAAAGTGCCGCGCCAAGATTTTAGAAGCGAGCAGTGGGTTTGTTCCAGTGGAGCCAAAATACCTGCGTCATGTTTCTGAATCATCTGTGAATCAAATATTTGCATTAATAGGCTGCGTTCAAGTGCCTATACAAATCTATGGGAAAGAGATATTTTGAATTTGTTAAAAAATATATATATACAAAAAACAAAAAAGATTGTTTGATTGCAATCACCACTTCAAGACACCTTTTTTGAGAAAATTATTAGACTAATTATATTACAAAAATGTGTTGATATGTTCTAACAAAGAGGATGTGGACCTTTGTGACAGTTTTCATGTGGAAATCTGACTTTTAACAGAGATTTTTCAGCTTTCTTCCACCATAATGTTAAACTACAGGCTCTTTGGAATGTTGTGATGTCACGTGAACGCTACCTATTTCCTATTATACTCAGGAAATAGCATTGGGGTAATAGTTAGTTGAAAGTCTATACACATGATTTAGTGGCTTTAGAGAGTGTAAACCAATTAAAACATGGTTAAAAGTTAATTTACCAACTCGAAATATTTTTCAGACATTAATATTCATTTGTTTCTTCACCCTGTTACTCATACAACACATGCACACACTCACAGGCCCAAAACACTCCCTGACCATACCCCTCTCACAAGCCCTAAGGGTCACCATGCAGGGAATTTTGAGTTATTAGGATCGGAGGGAAATGTTAGCAAAATCGTACCCCCGCTCCCTTCTGTCTAATGGTGCTTTCAGACCGGATCATGCTGCGTCGGGTTTCAACGCAAAGTCTATGGTGACGCGCGTTCGGCCGTCGCAACGCACGGACCTCTCGGCACGAACGAACGGACTGTTCAGTAGACACGCACGGACTTGGCGGGAAAGTCAAAAGGGAGGAACAGGAGCGAAAAATCGACGCACACAGGAGATGGATTCTGCTCATTCTTTCCTTGGGACGTTCGTGCGACAACCAATCAGAGAGCAGCAAAGTGGTCACGGGGACATTAGCGGACTGAGCGAGCAGACTGAAAATACTCGTAAACAGCCAAAACAGGACCCACACCAGACTTCACCAGAACTCAAACCAGGGTTGACAATGGGGAACTCTGTGCTTGTGAAAATATGCGTTGTCATGCTCCCGTGACCTTATGCAACTGCTTCGAGTGTGTTCGTCGATGCGGAAATTCCGTTTAATAATATGAAAAAACGTATGCACCTCCGTGAACACATACTACTGTTATATAAAGTCCGTGGAATGTCTGTGAACAAAGACACGCTGCAAAGCTGCATATTGGAGAAGATCTGTACACAAGAAGCCGCTAGCATAGCTCTGTTAGCATCAGAGCCGGCCGGCTACTTCCGGTACTTCCGGCTCGCGTCAGGACGTTCTGGTGTGAAGTCCTCTGCGTCTGAAAACTAGAGAATACGCGTCTGGTGAGCGGGGCTTCAGCGTTTGAGCGTTGGCGGTCTGAAAGCACTAAAAATGCTCCTATCTTTAACCTGGTACAATATGATGATAATAATCATACATTGATTTTATGTTTTTGGACACTCAAAGACATGACATTATTCATTCACTCCATACACTGTGGTGATAAACTACTACTGTAGCCTCAGCTGCCCTGGGGAACATTGACAGAAGCGACAACACACACGCACACACTCAGACAAGACACAGGCCCAAAACACTCCCAGACCATACCCCTCTCTCTCCATGCATTGCTCTGTACTGAGGGCATCTCTCACTTTCCTCCACATATTTGTTTAATACTTAAAAAACTTTTAAATTAATTCAATGTGAACTCCTGGATGGATTTCAGAGTACTTTATAATTTAATCATGCCGTCTTCATCTTATTTACCTTCATTTCAAACCACAATAAATGTAATGTAAGAAAATGCATTTAAATAGTTTCTTGCTCTTGAATATGACATGTTTCAGTCTGATTTATACACAAAAATCTTTCTCTTGGGGCAAATAAAATGTACTATTCATGAACAAAAAAGTTAAGTACCCCAGCTTTAGGTTGGAAATATGTGCAGATAGTACTTCTTCATAGATGTTATAGAAGTTCTATGAGCCAACATAAATACTCCACCTCTAACTAGTGCCTATCTATATAATAATAGTGTGTCTCTGATCCCCTGGTGGCTACTTAAGACCAAATACATGCTGTGTAGTGTGTGACCCGGTCCCAGAGCAGGCGGAACGGGGCATGTTGAGGTCTCTTTAGGACCGGTCCCCAGACAGTGTCCTGGGGTGTGTGGTGCTGCTGTTGTTGTGAAGTAAAAATAGCACACGACACAAGTAGAGTCCATGTGTGGCTGAGCTGTGGCCCTAATCCCCCTTCAGACCCTGTGCACCCACTCCATACGTCCTGTGAGCCTGTTGACACATATAGCACCTTCAACAGCTTTTGATTATACACTGCATACTGAAAATCTAACGAAAACAAGCTTTGTATCTGCTATACATTTTATGATATAGCAATTGAAAAGGTTCAGGACTGACTTCAGGATTTAAAATTTCTCTAGATTTGAGCTTGCCCATTTTTATGTTATGATAAATGTCATTACAACAAACAAATATTTGCATTAATAGGTTGCGGTCAAGTTGTAACAATGTATTTCAGTTGATGAGCAAGTACCGATACCAATTCAGTGGGTATTTATATATACCAATAAAAATCTATGAGAAAGAGAAATATTAAATAAATTTTTTTCCTTCTTTTTCTTAAATGTCCAAGTTTTCAGAAATCATTGTTTAATTACGATCACCCCTTCTAGACACCTTTATGAGAAAATAATTCGACTACTTACATAACAATAATTAGTTGATATGTGCGGACATAGAGGATGTGGATCTTTGTGACAATTTTCATGTGGATTGACCCAGGAATGACGGAGAAATCTTTTCTAAACTTGATATCTGGCTTTTAACAGAGATTTTTCAGCTTTCCTCCACCATAATCTTTGGTATGTTGTGATGTCACGTGAACACTACCTATTCCTATTACACCCAGGAAATAACATTGGGGTAACAGTTTGTTAAATGTGGAATTATAGACACATGATTTAGTGGCTTTAAAGAGTGCGCCAATTTTCCAACTCCAAATTGTTCAACCAGAATTTCTTATTTAGACATTGTACAGTACAATATTCATAAGTTTCTTCACCTTTGGCCCATTATACTGTCTTTACAATATTCACACACTCCCTTGCATGCTCTTCCTAATCTGGTGCAGCCCCGGCGCTCTCACCAGCATGTACAACGTGTCGCCGAGTTTTTCCTAGAAGCATCTCTGCTGTATCTATTCAATTATTCACATGCCTCACAGCTTTTATCCTTCCCATTTTCTCACACTATTGTCATAACGGACCTGTCCTCCCTCTCCTCCCTCTCTACACTCACTCAGGCTGTGTAGTTTTTCTCAAACAATCTCTTTCACAGATTACCTGCACTCTGAAACACCAGCAGCCTATTGTCTGACCAGATAAGTTTAGACACCCACATATACTAGTGTCATATATTTAGTCCATGTTTAACTCTTAGGGATCAACAGCAGCTGAATTTGAAGTGTTTTGCATATGAGACGCCACTAAACATCAGAACAGCCGCGTGTGTATTTTAAGCTTTCCTCTTTTTAAATTCACCTGACGGGCTTCAATGGGGTCCGTTTACGTCCACTTCCAGCGCTTTCGGATCGGTTATTTTTAGACAGCTTTTCATGGAAACAATGCCAGTATTTAGAGCAAGAAAAAATCATGCGAGAGAGTAATGTAATATGCTGGAATGTGCACAAAGGCCATAAAAACAATTGCATACGGAGTCATGTAAACTGCTAATCCTGTCTCACTCAATCTGTGGATATTTGTTACAGGGAATATAGTGTGTTTTGGTATTCTATGTGTGACGTACGAGGGAGATATTGTTTGTAAGGAGGGGCGGGTTGTTTGGGAAGGTCTGCTCCTTAACCCTTATAAACAGATGAGAAGGCGCTCCAGTTCATTCAGGCTGAGAAGATGTTCTACGAGGTGGCTCTGATCGAACTGACCGCTCTGCAACGGGACACCGGTGAGTACATGTTCCATTTATCTCTTATTATAGGTGCATTATATTCATTTTGTAGTGATTGATGCTAACCTTAACCTGACCCACCCACTGGTAAATATGCTGTTATAAGTCTCATACAAATTCAAATAAATGTACATTTTCACTCATAGTGTTTCCTAATGCGTTTAAGCCAACTTAAAGGGGCTCAATGAAGAGAAATCTGGTGTCAAAACCGAGGGTAGCAACAACCTAGCAACCAAAGAACCAATCAATCACAAGCTTTCTTTTTTTATGATAAGGTAAGAGATAAGATCAACTTTATTGCCCCCAAGGGAAATTTTCAGTGCGTTAAAGATCTGCATTCATTATTGATAATAAACATAAAATAGAATATCAAATATTCATCAAATAAACTGCATTCACTGCATTTGTGTTTTGAGGTAAATGTGTAACAAAAGCAAACAGTACACAAGAAATGATAACTAAACTAAATCATTACACAGGAGTACAAACAAAGGTACCAACCTTTTGACAATATACATTAGATTATTCTAGATTTTTTCTTTTAATGAATCTGTGTCTGTTTTGTTTTAATCACAACAAACCAAAATGTTTCCAACTCGTTTGTTGCTCTCAAAAAAAGTCTGATTTTATCACTTGTTTTCACATACATGTCACAGAGAGAAAATTCAAAAAGGACCAATTCTTCTTTAGCCCAAAGTGTCAAGTAGTGACACACAGGGTTCTTTCTCTTAGGACAAACAAGAAAAAAGCACCCCAATTCTAAATCCACCTCCCTGTCAGCGACAGGAAGACTTGTGCAGCCTTCCTGTCATATGGCGTGACAGTGAACACAAGGTGTCTTTGTGAATCCGGCCCGTGGCTCATTCTGCTAATGTTACCCTAATGTCACCGGACGTGCCATCCGCGCCTGGTGCAGACTTGAGATTAGCACGTAGCCACTGTTAGCATCCATTCATCAGCAAAGTGTGTGTGTGTGTGTGTGTGTGTGTGTGGAGGTGGTGGCAGACTGCCCAAGCCGAGGAGCTGGAGAGTGGACAGTGAGAAGACAAATGTCCGCGGGCCGCAATACGTCATTTAGGAAGACGTGTCACTGTAGAGTAGTGCAGGCCTGATTCAGCACTCAGCAAATTGAAGGTAGACTTCTCCAGAGGCTGGACTTGGCACAGAGCAGCTACTACCATCCTGACTCCACGCCTCACTCCTGGATAGAACGCATGAGAGAAGCTTGGTGAGCAATGTAAGCAGCGACTATTTGTTTAACTGTGTCAGTAGAATGATTCTCATTAGGTTTTGTCAGTTGAGAATAGGAAATATGCCCCCTGGGAAATATACAGTATACTGTATATATATATATATATATATATATATATAATCACTTGATGATGAGAATATTACTAAACTGTTCTTATAAAACTAGCACATTCATATTTATGACTGTGGAGAGCAGTTAACCATCATTTGATGACAAAAGTAGTTGGAAAAAAGTATTTGTTGAGTATTTGCTGTAAATTAATTATTAAAACTTAATCTGGGCTGGGAATAACAGAACTGCTTTCTATGAAGAATGAATATAAAAAGAAGCAGATGGAAAGAGAGGAGTCTAGATCAGGGAACATATTTCTCAAAGCTGATCCCTGACATTCAAAACACAATAATGGAACTCTGTACGTAATAAAATCCATCTAACGAGTTCCTCGCTCCCAAAACAGTTTCATCACTAGATTTCTGGATTTAGGGTTAGTTTTTTGGCCTCTTTTTTTACTTTATCTTACCTTTTCAGACCCTGACTCAAGCCTAAAGAATCAAATAGTGACTCACAGGGACGTGAATGTTGGGAAATGTTTTAAGTCTCGTGGCAGTCATTTGATGCACTTTTACTCTCTGGCTTTGAACACCGCGTTGTGAGGTCCTCTATTTTATTTATTTATTGTTTTATGTTTATTTAGTAGTTTTATTTAAAGCTGGCAGACTTTTATATTTGAATGTGTTACTTTTATCTGTGCAGCACTTTGGAAACATTTTTTTTAAATAAAATTTGCTATATAAATAAAGTGGATGGGATTGGAAAGATAACATGTTTTCCCTTAAAATGGCTGCATCTTGCTTCTTGATTTTTCTCAACACTTTAGTTTCACCAGACTCTTTCTTTTGGGACAAACAAAAGTTTTACCAAGCAAAAAAGTTATTAAAAAAGCAGAACAAAATGAACTCAGTCTAATCTTGTATAGTATGAGTGGCTCTATTTAGCAATTATAGATGTCTTTTGGCAAATACAGGTTTAGCTTTCCTCCAGTGTGAGTGGTTTGTCCCATGTGTGGTAGAGCCGCCTGACCCCGCCCCTTGCTCCTCTCTCCCTCCTTCTCTCTCTCTCCCTCTCTCTCTCACTTATCAGTCCCCTCGTGTCTGCCGTCCTCAGTTAGCTCGCCTCTACCCTCCAGCGTGCAGTCAGTCAGTGTGGTCCGTGCCCATGCCGTGTGTGTGTATCGCAGGGCCGCAGGAGGAGGCCACCCTGGGCTCGGCGGCGGGGGCCACATGGAGCAGTCCGGAGGAGCTGTCGGAGCAGGCGTCCCAAGCACAGCACCTGGAGAGACTGGCCCAGCTCTGCATCATGAGCAAACAGTGAGTCTCCTGTCACATTGTAGAGGAAGTCATGGTAGTAGTAACTGTGGGTGAGGTTGTTCTTGTAATGTTTGTTGGTTTTTGAGGCGGTGGGGAAATGTTCTGGAAAAGTTGGTATTTTTTCAGCAAGGCATTTTTACCTATACCCTCCAAATGTGTTTGAGAGAGGTGGTTCTTTGATTCAACCTAAAACCAATAGCATTTTAGGGTTACTTCATTGGCCACTTCAAAAGCATTCTATCAAGTTTCAACATTTCTATAAAGTTTCAATATTTCTAGAAAGTTTCAACATTTAAACAGATCTTTGTCAAACAATTAGTTAGTTAGGTTGATTTCATTTAAAACTAATTATTATTTTACACTAATACAGTGTATACCATTATACAATACTACACGGAATACAATATGCAATTATTCAACATACAGAAGGCAGATGTAATACTGAGCAGTACATGCAGTAATATACAATACACTACAATGGGGTATTGGACGGACACACACACACACACGGACACACACACACCGGTCCAAACACTCTGCTGACCCTATTGATAACCTATAACCATCAAACTTGTGAAAGATGTGAAAAATCTAAATAAAGATGTATCCCTCTTATTCACATTCTGGGAGGAATTGGGACCGGTTTGAACTCAAAACTCACAAATAAAATGTAGAATGTGAACATCTGAAGTTGTTTCCTCTGGCCCTTGAATCTGATTTTGAGTTAAAAAGTGAAAGTGGAATTGCAAAACATTGTGGTTGTTCTACATTCTAGAGCCCTGACACCCTCCTTTTTATTTACCTAAGAACGTGTTGGCTACTTTGGAGAATGATCTTTCTCTGTGCGGTGATTCTAACCACTTATAATCAGAGTAAATGAGCCATCAGAGGCTAAAACTACAGAACCTCAGCTTTACAAACAGTTCAGACATTTGTTTGGTGTGAACAGATTCAGTTTGAATGAAAGCGAGAGAGGTTAAGTGCCTTAACGCTGGGATTAGAATGAGCTATAATACGTTGTTGTTAAAGGTCGACAGTGGCTCAGTTGGTAGAGCATTGGCCTGAAGGTCCTGTGTTCGAGCCCACCCACAAGACCTACTTCACGACTCCCTCTGATGTCGTTGTGTCCTTGGGCAAGACACTTCACCCCACTTTGCCTGAAGCCCCCGTTGAAAAATCAAGGCTCCTGTGGACTCACCACCTGCAGGAGGATCAGTGAGGGGCTGGTGGCTCCCCCCTGACCCAGTAATGGATTAAGGGGAAGAAAATGGATGATCGGACGTTGTTGTTACAAACCCCTAGAGATAAAACATATTGCAGTTCATGAACTCAACTTAAGTTAGACTTTCTTGTCCTCGTAGGGAAATGTGTCTTCTGTATTTGGCCCATCCTATAAAGCCACTGCGGTAGGGGTCAGGAACCTATGGCTCTTTTGATGATTGTGTCTGGCTCTCAGACAAATCTTAATAGGCCTTAATAGAAATAATATTTTATGTGTTGGATTTCTTCAATATAATTTTTTATTATGAGACTAATATTACACTCTAAATATTTGGATCTTGTTTAAAAAAATCACACATATTCACAGTAATAAAATGTGTATGACTCCCACAGAAATACATTTTCAAGCAGGAGACTTTCTTGGCTCTCTCAGCTAACAATGTCTGCTAACCTCTGCACTAGGGCCTCTGACTGGAGCAGTGGTCTGGGGTCCCATCTCCAGCAGTTGATGCTCTTGATTAGGACTGGTGCTGGGGGATTTGACCTATTCTACATGTTTTTAGTCATTGGGGAACCCGGAGCATCCAGAGGCCCTAGTTATAGATGTTTTCTAGATCATTGTAGAACATTGTCAAACATTATTTTCAAACATGCTCATTATGGTCTTCGCAGGTGGCTGTCTTTAATAAGTATAAGTCTCGAGTCGCTGTTTAGCTCACTAATTTACTACATTCTAGGAAACCTCCGAGGGGAAAACTGCTCACACTTTGCACCACACAAACACTATGTTTGCTTCTGTTATCTCATCTCGTGACGCAAGCGAGACAGCACGAGCCCGATAAACACAAACCTCGGCTTCCTACTCAAATCCCTGCTGACGACGTTCAAAACACAGCTAACAAAACGCAACATTGTGCCTCTAGTTTTTGTACTTTGAGCTTTTGCCGGTCCTGAAAAAAAAAAAAAAAACATTTGCTGAAAGCTGAAAATCTCCCCCCAGACAAAAGAGTGATTGTTTTCGCCTTTTTTGCGCACGAGTGGAAATTTACAGTTGCAGATCATGAAGACCAGCTCCGAATGCTTTGGAGCAGAGTTGGATTTCCCCTGTGACAAAGCCGACACCGCTGCGTACGTGTGTGTTACAGATCTGTTGTCATTGTTGGGACTGGCCCTTTTAACCTGATTGTGGGGACAGGGTGTCGCAGGTGAAGGGCCTTTAGCTGCACCTGTACTGTACGGTAATGTTAGAGCAGGGCCAGCTGAGTCAGGGAGAGTGATCTGACCGTGCCGATATCTTTAAGGCTGTTATGCAACTGTACGAGACGGAGATACAGTAGCAGTGGCAAGTAGCAGCAAGAGTCTAGTCCGGTGCTTCCCAAAGTGGGGTACAGGGCTCTCTGGGGGAGTACTCAGAAAGACTTCAAAGGGGGGACACTAAAGGATGTCAACACAACACGAGATTTAAATCAAACCTAAACATAGATTAAGATTAAGAGATCCTTTATTTGTTAGCACAGTGGGGAAATTTCAGTGTTGCATTACAAGTGACAGTAGGAATGAGGAGCACACAGCACAAGATAAATTAATAATAACTATATACTAAAATAGACTTAGATTAAATTAAATATCTTCCTCTAGCATAAAACAGCAGTATAAAATCTTTAGAATGATAAGGAAAGAAGCCTTAAAAAGTCCTAAAACTTTAGCATGATGAAGAAGCAAGACTTGAGTACACAACTCATAAAATTTCTTTTGTTGTAATCTGAGGTTATGATATTGTATTTCTCTTTTGTGTAGCCGGGGACTGCAGATGGAATTAGCTATGTAGCTATATATGGTGCAGATCTGTCTTTGAGCTTAATGTTTCAACCAAACAAATTCAACCTCTGGTGGTAGTATATGTAATAACAGGCAGAAAGCCTTTTATTACTTGTTCCAACATTTGTTGTTGTTGTACTTAATATATTATTCCAGATTCTAAAACATGACAAAGTATCATGTACACATCATTTGAATGGCCAAAAATCTCTTCTCAATTTGCTCTGTATATATCATTTGTTTTGATGGTGACTAGGTGCTCAGTGTGAAAACAGTGAAAAGAATGTTTTATTGTTTCTTGCCATCCAGAAATTAAAATAGAAAGTTCTTTGAGTTCAACTTTCTACTTTTATCGGAAACTAATGTTCTGTTAATTGCCTTCTCTGGTTGACAGAAAATCACAAGCTAAGATTTTGCTGTGGTGATAATTTATCCTAACAGCTCAGCATGAGAATCCTTCTACTGTTGCCAATTTTCTTCTAAATTCTAGGAAAAGTCTTTGGGGGCTACACTTGCTCCTGACAAATTGCCTGTGATATAGAAGGAAGGATCAAAAGCAAAGAACAAACACATCCCCATGGGCACTATAGTCTCCTTTCAACTACAATAAGTATTATGGAGAGAAAAGGAAGCTCAACTCACTTTGATTATTGTCTGTGAGGGTTAACGTCCATTGTAAAAGTGTCCAATGCTCTGGGCCCTTAAAGCCGGGGTCCCTAACTGTATGTTTGTAAGAAGTAATACAAGTCTCTATAATTTTAATGGTGGCAGCGTTGGTAGAGCTTTGGCCTTTGAGCCTGAAGGTCATGGGTTGGCACATACTGGTTGCCTCGCTTCTGTCAGTGTGCTCCAAGGCAGCTGTGGCTTCAGTAGGAGTTTATCACTACAGTTTATGGAGTGAAAGAATAATGACATGTGAAGCATTTTTGAGTGTCCAAAAAAAGTGCTATATTTAATCGATGCATTATAATGTTTCCTTTCTGGTTTTGTAAAGCACTTTGCCTTGTGTATGCCTGGTGCCATACAAATAAACTTGCCTGGCCCTTTTTCACTTTTCTGTCTAAAAAAAGCAAATCTGACGCACAATTCTACTCACAACGCACAACTTTCAGACCTTTTCCTCTTTGTTTTCCACTTCCTTTCCCCATAGAAGACCAGACCACTCACGTTTAAGTGCCATTAGATAAGACATTTTAAAGGCTTACAATTCTCTCCTAACCAAGTAAAAACTAACTCTTTTAGTGCCATAAAAGTTTCACTCCTTTTTGAGCAAATGATTTCAAACTTTCTCAAAACACGTTGAAGATTGTAGCTTTAGGAATACAACTTTTTCACAATTTTTCAAAAACATAGAGATATCTGTTTTTGCAAACGAACTCTTCAAATACATGTTTCCTTGTCGCACACACATAACCACATCGCTATGTCCTCGGAAGTCCTTTTTAGACGCTGCTCCATAACCTCCTTCTATCTGCAGTGATCAGATGTCTCGCAGGAGCACCCTTTAAGCACTGCAAGGCGACACCTGCCATTACTAATTGAAGGGAAGTGCGGTTTTGGAACAACGCTTAGCTGGCCTTGCTCTACAGCCACAGACACACGTGAGGTCGCCGTGACTGCCCCTGGGCGCTATTCCGAGCCCTGGAGAGACGCCGTTTTTTTCTTTTCTTTTGGGCACACAGCTGGCACGTCCTGAGCTGGCGGTAGTATGTGTGTGTGTGAGCTGGTTTTAGGGCAGGTGAAGGGCGCTGGAGGGTGAGGTAACCGGAGAGGCCTGTGGTTTGGGTAATGCGGCCTGGCCTGGGATCTGGGGCAAGGGGAGTCAGGGGCCTGGCAACAACAGGACATTTCCACTGGGCACTGTTGGAAGGAAAGTGTACTGATAATAGTTGAAGAAGTTTGATTTCAATGTATTTTTGTATCGCCCTAAATCACAACAGAAGTCGTATCAGAGAAGTTTACAAAGTTGTGGATTAACCAACACGTATTAGAGAATCAAGCAGTTCAAACACTGGAAAATGCAATAACGGACACATAGTTTGTCCGTTTAGACAGCTGGACAACAATATGGTCGAAAAGGTTCACATCCTATCGTTGTGGTGGAGTCATAGGCAAAAAAACACATTATCTCCCTGTATGGATGTGTAATCTTAGTAGTTGCATTCATGTGTTTGCTTAGTCTGTTTGTATAGTGTTATGTGCCACTAACGTATGCAAACATTGTTTCCTGCAAAGGTCTCATACTTTTTTCTTCAATTATCCAGATAAGATAAGATAGACCACAGTGGGGAGATTCTAGTATGAGTATCTTGAGTAGATTGTTGCTTTAAACAGTTGCTTTAAACTGTTTTTATACAAAAGAAAAGGATCACTATCACCAGGATTTGTTTCTTTATGTGATGAAAATTCACAAATAAAAGTGGTTTCTTCTGTTTTTCATTGAAAGCTTCAACTGTTGCAAAAAGAATTCTACCAAGAATGTGCAAATGATGTCTCGTTTATGTTTAATTCTTGTTTAAAGGGTATGTAGGGTATTTAACTTTCAAAGCACAATCAGTGAAACTATCCATACATAGTTCCTTGATCTCAAGACAGTTCACGTGCATGTGTGCTGTGCCACTGTCATGTCTTTGCATCAGCTCTTTCATAAAGAAAAGTGAAAAAGGAGAGGAACACCCTCACTCAGCCAATCAACTCTCTCCCCTAAGAGTCCAATAGTGACTCACAAGGCACAAGATAAAGTGTTTGGGTGATGCATATGTCACTCTAACCCATACCTTAGTAAAATTACTCTGATTTTAATCAATCAATCTATCATTTTAATTTATAAAGTGCTTTTCATAAAAATAAAAATAAAGCAACATAAGGGGTTTACAGATGGGTTAAAAAGTAAGTTCGTATGTAAGTAAGTTATGCACAGACGCACATACACACATGCAAACATACACACACACACCCTCCCACACACACATACCCACACACAGTCACATCAAATGAGTAAAATATGTACAACCATGAACAGATTTAAGGCTAGAACAAACATGTATTATTTATAAAAGCAAAAATGAGTGAAGTGTTCCAGGTTTAAACCTCCCTCAGCACTCGAGTGACTCCTTATAAGGATCTATAAGTCCTTCCACTAAAGTCCCTTGGAAGCAGTCTCTCTCTCAGTGCTGACCACTCGGCCCTCAGCCCTACAGCTCTAATCACATCATGTCCAGCGGTGAAACCGATCCTCTCACCTGACAACACTGAGACAACACTGTAACACAGCGCAGGCCTCTGTAACAGATACGTCGTCATGTGCTTAAAGCTGCGAGGATTAACATCAGGGGAAAGTACAGAGGAATCCACTGATCCTCCTTTAATAATCAGCACAATGAGATATTGATAGATTCTTTTGCTCTTTTCTTCCAGACCCCATCTGGCTCTAGAATACAGCGTTAAGGTGAGTACACTGCAAACTTTGTTATAATAGGTTGCATTTGAGTGACATCGCAACATTCCAAAGAAAACATATAGTTAGTTACTGCCGCTCCGGAGGTAAAGTGATCACCAGCGTTTGTTTGTCGGTGAGCGACATAACTCGAAAGGTTTTGGGAGGATTTGTACACGTTTTCAGAGCAGGTGCAGGCCTTTGTTGTGGCCATGTCTCTGCTGATGTTCCATACATTTCAATTGTACCAAATTATATAATAATGAGCCACATGTGTCAGAGATTCTCACTTAAAGCTGAGGTACCTAACTTTTTTAATGTCTCAAATATTTCTCATTCCTGAAACATTTTGTTTGATCACTTATCTTGTCTGATGAAGGGCCTCATCCCGAAACGTTATTACGTGGTCTGAAAATAAAAGACATTTATTGGGAGCAACATAGCTGTGCGGATTTTTTTCACTGTTTTCATGTTTTGCACTTTTTTAATCCCACGCTAGTCCAGACTACTGGGATGTGCGGCCTTATTTGAAACCTTCTTATCTCATGCTTTTTCAGCCTACATTTTTAGGTCTCAACTTTTTCAAACAGAAAATTGAAAAAGAGAGAACCACATGCACTCAGCCAATCAGCTCAAAGGGTCAAACAGTGACTCACAGGGCTCTTTCTTATGAGAATAAAAAAAATTCATATTCATCTCATGTAGTCTGATTTGGTATATACAATACTATTTCAAGTCTCTCTCAGTTGGGACACATTTTATCTATGAGAAAACAAACTTAGGTATCCCAGCTTTATTAGCAGGCAGAAGCACACTACATCTTCTTTCACTATTGTTTTTATATATAGTAAATGTTGCTATATTTTCAGGCCACAAAAATCCACCAGAGGGCTTTTGGCAATGACCACCCCATCACGGCACGCAGCCTGGAGCTCATGGCCACGGTGTACGCGGAGATCGGCAAAACGGAATATTCAGGTGGGTACGGCAAGACAAGAGGGACACTAGCAGAGATGGGCAGGGTTTAAAAGGTGAATGTCGCGCAGTTCGCAAGTCAGAAAGGGTTAAAATTTAGAAGTCAAAACAGACGGTGGGAAAGGACTGAAAATGCATGCGATGTTTACAAAGAAAAGAAAATCGATATATGAAACTGGATTGGTTCCTACACAAAACATACAATTATAACCTTAACACACACACACACACACTGGGTATACTGTCACAATACCACCAAACTAACGAATATGAAGCAACAGTATCTGGACACTCATTGATGTATAGGCCACTGTATTGAGGATTTGATGGTGTTTTACCTGGCGCCCCCACACCACTATCTGGCAGCTCACGTGTTTGGGTTCAGAAGTGCAGACTTGACTTAGCTGTAGTGTGTACACAGAGGAGTCTCATTGTGGATCCTGTTGTGTTTACAGTTCTATCGCTCCTGTTTACCCGCGTCAGCACAGAAGTAGGTCACGATAAACAGCCTTCTCTGAGCGTTCAAAAGACATATTTACATTTGTGCTTACTTCTGTTTTTTTGCACGGGAGAGTAGACTGTAGCAAGGATGTATGGGTGAAAAGACTTATGAAAACTTGTAAAACAGCTCTTTGAGTCAATATATAGTTAGAGATATTATATCTATAAAAAACAAATCATGAATCATATTTGTTTTAAAGTAAAGCTAATGCTATGGATTATTGTAGTAATAGATATACACTTTAATCAGCTTTAAATGCATATTACATATTGTGGACGACAGTATTCATTATTTAAGGTAAGATAAGAGAAGAAATGTTTTGTTCCACAGTCGCTCGCTGTAAACGCTGAACAAGAGCAGAAAAGTGATAAATGTCAATGCAGAGCCACATGGAAACAGCTGTGTAAAACAAGGGCTGCTATTAGTTTGGATATTAGGATTTTATTTTTTCAAATTAAATAAATAGAAGAAGGTCCTTTATTCGTCCCACAATGGGGAAATTTCAGTTTGTTGCATGCACATATACATACATATACACATACACATCAAGGCAAGCAGGGAACTGTCATGGTGTGGACTTTTTGGATTATTTTAACCTGGTTTTATTTACTTTTAGTTCTCTTGTATTTTGAGTTTTCCTGATTCCAGTGTGTCCTGTTGATTGTTAGCCCCGCCCTAATGTGATCCACCTGTGTCTCCTGTGTGTGTGTGTATATATATACCCTGTGCTTTTCCCCACTTGTTGTCCGTCCATTGTCTCTACCAAGTTTGTCTTGTCTAGTTTTTCAGTTCTGGATTTTTGTGCCTTTGTCTCTCTGGATTTCGATTTTTATTAAATTACATTTGATTTTCAGTCCTGCATTTTGGGTTCCCTTTTTCTTCATGCAACCACGTGACAGGAACATCACTTCCGCGCTCCTTATAGGCAAAGTGGGTTAAGTGTCTTGCCCAAGGACACAACAACAGCAGACATCAGTGGAAGCAGGTGGTTTACATTTGATGAAACATTTCAACCCTAAAAAAATATGATTTTATATTCTATTTGATAGATAGATAGATACTTTATTGATCCCCGTAGGAGAAATTCAGGTATCCAGTAGCAGCAAAAATGAAAAATAAGATGTATCATTCCAAAAATTTAGCAATAATAATAATCAGCAATTAAGCCATTGATGCAAGATGAAGTTTAATATGTCATCTGTGGTTCATTGCATTCCAAGGAAAACTCTCTCTGAAGAAAGTGCCAGGACCAGACAAGAAAAGTTACAGACAGCAGCTTTAAATAACACTGTAAACAACCAGGCTGAGGGATGATACTAATAATAAACACCACATAAAAAGCTTCTTCCCACATTCCTCTGTAAACTGACCCGCCCAGCTCCTCCTCCTCTTCCTCCTCCTTCTCCTCCTCCTCCTCCTCCTCCTCCTTCTGTCTTGTACATTTCCTTCACATTTGCATGTTTACATTTGCAACTTCAGTTTGTCATGTCTTCTCCTCCTCCTCCTCTTCCTCCTGGTGACTCTATCCTGGTCCTGTCCTTAGACTCCCTGGGCCAGTGCGTGTCGGCGCTGTCCAAACGCTTCGCCGCGGCCGAATCCATCAAAGACACCGTGGTCAACAACTGTCTTCCACACCACCACCACAGCGAGAAGCACTCAGAGATCCGGCACAGGAAGGAGCACCACGCAGAGCCAGACGCCACGGAGAAGCCAAAGGTAGAGCAGAGAAGAGTTGTTTTGCAGCTGTTTTGTAAAGATGTTATTCCCTCAGGAGCTCGCTAACAGACCAGTTTGTGTCTACCTTAATACTCAAGGTAACGTGTTGTAAAGTCCCGACCTCCATCCTCAAAAGGCCGAGTACGATCTACGGGATGGAGTCGGAGCCGGGCCACAGGCGGAAAGGGGAGAGGAGGGTGAGGTTTCGGGAGCCGGAGACCACAGTGCACGGTGAGGAGGGTTTGGGTGTGGGATGCCCCGAGTCATTTGATTTTGAAGTCCTGATACAATTTATATATAATGTAAGTGAAACTCGGACAAATAGAATACTAAAAAGTTCATTAATTTCTGTTATTCTACCTCAAATCTGAAACCAATGTATAATATAGTATAATGCAGAGTGACATAAGCAAAGCCTTTGTCTTGTTAGCTTGGTTATAAATGGAATGATTTTAGCTTTCACAAAATATTCACATCTTTTTAGTTATTTTATTTGGGGGTTTCACAAGCTGTGAGAAAATTAACAGCATGTCATGTTATTTTCATCTTCTTTATTAGTCCATGGGTTGGGGCGGCGGCAATCAGAGCTACCACCCAATTCTCAAAGCATCAGCCCCTCACTGATCCTCCTGCAAGTGGTGGTTTTTCAGCAGGGGCTTCGGGCAAAGTGGGGTGCCCAGGGACACAACAACAGCAGACATCAGTAGGTGATATGAATCGTGGCAGGATCGAATCCACGACCATTGGGTTTCAAAGACCAATGCTCTATGATGATAATAATATTGCATTGGTTTTATATAAGGCTATTCTGGACACTTAAGACGTCATTATTCATTCACTCCATACACGGTGGTGATAAACTACTACGGTAGCCACAGCTGCCCTGGGGCACACTGACAGAAGCGAGGCAACCAGTATGTGCCATCAGCCCCTCTGACCACCACTAACCATTCACACACACACACAAATTGTTGGTTAAATTGTAACCTCTGTCTCATAAATGACCGTACACTTCATACATTATACATTTTCTTTTTTGTTTTGTTTTACTGTTTTAGAACAACCTGCTCAGGGGCTGCAGGTGTAGATTAGCACTGCTACAATGCATCTCTCCTTTCGGCTAATGTTTATTGCACACTGTCCCTGTAATAAAATAAGAATCCCACCAAAATTATACCAAGTTGAATGATAGAAGTATACGGACCCACGAACAATATTCTCATTTTCAGAGTTTTACCTGTGGATTAAAAAGAAATACAGAACCAGGATGTTCCAAATGGTCTGAGTTATGAGTGGATGAACTAATGATTTCAAGCTCAAATGTTTTTTCAAGTTTTTTCCATGTTTCTGTTTCTATTAAATGGTTGTACTGTAGATTAGATCTCCATAACAATTTTCTGAAATGTGTGTGAACGGTGTATGAGGCGTTGGCTTCATTTCTACAGAATTTCAAACATATCTCTCTTGAAGTTAATATTTCTATACTTTTTATACATATATACAAAAATAGAATTTGTAATCACAATATTGGACCTAAATGTCGCAGATCTAGAAACCCCTTTTAACAATGACTATAGTGTCTATTATGGTTTGACTGCTAGTTATGGATCATATAAAAGCCTTTTGAATGTAAACCTCTATGGTACTAGAACTGCCCCTAGTACATGGCAAAAAGTGATGAAAAATATGTGAAAAGCTGCTCAAATGTGGCAAAATGCATCTTCATTTCAACACATTTTGACTGCCTTAAAACATGATTGGCCAATGGGACAAGCAAAATGATCTTGTTTTAAAAAGATACAAGAAATGTCTCTTTTGGAAGAAGAAAATACTAAAGCAACAGTTCTTGAAAGGAGACTGAACAGCTTTGTCTCATTGGCAAAAACAGTTTCAATGTACTCAAATTAAAATAAGAAATACCAGATTCAAGCCATTATTACCTAATTTGTTGCAGAGTAAGCAGCAAACCACAGACTCAAATTGAATTCTCTGCAGAGGACAATAATGCAGTCTTTGCATTTTACTATTTACAGTCAATCCGATCATAGACATAAAGTTGGGCCTGGATAATGTAACCCTCACCACGGCGACAACGGAATAGCGCACACGTTTGGGAATTTGCGTTTCTCCCTACAATTGAAATAAAGTGTCTTTGTCTCCTCCTCCTGTGTGAGTAAGTCCACACAGCCTTTGTTGCTTTAGTAAGAATGGGGTTTTCAGTGCTGGTAGTAACATTAGAAAGGACTGCAGTGTTCATAGTGTTGCTCTGTGCATATGGCAGGATCTCCAAGGGACCATCAAACTGTATGCATATGTAATGTCTTTTCCACTCCGCATTCAAACAGGCGGCTTTTGTCAACAATTGTCCTTCTGGGATTGTGCGGAGTATTAAAAAATAATGGAAAGCCCAAAGATGCGCGGACATTAACGAATGATTTACTGTTGGGAAGTTAATTATGCATGTAAATGAGGAGAGCCGAGTCTGCTGTGAGAGATAGCGGCGCGGAGGAGAGTAGCAGCTGTTGTACATCATAGCACTGAGCCTCTTGTTGACTTTTATTATGTCAACTCCACAGAAATCCCATACTCTGACAGCGGGGGCGCCGGTGAGTCGTGTGTAAAGGGTGTGCCCGATCACAAGTGTGCATGAAACAGCACTGTTACTAAACACACTGTATGATTGTTAGGATCAGTCTACACCAGGCTGGAGACGTATGCAGCTTCTCACGTGTGTTCGCCGCAAAAAAATGATGAAGTATGAGGTAAAAATTGCTGGTTGGCTGGTTTTTATCTTAATATGAGTTTATTCTGACTGTTAAAACAAGATTTGCCAATGGGACAAAGCCATTTAGTTTTGTTTCAAGCCATTTCTTGTTTCTTATAATTTTCCTATCTTATCTTACCCATCCATCCATCCATCCATTTTCTTCCGCTTTATCCGTTGCCGGGTCGCGGGGGCAGCAGTCTAAGCAGAGACGCCCAGACTTCCCTATCCACACACACTTCCTCCAGCTCGTCCGGGGGGACCCCAAGGCGTTCCCAGGCCAGCTGAGAGACATAGGCTGAGTTTACACGGAGACAATGTGGCAGTAAAACGGTATAGTTGGATGTCGGTTGCTACCAACCGTTCATACGAAGACTGTGTTCCAGGGGGTGAAAACGTAAGTGTTCAGATCCAGCCTGCAGAGTGGGACAACTCAGAAACGCTGCACAGCAGGGGCTCTCTTTCACACCCGCGAGAGGGGAAAAGGTGTGAAATCCCCCTCTGCTCTGACCCCCGCCTCCCCACTGCTCCCCGCACGTAAATTTGGACATGCGCAGTAGCGGAGAACAAACGAAAACAAAAATGGCGCCGCCCACACAAACTAGCTACGTGGGCTTCCAGCGCGGGACAGAGGATAATTCTACTCCTTCGTTCGTCCAAACGAGACCACGCGAAGCTCTAGGTTCAGTTTCCATGTTCACAGCTGCTGTTAAAATGCAGAATGATGTTGGTACTTTCTGAGGGTCTGGCACAGGAAGTGAGTACACTGCCGAGAGGGGGGCTGGGCACGGGGCTCGGGGTCGTGTGTCGTGTTGTAAAGTTTCTCTGCCCACTACTGGCCGGGCGCTAGAACTACATAGTTTTTCAACCTCATGTGAACGCTGAGAAATTTGCATTAGGAGCCTGTTCGTTTCTGTTAATAGCCTGGAAACGTCTGCGCAGCGTCTCAGTATAAACAGGGCCATAGTCCCTCCAGCGTGTCCTGGGTCTTCCGCGGGGCCTCCTCCCGGTGGGGCGTGCCCGGAACACCTCCCCAGGGAGGCGTCCAGGAAGCATCCGGAACAGATGCCCGAGCCACCTCAACTGGTTCCTCTCGACGTGGAGAAGCAGCGGTTCTACTCCGAGCTCCTCCCGTGTGACTGAGCTCCTCACCCTATCTCTAAGGGAGCGCCCAGCCACTCTGCGGAGGAAGCTCATTTCGACCGCTTGTATCCGCGATCTCGTTCTTTCGGTCATTACCCAAAGCTCATGACCATAGGTGAGGGAGGGAACGAAGATTGACCGGTAAATCGAGAGCTTTGCCTTTCGGCTCAGCTCCCTCTTCACCACAACGGTCCGATACAGCGACCGCATAACTGCGCACGCTGCACCGATCCGCCTGTCAATCTCACGCTTCATTCTTCCCTCACTCGTGAACAAGACCCCGAGATACTTGAACTCCTCCACTTGAGGAAGGACCTCTCCACCCACCTGCAGAGGGCAAGGCACCTTTTTCCGGTCGAGCACCATGGCCTCGGATTTGGAGGTGCTGATTCTCATCCCAGCCGCTTCACACTCGGCTGCAAACCGTCCCAGTGCATGCTGCAGGTCCTGGTTCGTTGGAGCCAACAGGACAACATCGTCCGCAAACAGCAGAGATGAAATCCTGTGGTCTCCGAACCGGACCCCCTCCGACCCCTGGCTGCGCCTAGATATTCTGTCCATAAATACAGTGAACAGAACCGGTGACAAAGGGCAGCCCTGTCGGAGGCCAACATTCACCGGGAACAGGTCTGACTTACTGCCGGCAATGCGAACACAGCTCTGGCTCCGGTCATACAGGGATCGGATGGCCCTCAGCAGAGGACCTCCGACCCCGTACTCCCGGAGAACCCCCCAAAGGACACCCCGGGGAACACGGTCGAACGCCTTCTCCAAATCCACAAAGCACATGTGGACAGGTTGGGCGAACTCCCATGAACCCTCGAGTATCCGATGGAGAGCACTCTGGTGCCCAGAGTGAGAACCAAACATGGGGAGGCTGCGTTTCAGATCCATGCAGCTAAGATCTGGAACAATCTCCCTGAAAATGTGAGGGAGGCGTCTGCTCTGTCAATGTTCAAATCCAGGTTAAAGACTGTTCTGTTTGCCTGTGCATACAACTGAAGGATTTTATCTCCATTTCTAATGCACTGCTGTCATTTATTTATTTTTTTTAAATTTCTTGTGTAATTTTGAAAGTTTTAATGGTTTTATTCTTTTGTGTGATTTTAATGTTTTAATTGTGATTCTGGTGTTTGTTTTATGTGATGATTTGTGATGTGGACTGTGAAGCGCTTTGTGTTGCCCTGTGTATGAAAGGCGCTCTACAAATAAACTTTGATTGATTGATTGATAGAGCTGGTCCAGTGTTCCGCGACCGGGACGAAAACCACACTGCTCCTCCTGGATCCGAGATTCGACCATCGGCCGTAACCTCCTCTCCAGTACCTTGGAGTAGACCTTACCGGGGAGGCTGAGGAGTGTGATCCCACGATAATTGGAACACACCCTCCGGTCCCCCTTCTTGTAGAGAGGGACCACCACCCCGGTCTGCCACTCCATTGGCACTGCCCCGATCGCCACGCGATGTTGCAGAGACGTGTCAGCCAAGACAGTCCTACAACATCCAGAGACTTTAGATAATCAGGGCGGATCTCATCCACACCCGGAGCCTTGCCACCATGGAGGCTCCAACCACCTTGGTGACCTCAGCCAGGGAGATGGATGTACCCGCCCCAACATCCTCAGCCTCTGCCTCTGTAACAGAGGACGTGACGGGGGGATTGAGGAGAACCTCAAAGTATTCCTTCCACCGCCCGACAATATCCCCAGTCGAGGTCAGCAGCTCTCCACCCGCACCGTACATGGTGTTGGCAAAGAACTGCTTCCCCCTCCTGAGGCGCCGGATGGTTTGCCAGAATCTCTTCGAGGCCGACCGATAGTCATGCTCCATGGACTCTCCGAACTCCTCCCAGTCCCGGGTTTTTGCCTCTGCAACAGCCCGGGCCGCGGCACGCTTGGCCTGCCGGTACTGGACAGCTGCCTCAGGAGTCCCCCGAACCATCATGGCTCGATAGGACTCCTTCTTCAGCCTGACAGCATCCCTTACTGCTTATCTTACCCTATCTTATAATTTTATATAATTCTCGTTGGCAAATCATGTTTTTAAGCAGTCAAAACGTGCTCATATTAAGATACATTTTGCCAAATTTGACCAATTTTTTACTTTTTCTTCACCACTTTTTGCAGTGTTGGAATAATAAATCACTCTTCAGTCACATTTACTGTTTCTGTTTATGATTTCACAAATGGACTCCTGAGCTGTGTCAGTGTGGCAAGAGGAATGCATTTGTTTAGGCCATTTACAACTACTGCCATATACAGTATATTTATACATGTATTAACAGGTTTTACATGACCTGAAAGTCAAATGTGTATCTAAACTGTTCCAGCGTTTACTGAAGAGACCAAAATAGTAGTTTTGTTTTCCCCCTTGTGTTTAAAAGGGTCGATCTCCAACATCAGGTTCAAGAGGACATAATGAGCAAAGCTGCCTTTTGATTATTAACCATTTCATTGTTTTCTTATTTACCCACTCATGTGATTCATGCAGGTTTACGTCATTATTATTCTTCGATCCTCATTCTCGTCTCCTCTGGGCCACGCAGTTCTTTACCTGTTCAGGCAGTGTCAAAAAAACAAAAAGAATCTCTACTTGAATGCCCCCTTTGGACAATTCTGACTTTAAATATAGTTTAAATGAAGTCCTCAAAGACCAAATACATACATAGATTTTTCCTCTCAATATTAGAAATTCAAATAATGTTTTTAAGTGTTGTATGGGACTGATATCTCATTGTTCCACTATGACATCACACTATGAGTAGTTTTCTGACTTTTACAACAATATTAATGTCCCTAATTTAGTTTTGGTAACTTCTCAGGTGAAATTACTTGATTATTGTTATTATTTACAATCATATACAATTGCTGTGGTTGCAGCCAGTAAACATGTTCTACAGCTCCCTCTGGTGGTAGCATAGGGAAAGAGCAGATTGATACTTGCTTCTAGAATGTAAAGTAAGATATTATTTTGCACTCTAATACATGAAACAACAAAGTAATTAATATCGTTATATTTTTAAGGCTGATAATGTTGCACAATATCTCTTCTTTAAGGAAATGCTCCAAAACAAACAATGCAAATGCTGATAGTTTTCCACACTCATTACTCTTTCTCATGTCTCCTCAGCCTACGAGACGTCCTCCTCGCGGCCGCACCTGGCCCTCTTCACCTGCCTCTTCCTCCTCATGTCCCTGCTGGGCGTGGCCATGTACTGCACGGACCGCCGGCGCCCCCAGAGGCTGTGCGAGGAGCTGGAGGCCGCGCTCGCCGTCTACGTCCTCCACATGAAGCAGCTACTGTGGGGCTGCTGGATATGGCTGACCATGCAATGACTCGGACCAGTTTTCCCAAAAATTCCGATCCCTCTTTTATGAATCTCAACCACTGCAGCCATAGAGAACAGAGAGTGGCGTCGGAGCGCACTCTAGTGGACGCGGGACGACCTTTCGAAATCCCAGAAAAATGTAGCTTATGTGTCTTGTATGTATATAAGAGGAGAAGGGGGAGTCCCGATCCTTCTGCACATGCTCACTACACGTTCTGTCCATCAGTGTCTCCATGGAATGCGGAAACGTATTTATTTTTTGTGTTTTATTTTATTTTTCTGTCTATGATACAATATACTAAGGACTAACGCACTATTCAAGCCTTGATATTGCACATAATTGAATGTAGGGAGGTCGGCTTGAATTGCACTTGCACCATTAGAGAAATAGTGCACACGGAGCGGATGGAGAAGTACCATTTGCGTCAGGTCAAATGAGATTTATCTATTGTGGAAAAAAGATATACTCAAGTGAATGAATGCTACTGCTTTCAATGGTAATTGTCTTTATAACTGCTTGTATACACGGAATAACCTCCCTGAACGCAGGCGCATATCAAGACATCGGAATATTGGTATTTTTACTAAACTACTTTCTCCCGGTATCAGTACTTTTAACTTTAACACTTTTAAACCCAAATATCTGAACTTTCTTCTAACTTTCTAAAATTACTAGTTAATTTTCAGAAAGCGACAGCAGATAAAAACATGTTTGAATTGATTAGCCGTGCTTCTAAGTGTATTCACGAAATTGACGTTAGCTGTGCATCTAGACAGGGTAAAGGTCTTATTAATTCGGACCAATATGAAAAATGTCTACACCGAAAAGGTCCTGGGTTCGATTACACCCCCAGACAGGGCCTTCCTGTGTGGATTTTGCATGTTCTCCCTGTGTGCATAGGTTTCCTCCGGGTGCTTCGGTTTCCCCTATCACTGAAAACCTCTCTCTGGGGCCAGGACTTCCCTGAAAAAGAGATTCTGGAATTTCAATGGGACAACACAAAGACAAAGCTAAAAAGTTTCTGAAAAGTATCCGTAAATTATTCAAGAGAGAATTATGTAAGTTGTTCTTTATACTTTAACTTAAGAGAATACATTAAATACTTTTACCATAGTTGATTTAATACTAGAATCTATACTTTTACTTTTGATTAGTACTTACACAGAATTGTCTCCATATGCGCCTGCGTACGTCTAATTCAACTCTTTGCATCCACACAAACCTTTAAACTGTATATTCATTTTTAAAAACTTTTTGTTACCTCGCATTTGAAATTTTGTAACGATAATAACAACGATATTAATAATCAGGTGTTGTGATGTCAAGCGCTCTCATCAGACTGTTGTGGACTAACTTTTATGTGATCCATCCACTCTGCCGCTCCACTGCTGCGAGGCCAAAAAAAACCAACACGTCCCTTTATCAAAATACAAAGTCACAGATGCATTTTGTAATCAGCCAAACCGCGGTCCTCGTGCGTTTGGAGTCTAAGGGCACAGAGATGAAACCACCTCCTTTGAAGCAATAACACACATGGAACATTCAGCAAAAACATGTTCTTTATATACATCGCTGTTATCAGGAATCCTGATGTGTCATGGGTGAATGTGGAAGTCAGAACTCATCCAAACCTCTTCTAAAGACACTGAGACACTGTCAAACACAGAAATGGCAAAAAGTACTGTACTTTAGTAGTTTACCTTTTGTTTACTCGTATAAAAATATGTGTACTTTCTGAAATGGTTTTACTTAGATTGCTACACACCACAAACAGGAGAAGGTTTGTTGCTTGCTGTAAGCCATGTTTCTGAGTTTATTAATTCGATGTGATTAGCTGTGCTTCTAAGATCCTTAATTGTCGTTTGCGGTGCTTCTTAGTTTGCTGATTCATGGTGGTTAGCCCTGCCTCTAAGTTCATTCATTGATTGTGGTTAGCCTTACTTCTAAGTTAAAAAAATTAGTTGTGGTTTGCTGCGCTATTCATTAGTTGTAGATAGCAGCTTTGAATCACTAAAACATTGTCCATTCCTTATCCTACAAAAAAACCCTTTTCACTTAAGTTTACAAATAACTTAATTTTATAATTTTCATAATTTTATCAAAGAATATTTTCCTTCAAATATTTCTACTTTTACTAAAGCACCAAAAACTAGTACTTTTGCCACCTCTGATAGATGAACACTTTTGAGGATCAAAATGCTTAACAAAACTAAAAAACCAAAAATGTGTGGGTTGCTGTAAAGAGAGACTGGAGTGAGACCAGAGAGAGACCGGAGTGAGACCAGAGAGACCGGAGTGAGACCAGAGAGAGACGAGAGAGAAAAACCAGAGTGGTCTCCAGAGTGAGACCAGAGGAAGAGACCGGAGTGAGACCAAACAGAGACCAGAAAGAAAGACCAGAGTGAGACCAGAGTGAGACCAGAGAGAGACCAGACAGAGACCAGAAAGACAGACCAGAATGACCCCAACCAAACCTTGCACAATTGGACGCCACCAAAATCCAACAAAGAATGGAGAAGACTTTTGATCCGTTTAAAAAAAATCCCATCTGTGTTTTACTGTGTCCCAGCTGAACTAGAAGAGGATTTGTAATTCGTCATCAGCAATAAACCCGACAGAACATACAGTATACTCCCATAAGCACACTCTCACATCCGTCCCATCATTTCTGGTCAGTCTGAAGCAGTGCCTTTATGGATGCTTTCCTTGGTTCTTCTTACGGTTTTATGATTTCTATTGTTTTGAATAAAAGTGTCATTGCCTATCGAAGCCGGCTGGGTTGAGTTCTCTTTGTGAAGTAATAAACGGAAAGCTAAACAGCCTCTAAAGTCCAGATATGGCACATTATATAATTGTATCAGCAGGTAGCTAAAAGCATTTTCAGATGTGTTGCTGTCTGACTCATAATAAATTTGATAAAACACCTCTGTGTACTTGTCGAGGGAAAGGTGCGAATAGACAGAAAGCGTTTGGAATGATCAGCAGCAGCATGCCAAAAAGTGTTGGCTGGAAGCATTGCGCGTATTCTATACCTGCAAAAAAAACTTTCAAAAGGATAATATATAAAACAAATGCCCACACAGCTTAAATGCTTAAAGTTTGTCATGCAGTAGATCCATGCATATCTCACAAAGACAATATGGTCCACCAGCCCGCCCCACGCCATCGTAGCTTCCCTTGCTCGCTTTGGCTCAGGTGTTGGATATGTTTATAGATTTTCTCCTATTCAATTCAGTTCAATTTATTTTTCTATAGCCCTAATTCATAATTGTAGTTATCTAGGATGACTCTATAAACTGTCGACCCGCCAACACAGATCAGAGAATCAAAGAGTTCAAACACAAACAAACTAGTTTCCTATCTCCGCCGTTGAAATCACTTTTCCCTCCTGTCGAATTTTTCAAAATGGCTGCGAATAGCCCCTCCCGCAAGAAAATGTGAAAAAACGCATTTGCGCATGTGTTAGCCTGATACATGCCATTCATTTAACAAGTGCATTCAAAAGTCTGCAGCGGCTAAACTAGGCTGGTCCAAAAAAAATCCCCCCCCCCCCAGCATTGTCACACAAATGTAGTCGAGGGCAAGGTGTAGCCGTTTTCAAAATAAGGAAAAAAGGTGCCATAAGATTTCATTGGGGAATTCTGTTTCCGGGTACACCCCCACCAACAAGGAGTCAGATTACAAGCATATCTCCGCCCATGCTCATTGGCCCTTTTGAGCCGGGACCCACCCCCACTGGTTTGAACTGAAAATGGGACGGAAAATATTTAACAATTTCATGTTTTTAGTCATGTAAGAGCAATCCGGATTTATTTTGTCTTAGCTTTTCAGATACAGTCGTCTGAGTTTGAGATAAATAGTACTTTTAACTGCGTCCTCCCCTCGTGTTTCTAGACAACATTTAAAGCTGGGGTTCATAAATAATATATATTGTTTGTCCCAACAGAAGATTCTTGTAAGAGTAGCATTTTATGATCAAAACAGACCACAAAAATCTGTCTTCATCTTATTCGAAATTGTCATATTTTGTCTACCTATAGAAGGAGCCATTGGAGTCATTGGTCGATGCTATGGGCTGAGAGCTGATTGGCTGAGTGAGGGTGGTCCTCTCTTTTTCCCTTTTCTGTTTAAAAAAAGCTGAACTAAACATGTGACACAGGCCAAAAAATACATGTCTGTGAAAACCAGTGATTGAGGAAAACTGTTGAGAGCGAGGAAATAGACCCGTCGATTTTACTACATTGCAAAAATAGTGTTGTGGTTTGAAAGTTAAATCCCCCTGCTTTAATCAGTGATTATAATGAACCAGCAGTTATCTCTGGAGTTTGAAATGAGCCAAAGCGAACGAGGAAAGAAGCGAGAATCAATACTTGAATTACATAAACAATAGGTTATACAATTCCTCTAAATAACTGTAATACTGCTTAAGCTGACCCCCAGGAGCCAGGAGGGGGAGTCCATCTGGTGAATGTGCTGTGATGGTCTTATGGAGGGTGCTTGGAATGGGGGTGGCCTTTCTTTCATCGGGGTCTTGGGCTTGGTTTTTGGTGCAGGATGAAGGTCTTGATGAGGTCTAGGTCTGAGCTTAGAGGGTGGTGTCTAAAGGAGTCCAGTCTTGAGGTCGGAGTTGCGGCGAGACCGTCCCAGCAGCAGGTCCTTCTCGTGGATTAGGCTGTCAAGCAGGTCTTCTTGTCTGTAGTTGTGGTAGACTTTTAGGAAGGCTATGACCGCGATGCCCAGCCAGGTCAGCCAGGCGGCCCACAGGCCAAACTGGACACAAAGAAAGCATTAGACTGAGATACGTGGGGTGATAAAGAGGCAGCAACAGAAGAGGACTGGACTAGACTTACTTGAGCTATAGCAAACTGGTCGTAGAATGCTGAATTGTTCAGACCAAGTTCTAGATCGATGTCTTGCATTTCCTCGCAGCTGTAAATAAATAATGCATAGTTTTCTATTTTCGTTTTGAAACACACAATTAAAACCACAAAACAGCAGGTTATGTCAAAAACATGTCTATAACATGTCTACAGGTAAAGGATAAAGAGAGGTAAGGAACAATAGTGGACAATCGCACAAAAGACATGGTTCTTGCTTTTGATATTCAAAATAGAAATCCCATGTACTCTTAAATAAACCAAGATATTCTCCTTGATCCACCCTGATGTCCGGTCAAGAGGCTAAACCTGCTCCTCTGTAAAGAATATACCTCATGTTTAATGGCCAGACTCTTGTGGTGAAGAGGGAGCTGAGTTTAAGAGCTTGGAGTAGAGCTGCTGCTCCCTCACGTTAAGAGGCACCAGCTCTAACAAGCTCTAATAACAATTGTAAACCGCTTTGAGACTCCGATGTGCAGTGAAAAGGCGGTATATAAATAAAAACTTACTTACTTACTTACTTACTCTGGTGGCTCCGACCAGGAGGAGGCCATGAAGACCCAGGTCACTAGAGACTCTCAGCTGGCCTGAGGTCGCCTCGTTCCCCCAGAATGAGCTGGAGGACGTGTGTGTGGTGTGTGGGTTCTAGGCTGCTCAGACTACTGGCAATAAATAAAATGGAACATAATATTCTAACAGATACTAAATTGATTCAATTGAAAGTAGAGATTTCACCATTATGCGTTAATCCAAACCACTTTATTTTGTAGCACGGTTCCACTCACAAAGTTTAAGTTTTAGTTTCACGGGGAATTTACACAGTAGGCGTAAACAGCGCGTACACGTTTACTGCGCGCTCTCTGCGCGTAACATTATTTGGGTGTATCTACACTGGCCGTGTGTGCAGGTCCGCGGCTTCTGATGCTCTCCCTGTGTAGTCTATGGAGCAGTGTAGAGGACAGTACGGGCCAGAGGACTGATGTAGAGCAACACAAATCACATGCATGTGTTTGTCCTCATGGTCTCTGTGCGCTGGTTTGGCCAGACGCGAGACTTTATGAAAGAAAAAAAAACGATGTCCAGAATCACTGTAAAACTTGCTGCTCCTCCAGCTGATATTTAGATACAAGTGCTGTGTGTGTGTGTAGATGTGATCTAAAGCCAAGGACCGCTAGAAAAATCATGTTTTACATGAGATTTCAATGGGAGACGCGTTGGTGCTCGCACAAAATTAGAAATCCATCCTAAATTAGAGCGCAGCTTCGCGTCATACGTCCGTCATACGCGCGTATAACGCTAGAAGTGTAAATATCATCATAGGTTAACATGGAAAAAAGTTGCGTACGTGCTGTAACGCGTGATGTGTAAATTAGCAGTAAGTCCCATTGTTACAACAAAGTAATAAAGCCTTTTATACAACTGCTCATTTTACTACATTATAATGACTCCTGGACACATTCAATCCAAACAATGAAAACCAAAGTGGTGGTAATGAATTGTTTTCTGTCTGAGTGGTCGTACCTGGTGGGCATGCTGCCGCTCTCTGTGATGGCCTCGCACCACAGGTTGAAACCCACGCTCACGATGGTGCTGGACAGGAACACTGTGAACACCACCAGGGAGCTGATGAGCAGGTTCAGGAATGCGTTGAAGATCGAACTGCAGCAGAAAATCAATATGTATGTGTTTGTTACTAGACTCATGTAACAACTACAGTCTTCAGTCGCTCAAGCCTCAGCCCTGTGTTTCAGTTTGCTCAGATAGTTTAGTCATAATCCATGTCATGTTCTTGAGCAGAGATCTCAGGAAGAATCTTTTTTGGTGCTGGTGATTGCTACTGGCCGTGGATAGCTCAAGTCTTTATCGTTGTCAGAAGTCACAGTTTAAAGTTGGAGTCAACCACTTTTTGTCCCAACCATGTTGTGTGTCCCAACAGAAACACTCTTGTCAAGGTATGTTGAAAAAGGCAAACAAAAAATTACAATAATAATAATACATGCATGTGATTATAGTGATAGAACTGAACTGTTATGAGAGCGAGAAACTGGATTTTTTTTAGTGGTTTGAAAGTTAGATACACCAGCTATGATATTGTTTGGAGAATAATTCTGCTCTTATTGGTTCTCAATGTATAGTGACGTAGTCTAGAGTCATAGCTGTGATATCTGCCAAGGGAAACTCTCAGTGCTGAATCACTTTAGGATTTCCCAGAGAGAAGATTGCAGAAGATTCTGAGACTTTCTAGAGTGAGTGAGTCCTCAGAGGAGAGCTGAGGGGGAAGCACACACTGTCTGTCCCTGAACATCAGCACACACCAGCACACATTAGTATACATCAGTATACATCAGCACACATCAGTATACATCAGCACACATCAGTATACATCAGCACACAGCCGCTTCACTCACTCGTCGTGGCCCTTGCAGAGGAGGAAGAGCAGCCTCCAGGCCTGCACCGCGGACAGCACCAGGGACGCGATGCCCACGAAGGTGATGAAGCTGCAGGCGGACTCCGGGCCCCACTCCTCCACCATGAAGCGCTGCTTGGACACTGTGATGTTCTCGTTCTGCCACATCCCCCGTGTGAACAGCAGACATTTACCCCCGAAGTCCTCCGTGTTCTCTGACAGAGGCACCACGGCGATGAAGCCGAACATGAAGGCAACAAAGTAAAGGATGCATTGCGCGAAAATTAAATTATTAAGAGCCATTTTCGCTCTCCTTCTCCCGTGTCCAGGACTAGCTGCGCCTGCGCAGTGGAGGATGGAGAGGATGAGGAGGAGAGTGAAGAGGAGGAGGAGGAGGAGGAAGAGGAGGAGAGCGAAGGCGCAGCATCAGTGCAGCTGCTCTGCACAGACACAGAAGCATGGCCCACACAGAGAGGCCATCAGACTGACTCAGAGGGAGATGGCTCTTGTCTGATCCACACTGAAGCCCATACTCTCTCTGTGTTCTGTTGTAGTAGCTCAGAAAGACAGGAGGGGAAAACACTGAAAGAAGTGGACATAGTAGCCATGGCCTGGGTCTGATTGTTGGGTGATAAAGTAAAGATAACGTATAGCGGAATATAAAGGTGGGGCGACAGTAGCTCAGTTGGTAGAGCACTGGCCTTTGAGCCTGAAGGTTGTGGGTTCAAGCCCACCATGGGACCTTCTCCACCGACTCCCACTGATGACTGCTGTCGTTGTGTCCTTGGGCAAGACACTTAACCCTGCATTGCCTGAAGCCCCCGCTGAAAAATCAAGGCTGTATTGTCACTGACAGAGCAGCCGTCCTCCTGTGGACTCACCACCTGCAGAGGATCAGTGAGGGGCTGGTGCTAAGTGAATTGGGTGCAGCTCTGACTGCCACCCCCCCGACCCAGAAATGGCTGAAGGGGAAGAAGATGGATGGATGGATGGATGGAATATAAAGGTGCTGGACTGACAAGGCAATACGTAACTCAACAATAAAAGTAGGAACCTTTTAAAAATTACTTACAGATATTAATAGCGAGGGAAAAGAAAATAGCATGAACAGACATAGACAAAACACAAAACAAAAGCACAAACGCCACAGTCAACATGCCACAGATACATATTCAAAGAATAGACACAACACAAAGGAATGAGACACATTTCTCCAAAATATTTAATATAGTCAGACAGACTTGCAATATAGGAACAACACCCAAACTTCATTTTCAAGTCAAAGTTCTCTAAAGTTCACTCCAGTTAAAAACATGAATTCTAATTAAAAGTACTAAATGCAACTAGACAGCCACCTGTTTAAATACATTCACACTTTCCACGATTACTCAAATGAAACGCACCCGCCCTGTGAAAGTTATTCTATACAGTGAATCTTTCAAACCGGAATATAATTAGTCTGAGATGAACCGTTTGGTTAATGAGTCGCCTGTGAACATAAATCAGGTTCTGATTCAGACTCTCACCGCACAGTTCACTAAACACTTCTTTCTACGACATGTGCAAATGTGGAGATGCATTATTCACATCCATCCAGGCCCATGTGGGCGGCCATCTTCACAAGCCACGGGCTTGTCTGGAGATAAAGTACATATTTAATGATGAAGATTTTTGTTTTGTCCTGGCAGACTTTTAGATTTAACCCTTCTCCCAATAAAGAAGCTAAACATTTACACCCGTGATGTTATATGAACCAACTCAGACTCAGGAGTAAACTCAGTAAACTGAGACAGGCTTCAGCTCTGACAATGTGTTCTGTGTGGTTGAAAACAGTTCTGTTCAGCTGTGCATGCAGTGATTTTATCTTTATTTTATTTGATGCACTGTGATAATTTAGGATTTCAAGGCTTTGTGTTAGTGTTGAGATGCCTTGCGTATGGACTGTGCTATACAAATAAACTTGCCTTGACTTGCCTTCACTTCTCATAAAGTAAAACAAGACATAAACAAGTGTGAGTCGATGAGATATGGGTTAGGGAAACACATCTGGAGTGACATTTGGAAAAAACTGCTTTATTTAAAATATGCAGAGTATATGCTTATTTTGCATCTTTTTTTATCTATTCTAGGCAAACACAGGAGCAACACAGTTATTATTACACATAAGGGGGTGCACATAAGTGGTACGCAGGTACGCATGCGTGACAAATATCAGAAATGCTTACTATCACTTGAGCGCTTTTGCGTACTTCACATGGACCATTTCATTTTTTTTTTTCATCCAACCATAGACGCGCCTACAGAACCATACACACGTGCGCGTTACGTGCACATTGCACGTGCGGGTCTTGCCAGTCTCCCCCGTCTCTCCCCCATGCCTTTCCCCCGTCTCTTCCCCGTCTCTCCCCGTCTCTCCCCTGTCTCTCCCCCATGCCTCTCCCACGTCTCCCCAAGTCTCCACGCGAAGCGCAAAACTCAGTCACTCACTGAATTAAAGCTCAGGTACTTACATTTTCGCTTGCATTGAAAATGCATGTTATTTGTGCACAGAAATAAAATGTTGTGACCAAATCAAACAGAACAAACCAAAACAGTCTTGTTTATTTTATTTTACTTAATTAAGAAAGAACGCTGCGAGTCATTATTTGACTTTTTGGGCAGAGAGTGGATTTTTTTCAATAATTTTTTCGTTAGTGCCACTTTATTGCCAAACTCTTTTTGACTTATTGTATTGAGAAAGATGTGTTAGTCCCACATTATTATTGGTTCGTTTATTACCTTTCCTGTGTGGAAGTTGTATATATTTTTTATTATTCTACTGAACGGTTATAATAACACACACATTTTTATTGACCCCTGCACATAACAAACAAAAGTAATGTTGCCTGAAAAGGAGTGGGAGGAGATATGCTGATTCCACATGGACAAATGAGACAAATGTAGAAGCTGGGGCGACAGAATTGAGTTGATAAATGGCTGATGGAAACATGAAGATTCCATTCATTCAAAACCTATGGAATTGGCAGCATACGACTGTTCAATATTAAAGCTGGAGAACCTAACGTCAAAACCACAAAAGATGTTAAAAGAAATGTTATAAAGTCCATGCACCTACAGTTCCTCACTCTCAAAACCAGGTAGTTGCCGTGGTGACCATCACTGGACCATTTGCTGAGGGAAATTCTGCACAAAACAACCCAAAATCACTTATAATCATTTGCTTTTTACTTCCAGACGGACTGGTAACGAATCAAACGCTCACGTTGAGTTATTACACATCTGATATGCATCACTTGCAAAAACCTGGCGGCGTGCAAAGACAAGTATTTATACAAGTTATTTGCTGATATAGGATGGTGATCTGTATCTCTGCCACGCCGAGAAGGCTTCTGCAGGTGATTTATGGGTCGTTTTGGGACGGCGCTGCACTGTGGGCCTCCATGATGTTATCAGCGTATATATTATTGCAAGAAAATTTCTGCTTTCAGTGTTTGTGTGGTCGAAAAAACAGGTCCAAACCAAGCGGGTTCACAAAATAGTATTTAAAGATGGACCGATAGGCGGGGCGCGATGTTTGATAGGAGTATTTGCCAAGACATCGCGATAAATAATTCATTGAGAGCACCTTGAGATGTGTTTGTGTATACTGTGTGCGTTAATAATAATAATAGATTTTATTTATATCAATGTTATCATTATATTGATTTCATCCATCTTACTCATTTCTCGCTCTGAGTTCGGGTTAGGGTTAGTTAAAGGACAACTCACCCTCAAATCCACTTTTTTTTGCTGATAAACGGTATAAATGAGTGTCCAATAGTGTTGTCTACATATCCTGGTCATAATCTTGTCACTTTGGTGCAAATTAGTTGAAAGTTAAACTTTCTGCCTAAAACCGTCTGTGAGGCGCCATCTGCTGGCGACCTGTATTACTACATTTGAATTTTGAATCTGGCGCCAACACTGGCACAGAAGTTGGACCTGACGTCTGCAAGTTGGACCTGACGTCAGCAGCCCCCCGCCCAGAGCAATGTAAACGGCCCAGTCTCGTTCACGCCCCCTTCAGTCCTCCAGGCTACGCCCATTTAGAGGAAGATTTGAACAGGAAATGTGAGTAACGTAAGCTCCGAGGAGCGGGGGTGAGAACCACTTTAAAGGAGCAGTATGTAAAGATCTGGCCAAAAGTGGTACTGCAACCTCTCCCACTCTCCCTGACTCAGGTTGCCAGATATGCAGACAAAACCAGCTGGGACCATAAAATCTGAATAGACAAGAGTTTTGTCAACAACAAATCTAAAACCAACACCTTTTTCACAAAGGCCTTATTAATTATTTGAGAACCATAACAAGACGTTTTTTTTAGTTCTGCGGCCACATGTTACTTTACCACTGAGATTAGCTCGACGTGGCGAGTTCTGGCAACCCCGGATCATGGACTTTCTGATTGGTGAAACGGCGGAGGGCGGGACATCGTAATGAAAACAATAACAAGATTTAGGGGCCATAAAACTAATTTTGAACTTTGAATTTATCGGCTGAACTACTGCTATCAGTTAAAGGAGTATTCGCAAAGAGCATGGTTTATTAATGCCGTTTGACAGATTTGGGCCCTTTAATGATGACTTGATATGAAAATCTTACATAATGCTACTTTAAACAGTTTTCAAAAGCATGTGTGTTTGGCCTTTTATACTCATTTAAATCAGCTTTTTCAGACAGAAATTTGCCAAAGAGGGGCCCATCCTCACTCAGTTAATCAGCTCTCAGCCCATTTACGGTGCAACAAGCATCAAGGGTAGACAAAGCATTCGACCTGCACTAACCCTAAGCTACCACCAGAGGGAGGAGTCAAATTCGTTTTGTTTTGACCCAAATTTGAAAAAGTACTAGCAGCAAACACAGACAAGTGGAGGACATAATTTCACCTGAGACATTTCCAAAACTAATTTATGGGCAATACTTGTTTTAAAGGTAGAAAACTACTCTTGGTGTGATGTCATAGTGGTACAATGACATCACACTATAACAGGACTGAAACAGGAGCTTTTTATAGTGTGGAATGGATTGAGTTAAAAACCACTCCAGGTTTGTTTTTTTTTGTTTTTTGTTTGACAATGTTGTAACATGATGTAAAAGCTGCATCCATCTTTGCACAAGTCTGAATGAAGAACTGGCTTCGAGAGAGAAATGACAAATAAAAATTGGATAGCATTTGTGTTTTTTTTCTGCTCGGACAAAAAGAGCCAAACAGAAAAACAGAACAAACAGACCCTCCAAGCCTCCAAACACCCTCAGACCCATTTTTTAACAAGCTCTGGCTCCTTTTAAATAATACAGAGTGTGTGTGGGCTTCTGGATAAAGCCCACCACCACCAACCAGCGCCGCACAAGTGTGTCAAACGGAATATGTGTCAGTGTATTCAGCCTTAGAACAAGCCACTTAGTAAAGCAATGATGGCCGCTGCTGCTGGAGGAACGCAAGACCCCCAGCACCAGAGGCATATACGGCCCCTGAGCAGCGCGGCCCGGGAGCTCATCCATTTTTCATGAGCAAAAAGTACCAGTAGATTTTTTTTTTTTTTTTTGTCCACAGAGAAAGAAAACCAGTGTGGAATCTAAATGGTGCCTTGTGAAGGACACGGTGCGGTTAATATGTAAAACGCACTAATGCCCTCCGCAGCCTTGTGATGTCGCATGTAAAAATGTGACTCGCAAACGTCCCGCAAGCAGCTGTGAAATATGGGATCATTAAGTGTTTTTATCTGGTCTTCAAATGCGGCATTAAAGTGAAATGATGTGAGTTTTGAGCCGTTTAATCACTGATAGAGTAATGCGAGGCGGGAGATTAAGTGTTGAATGTTTGCGTGTGTATAAATTTCTATATTTTTCTATCTCTTTGTGGAAAGACATGTCATTGTGTGTGTGTGAACTCATCATGTAAACAGTGAGGGCAGCCGCTTCATAAAGGGGAAAGCAACACAGAGGTCATTTCGGCCACTCAAAGTAACAATATCCCTTGTAATTACAGTAAAAAATTAGAAATAATGTCTTTATTTACATTCGGTTGTGTTTTGTTCTTGGATTCTTTTTTATTAACTAATATTTTTACAGAATTGTTGGGTCATTCCTCTCTTTTCTTTTTGAGCATAACAGAGACACAGTTAGAGAAATGCAGGAGTCTAGAAGCAATAACACATCCATTAGACCAGGGGTGTCAAACTTATTTTGGTTGAGGGCCGAATAGAAAAAGAAAGGGCTGGTCCGGGGGCCGAAAAAATAAGTGGGTTTCATTTATGACGTTTTTTTTGGAATATGAAGGTCTCTAAATAAATGATTTGTTCACATTAGTTTGATTGGATATTCTTTTCTGATTAGAATTAGTTCAGTTCCTGTGGACTGGACCAAAACTGGACCAAAACTGGACCCAATATTGAAGGTATGGAGGAAGACTTTCTACTTTTGGGTGGATCATCAAGAGGGTTTTGTTCAAAAAGTGGAGAGGGCGGTTCTTTCCTAAGAAAAGTGGGAAATCCTCTTCATATCTTTAAGAAGAAAAGTAATAACTCATAAAAAACATAACAGAACAATCCCAACTTCTAAGCACATGTTGGCTTAACATTTCTTATGGAAATAAATGTTATGGCTGCTTTCGCAGTAATGGAAAACATGCCATTGTCGCCTAACAGTAATAGTTTAAAATCATCTCAGGGGCCACTGGAAATGGTCTCGCGGGCCGGATCTGGCCCCTGGGCCTTGACTTTGACACCTGTGCATTAGACCCATGCATACAGTACAACCATAAATAATCAACAAAAAGGGGTAAAAATACAATTCACTTCTGTCTATATCCTTTTTGAAACACGCCCTTGTACTACCGTTAAAAATAGAAGAAAAAATAGTCAAAATTAGAGTCTAAAATGAGCCAGGGATAGTCAAGATAGGAAAGAAAAATCAAAATTCTGCTTGATGTTTTTTAGTTATATAGGGTACTTTTTAATCACCATGGCAGGTCAATTTTCCCTGAGGTTAGAACAAGGGTTAAACGTATGTGTAGCCTTTAAACAGAATCATATTTTGCTGTTTTGGTGGCCTCCTCAACAGAATCTTCCATAATTTGTGTTCAAAGTCCAAAAGACGTCAGCTGTCACCTGCGCGCTCATTTCCCTCGTCTGCTTTTGCGACTCTTCCGCACAGACAGCTTGCCCGCAGCGTGCCGACCTTCCCCGGGCTCTTTGTGTTTCTGGGAACAAAACAACAGTCAAAACATGTTTATTACAGAGGCCCATATCCCAGAGCCCACCCAAACCTCCAGCGACCCATCATCTCCCCCTCGCTGATTAAAAGCCCCTAATGGAGGCCATTCATCTCCAGACTGCATCCCAAATGTTACCTTCTCCTCACGTCGCTGCTTTTTACGGCGACTCGATAATCAGATGTGTTTCAGGCAAAGAGATGGCTTCATTTTCACCAGGGGAGGTAGAAAAGTATTTGTCATTGTTCAATAAATTAATTTCTGGAGTGATGGGAGCGTTAGAATCAACAGGAGGCATGGATACCCCACGGCTAAGTCAACACGGCAATTATTGGACTGTATATTAAAAGTGGCCGTTGGTTCTAAACATAGATTTCACTTTCATACATGTAGATTAGAAACACGAGGGCAGCGGCTGTCTTGAATGTCAAATAGTTACTAATGAACCACTGAATTCAAATAAATGTAAATATATATTGCCATCTGCAGAACACACAAAGCAAAGAGAAGTGAATATATTATTTATTCTTAATTTTCTTTTCATTTGCCTCGGGATGGACCATAGACTCCACTGTGAGACGAATAAAGGTTCATCTTATCTTATCTGTTTGGATCATGTTTGGACCATAGACTGTTTGGACCATAGACTTGGACTAGGTTTGGACCATAGACTGTTTGGACCATAGACAGGACCATAGACTGCTTGGACTATAGACTGGACCATAGACTGTTTGGACCATAGACTGTTTGGACAATAGACTGGACCATAGACTGTTTGGACAATAGAGTGGACCATAGACTGTTTGGACCAGTGGGGGCGGGTCCCGGCTCAAAAGTGGCCAAAATGACGGGCACTGACATGCTTGCAATACCACTCCAAGCCAAAGGGCTGGACCCGGAAAGGGAATTATTCAATGCAAATGTACGTACCTTCTTACCTCTCAAAAACGTCTTTACAGGATGGTCCAAAAGTTGGCTCTTGGCCCAAAGCTTTGTTCCACATGTGTGTCAATGCTGAGGGGAGTGAATGTTTTTGGACCACTCTAGTTTACTCGCTGTGAATTTTTGAAGTTACTCGTTTAAATGAATGGGGCTTGTGCCGGCTGATGCATGCATAGATAAAAAAATTTCAATTTTCCAGCCCCCGAGGCCATTTTGAATCACTCCATGAAAGCCCAATTTTTGGCCCATTAGTTAGAACGGCGGAGATAGGCGTGACTACGTCCGTTAATATATACAGTCTATGGTTTGGAGACTGGACCATAGACTGTTTGGACCATAAGCTACTGTAACAAGACCAGAACTCATTACTTTGACTGCTTCTGTTTTCTCTTTGCTCTGCGCTGATGGAGACACATACAACACAAGGGTAATGACTGGAAGTAAGCTTTAATCATGGGAATGTTTACCCGTTTGTCATTGTCGTTCTTTCATTTTTACAGTAAAACTTTGACCGTATTGATGAATCTAATTCTTCATTAAATTTGTCTTTTAGTTGTAGTTTCATTTTTTACCTGCACAATTCATATTTTTACATATATCAATATAACAGACAAATAACAGGGCTGGAAGAGGCCAATGCTTTTTCGATTCCAACCCCCATCACACATACACTGTTTTAACAATATCATGCAGTAGAATTCTCTGTACATTATAAACAGTGATACAAAACTACCAATTATAACAGAAGAGATGGCGTTGAAACTAATGTATCTATCTTTTTTGTTATGGTCTGTTTTTTTTTCTTTGTCCCCGGTTTGTCCATGCGTTGTGTTTTTTCTGTTATTCTTCTATTTCTGATAAATGTCTGTCTTGATTTTTATTGTCCAGAAATAAATAAAAAAAGAGACATACCTACAGTCTATTATGCTAAAATTAGAATGACCCTTAGCGCGGTGCGGCGAGGGCCGTTCGACGCCACTTGCGGCTTTAATTATATTTTATTTTACTAAAGAGGTACAGTATTAGAGTTTAGAGTTATTGTTTATTTATTTTGTGTTGTGTGTTCCTCATTCCTACTGTCCTGTAACCGTGATGCAACACTGCAATTTCCCCTCTGTGGGACGAATAAAGGATCTCTTAAACATCTATGGTCCAAAGTGTCTATGGTCCTGCATCAGTCCAAACACCGAGGCCTGGTCCGTTAATGGTCCTGATGACGTTTCTCCACATGGCCTCAATCCTGCACAAATAATGAGGTCATGATGTTGCTAATTCAAACAATTATCCAATAACGGCAAAGCAATGTTATTTGGAAGCACACGGGAGGGAAGGAGGATGATGTCATTAACTCGTGACTATATTTAGAAGTGGGTTTGCACACGGCAGCGCAGCAGAATATAATTGCTTTGCCAGGAATGTGGGCATTATTCAATTACCTGCATTTATATGGCTTAAAATATAATAGTGTCAGCTCGGTAAATGTCATAATGTGGAATATGTTGACTTTTGCTATTATTTTAAACCTCTTGGGCAATTGTATTTTTAGTTTGATTGTATCGCATAAGTGCCCAGTCTCCTATGACTTACATTGAAAACTAAACTCCTCCAGCTCAGTAACCGCTTGTGTCACACTCACCATTGTGGGCTTAAAAATCTGTATTTGTTTCCTCTCTATGATCCTGATGTTTATGTTTTGATATTGTCTTTGTAAATCCATTTAAGGAGGGACCAATCACATGCCTTCATTCAGGGCATTGTATTGTGTTACTGTTCTACTGTATTGCTTTTGTGTCGTGTTCTTTATGAGACATTTGTTGTAAGTTGTGTCTCTCTGTCTCTGTGTTGAATGGGTGACTGAACGCTTGCTTCTAACCTCTTTTCAAAACCCTCTGCTGGTCTGGGTTTCTTTTTGTTCTATGAAATTGTGTTGTGAATGGATGGTGTTGATTGGGGGCTGATGCACCAGTGTGTTCGGCGACTCGCTTCCGTCATCACCGTGTGTGGAGAGAATGGAACAATATCTGAACTCCGAGCATAGTAAAGCATTTCGGGTGACCTTGGTTTGTAAAAATGCGCTACATAAATAAACATTACTTACACTTCTAAGTTCAGACCAAGTTCTACTTGCTCATTTTGATATTTCATGCTAGTATAAGCTGCAATGATGTGTTTAAAGGCAACGCTTACCAAGTCAAAAATAAACATATCGTCTGTCAGCTATTCTACCAGAACGTCAACGTATTTTATTGTTTACTAATTTTTATTTTTTTTCTTGAGGGAATGATTTAAATTATTACCACAGTAGTATTTTTATCTATAATTTTTGTCCCTCTGGACCTACATAAATAATCTATTCTATCTATTCCATGTAATCCTATTGAAGTATTTTGATCTTTTCAACTATATCGATTGAACCATTTGTATTCACACAGAGACTTGGTGACAGTGGGAGGTGTTGGGACCCCTCTCCTCTGGGGCCAAGCATGACGTCATCTCAACCCAAGAACAAGCTCTGGACCAATACTGCCCCCTACAGACGCATGTGGGTAGTGACAGAATGCTCTTACACCCTGATTTCCTTCGTGGTGTGGGGGAGGCATGTAGGGTAACAGGGAGAACGACAGAAGCTCCCTCGGCCCGACTGTCGAGATGGGGAGAGCAGCTGCAAATAAATAACAAGAGAAATCAGTCATGTGAGTATGGAATGTAATCCTATTGTATTTTAAGAGAAAAATGGAAAAGTATTTAAAGTATTAACTATGAAAGTTGTGGGCTGAAGTGTGCCGATTTTAAACATTGAATTGGTTCCATTCATTGGATTCCATCTCCAACCATAAGTACATTGTTTAGTTTTGTATAAGACAAGAAAAGACAGAAGAATGCCTTTGAGAACCTAACGCTGGTGTATGTAACTTTCAAAACACAGACACAGACATAAAGTTTGGTTCTATCATTAGTAACATGCATGTATTTTTGGCCTCTGTCACATCCTTAATTCCCAATATTCAGTCAGAATAGTGTAAAAAGGCAATCGGCTCTCAGGTTAAACACTGACTGAGAGTTGGAGACAGCATGCTGTGGTCTGCTTCACAACAATTTTTCTCAATTTCACAAGATGCTTTCTGTTGGGACTAGTCACAACATGTATTTTTTTCATGGGAGAATAAAGTTAGGCACTCTGGCTTAAACTTTATTTTCACTACTCCATTTGATTTATTTAGCAATCTTGTTTTTTCTCTTTTTTTTTTTTTCTCGGGCCGGCCATGTATCACCACCAATGCTGTGGTGATACATGTACTCATAGATACAGTACAACATTATCTATGAGCTTTAGGCCATTGTGGAACTTTGATTACAAGGAGACATTAAACCGCCTTTTCTTCACACATGGATCATTATGTTGTTCCTGGTCACTATAAACTCCAATTTCTGAACCAAATATCTTTTTGGTGTTCATTGAAAAAAGGGAGGGGATGGATGAAAGATGAAACAGATATTTTCTCTTCACAGAAAGCTGGGATACATTGAAAAAAAAAAAAAAAAATCCACATTGTTGGTCCCAATAGAAATTTGAGTAAAAGTAAAATGTTGTCAACAAATCAGACCACAACATGCCGGTCTCATAATAGTAGAAAACAAAAAGAAAGAGCCCTGTCAGTCACTATTTGACTCATTTGGCTGAGAGCTGATTGGCTGAGTGAGGGTGGTCCACTCTTTTTCACTTTCCAGCCTGAAAAAGTTGATCTAAAGATGGGACAGAGGCCAAAAATACATGCATGTGAAAACTAGTGACATGGATTTTAGTTTGAAAAAAATGTGGTATAAAAACATACACTTTCTAGCTTTAAACCTCAAATGCACGACAAAACAGGATTATTGCTCAAACATGAATGCATAAATCAATGGAGCAAAAACCAAGGGGGAACATCAATCAGCTCCGATTATAATCTGCATTTTGGGAGCACTTTAGGCTCGATCTCTGAGGCCCGGTGATGATTAGCAGCCGGGCAGATGCAGTGTTTTCTGGGTGACTGGCTGCACCAAGGTTAAGAGAAGCAATCTGACTTCTTCACATCCAGTCACAGGAAATCCCCCAATCCCTAAAGCCGGGACCCCCAGTGTTCAGCAAAAGTGCCTTGGTGTGTGCGGTACAGCAGGAAACTGTGATATGTCCACATACTGGGAGAGTCTTCAGTGCTGTACATAGTGGAAGAAATGTTTACTTAAGTTGAAGAGCAAATATGATGCATTCTTTGTGTTTGTTTTGACCCACAGGGTTTTGAGAATATATAATTTGGCATGTCATGTTATATAAAGTAAAATCATCCATTAAGAAGAGAATATATGAATAAACATGGGAATATAAATGTAGCATATTGTGAATGGAAGTGGAAAGTCTAGCATCCAAATCTTGTCTAAGAGGACTGGGATGATCATTCAGGGACATTTATGTACATTTATGGAGATAGGAGCCATTGGTCCATAGGGAGCAGGATGACCTACAGTTTGTGTGTGTTATTATTTCATTTCCTGTGTTTGGACATTTTGATTTTGATTCTCTGATCTGTTGTTGAAGAATCTTGTAAAGTCCCTTCAGACGACTGCTGTGGTGATTTACGGGCTAAAATACAAAAACAGACAAAATTCGGTCGAGTTATTTATTTATTGTTTTTTTTTTTGCCTATTCTAATTCCTAAGAAACTTCCAGGGTCCGGTCTCTCTGAGTTCTGACCGGACCTGGTCTTGTTCCAGTCTCTCCGGGTTTAAACTGGATCTGGTCTTGTTCCAGGGTCCGGTCTCTCTGAGTTCAAACTGGACCTGGTCTTGTTCCAGTTTCTCCGAGTACAAACTGGACCAGGTCTTGTTCCAGTTTCTCCGAGTACAAACTGGACCAGGTCTTGTTCCTGGGTTCGGGCTCTCCGATTTCAGACTGGACTTGTTCTTGTCTTGGTCCTACCGCTGTAGAAGACGTTCTGCTGGGTCTCCGGTCCAAACCCGTCCCTTCTCTGTCCTCACACACTAAAGCCCCACTAGCATCAGCTCTGGTATGTGTGAGGACAGAGAGAACGGACTCTTACACTAGAACCAGCTTCTACGATCTCTACAACACTCGAACCTCAACAAGAACCCGTCCAGTCTCGAATTCAAAGAGACCAGGACCAGGTCTCTTCACCTTTTAGAGTTTTGATACATGACTGCACCCCAACCCAAACAAGGGGAAACATGTAGGCCCAGACCATTTGTCCAACACCCAGTTAAAACCTCTCTCTGGAACCTGGTTTATAGCTAATTTTAGTCCCAATTCCCTCCTTTTTGATCTCAGTTTTACTCCCCACTCCCTCCCCCCAACAGGGCGCTTCTTATTTAACGCCTAAACACGTGCCCCTTATATTTCTGGCACTTTTTTTGTTCATTCTGCTGAACACACTTGGAGTCATCTGTGGGTGTGTTATCGTTGGGGGACAGCGCCACCGTGGGTTGGTTGTGGTACTCCAGCCTCTGTCTTTAACTGCTCCACCACTGCCACCATTTTTTGGAGCTTTTCAAATTCTCGATTGTGGATTTTTGTTGGACAAATTGAGTTTCTGATTTGGACTCCTGGTCTTTCTGCTGTTGTAGCAAGTCCAAAACCTTGTAGAAGTCGGCATAAAGAGACACCTTCGCCGCGTCACTGTCACTCAATGTATCACGAAGCGCTTTGTTTGTGCACATACAGTAAGACTCGTGTTGATAGATTTAAGAGAGCTCCAACCATCTTCTACAGTAGTTCTGCGTTTTTAAATTTTAACGTGAGCTCTGATTCTCAACACAGGTTGTCCTCGCTTCCACTTTGACAATTGAGTTTTCTTCCTTTAGAGACGTCAGACTGTGTTCAAGTTCCTCGTTGCCAGTTCTCTTCCTCAAGAAAGGTTTTCATCTTCAGAACCCCCGTATCTGTAGCATTCAGTGTCTCATTCTCTTTGATTTTGTGCTCTTGAACTAAAAAGCTACTTTTCTGTTGCTCGATCAAAGCCTTTTAGTTTCACGCCCTCTCTTTCCAAAGCCTCGTTTTTAGCTGCAAGATGCTTTTGTGCGATGAGTGATATTGCGTTTTTGTGTCTCAGCTGAATCATGGTCATTGTTTTGTCGTCGTTAATTGCACGCTCATCTTCCAGCTCCTTTAACACCACGTCTAGAAGAGCCTTAAGTTCGTTTGAAGCACTGTCACAACCATTGTCTCACTGGTAGTGTTAGCTGTTGGATCTCTTCATCCTTTTCTTTATACTTCTGTTTAAGAGACTTCAGCTGCTGTTTGAGATCATTACAGGACAATTTGGACTTTGCTAACTCAACGTTTGTGGAGGCCATCTGCTTTTGTTGGACCTCACACTTCTCCGTTTGGTCTCTCAGCTTCTGCTCAAGTTCTCAAGACCTCCTGATTTAAGAAGGCGATCTCATCTTGCTGCCAGTTTTTAGTCGCATTTAGTTGTGAGTTCCAACTCTTGGCTGTTCCCAGTTGTTGCTGGACAGATTCCAAGTCCTCTTTCAAAAGGCAGACATTCCTCTGGATGATGTCCACAGCCTTTTGGAGATCGTCACTGGGCGGCTTCTGTTTAACAGGACTTTTTCCTTTATGACGTTTGAGCCCTTTCTGCACCGAGGCGAGCTCTGCTTCTCTGTACACGTCCGGTAAATAGAGGTTGCACTGAGAGCCTTTATAGTCCCACAACTATAACCCCTTGGGGATTCAAATAAATGAATAAACAAATAAATCAACTGGCGGTAAATTGAAAAAAATATATATAAAAATAATAATAATACATCGTACTTAGTAGTAAAAAAATATAACAATTCATAGTTTCTTTGGAATTCCGCTTGTTTGCCCACAGTGTTTTATTCCTCCTCTGTGATAGAGTAATTGTCTGGTGTTTTGTTTTCCCTGACATTACAAACGAGCTGGTAGGAATACATAAGTGAATCCATCTCTGTATTCTGAACAGCGGCGTAATTAAGCCTATTTATTAAAGATACACAGATGTGCTTATACATATTTCATAACCAGGCACGTACTAATGGTGCTGAGTTGTTTACGAGTGGAGGAGCATCTGTCACGAGTGAAACACAGAAAACAGGACATAAGGCTGTTTACCATCAGGCATGTGAGCAGCTTCACTGTGGTCAAGGAGGACCCCACTGGACACTCCCTCTGCTGGTGGCTCCACGTCATCACACTGTGGAGTTAAAACAAGCAAGATGTGATATATAGGAGGAATATGAATGCAACCCAAACAATATGCATTATTGGGAATAAAGCTAATGCCCCAAATTATATTGAGCTTTTTTGGACACTCAAAGACGCTTTACATAAGCGTCATAATTCTTTCACTCCATACACGGTGGTGATAAAGTACTACTGTAGCCACAGCTGCCCTGGGGCACACTGACACGCGAGGCAACTGTCTGTGCCATGGACCCCTCCGAACACCACCAACCATTCACACACACACCAGACTCTAGGAAATGCGGGTGAAGTGTCTTGCCTAAGGACACAACAACAGCTTTACACTTTGCAGCCGCAGCCGCCCCACTGTGGCACCTGGTGTTCCCAGAGGTCTCCCATCACAGCACTAACAGATAACAGTTAAATAAAATAATTCATACAAACTGCACCTTTGTGGGGAGTAAGGTCTATGTGAAACAGACTAAACGTGGAGCCCTGAAACTTTATGAGTGAAAGATGACTTCTGAAATCAAGAACAAAACCAAATACAAGACAAAAATGTAGGGACATTTTTTTTGGGAAGCCCGGTTGAAGACAGGTGTGCTGGATTCAGGTGCTGTTGGCTAAAAGGTTAACATTATAGCACAAACCCAAATGGTCTAAAATATGTATTCTTTAAGTTGACCTGAGGGTAATGTAATCACCAGGGTTTGTGTACATGACTGATTTTATTGCATCTCTTTGCGGAGGTCTGCACTCCACAAGGGATTTTCTAGTTTAAATATACAATAAATTTAAATTGAAAAACAGACTGGCATGGCTGTCATGTTGAAAGGCCATGTATTGATTTTTGCCAGTCGGTTTATGGTACATCACTGTCATAGAAAAAAGGTGCCAAAATGTCTGCACAAGGTATTAAAAATGTAGGATTATTGGAGCAGTGTTTTAAATCCAACAGAGAAGTCATGACTCAAGCATTTACACACGATCACAATGGTGTTTGTATACGTACCTTCTGGAGCTCATCTCGCTGCACACTCTCACAAAGGCTTGCTTCGCTTTCTTGAAATCTGCCTGAGGGATTGTCTTTGGGTTTTTCACACTTGGTTGGAGTCTGAATAATCTCTTCTGGAAGTGAGGGAAGATCTGACACACAGTCCGTGCTGTAGAACCTGAGAAAATTATAAACAAATCATAATTTTCTCTCATTTTCTCCCCTTTGTTGTGTTGTGTTCTGACCTGTGTTGAGAATACACCTGCTCCAGAGGTGTGAATACGGCGCCCTCTGGTGGCCGCTCGTGGCTCTCGTCTGCGGCTTGGCTGAGATCCTCTTCCTCTCCTGGGTCGTGGATCAGAAGAGCAGATATCTGTTGTAGTGTGACGGTGGACTCGTATGAAAAAGCCGGGTCTTTTCTCACAGGGGACAGAGAAGAGACCGAGGAGAATGACACGTGCCGCCGGCCTGGAGCGGGGCCCAATGGGGATGTGCAGAAGGACTGGTGGTCCTAAAGCACGGAGAAGGAGGGGTAAACTGTAAATATTATAACACTACCTGGTCATACAGTCTTTAAGGAATAAATATTGTTACTTTAAACATCATCTTCAAAATATTTACTTTGGCATTTTGGGTTTTAGAGTGTGAAATAATAACAATAATGCATCTGGTGTTATATGTTGCTTTTCTGGACACTCAAAGACACTTCACATGGCCTTATTCATTCACTCTATATTCATTCACACCAGCTGCCCTGGTGACAACTGACAGAAGGGAAAGGAACGATGGCAGAGATCAATTGCCTCGGTCCTGTGCAATCGACCATCCCCGTCCATTTACACACACCAGACTCATTCTCGTCAATGTGGGTGAAGTGTGTGGCCTATGGATACAGTGACTGTTTGGAACTTTGGAAACCACAGTTCCATTGTGGCACCTGGTGTTCCCAGAGGTCTCCCATCACAGTTCTAACAGGCCCCGTCCTGCTTAGCTTCTTAGATCTGATGGAATGGGGCTTTCACATGCAGGAGGCGCCAAAAATTCATTCAGTGGAAAAAAAATAAATACATGGGCTTACAAAAACAATAAGCAAAACACTTCATCCAGTGGTAGAAGTGGAGAATGATGTTCTGCACTTAAAATAGGGCTTTCTCATCGAGGGCAAGAATGTTGTATAATTCTATAAACTTGTATGTTAAAGTGAATGCCTGTAAGTTCACATCTAAAAATAAATCTTTAGAAATGCATAATTGAGTAGTATTAAGTAATATATCTTGATACAGACTCTCCTCTTGCCAGTAACTGCTTGTCAAGCCCTAGACCATGAGTTTCTTTCTTGTACTAACTTCACTTTGATCACTAATGTGTGATTGTACACACCTTTGATAAATCTCTGTGTAAAAAGCCAAACCCCATGTCTAATGACTCCAAAATCAACATAAAATAAAGTAAAAGAAGAGTTCCTACCTGATAGTCTTCAGATCTGGGCTCCAGTATGGACGGGCTGGGGGAGCGGACACATGGCACCTCAATGGACAGAAACACCTCGCTGCTCTCAGCCTTGGCCTCCGTGTGCTCAGTCTGGGGCCACGTGAACTCTCTGCAGAGGAAGCAGAGGGCAGTGTTGGTACCAGACTGTGCAGAGTGGTAAAACAGCTGCAGTATATTCAAAATACTGCATCTCAAGTCCTGACAAGAACCAGGAAATATGATCACATCAGTCTAGTCCTCAGGTCTCTGCACTGGCTTCTGTGGCTCAGAGAATAGACTAGCTCTCCATGGCCCCGTACCAAAGAACTGAGTGATACTATTTATGCCAAATGTGACATGTACATTTCTCCATTATCAGATCAATAAAGCTTATTCTATCTTACGTCTGGGACATGTTAGTGCCATATGAACCAACAGGCACTGGCCTCCTGCTGGTGCCCAGAGTCAGGACAAGAAATGGGGAGGCAGCATTTCAGATTCATGCAGCTAAATCTGGAACAGTCGAGACAGGTTTCCTCTCTGACAATGTTCCAATCCAGGTGAAAGCAGTTCTGTGTAGCTGTGCAGACAACTCTTTACTCTTTTTAATGTAGTGTGATTATTTATTCTAATGTCTCATGTGATTGTTTCTATCTTGTTTTGTTCAGCACTTTGAGTTGCCATGTGTATGTACTGTGCATCTTGCCAGACAGGGTCCAGAGTCAGTACCTGAGTGTGCAGACAGAGGGCAGTGTCAGTGCTCTCACAGCCTGAGTCAGCAGCTGCAGCAGAAGTTCAGGGGACAGCACTCCTTCTCTCTGGGCCTGATACACCAGAGCTGACAGCGGGCAGGGGACGGGCTCTGAGGGGAAGATTATCATCAAACAAACATTATGCAACAAAGTAAGTAATACGGATATTTTGTAATAATTCTTCCATCCAGAGTCTGCGAAAACTCTCGGCACTCAACGCTTCTCATGTTTCATTATTCTTTCACTCCATACACGGTGGTGATGAACTACTACAGTAGCCACAGCTGCCCTGAGGCACACTGACAGAAGCAAGACAATCAATATGTGCCATCAGCCCTTCTGACCGCCACAAACACACACACACACGACTTATTCTAGGCAATATGGGTCTTGTCTGCCACCCCACTGTGGCACCTGGTGTTCCAAGAAGTCTCCCATCACAGTACTAACCAGGCCATGCCCTGTTTAGCATCAGAGGTCTGACAGGATCTGGCTTTCTCATGCAGGTATGGTCATAAAATGTCTTAGAACCAGGCTCTAAAACTGTTTCAGACTCATAGAAAATTGCCGGAGGTTTGCACAGTGCAGATCCTCTTCTGCAGTCACGGCTCGAGGTCAGAACACAAAGATGTCCGCCCACATCGCCGTCCTCAGACGTCCATCAGCCCCGACATTACAGTCTATGTCCCCGACTGAGGCGTTCCCAGTGCTTCCAGCGTGTCCTGGGTGTGTTCTTTAGGGGATTATCCTCCGGGAACATCTCCACAGGGAAGCGTCTGGGAAGCATCCGAAAATACTTCAGCTACTTCAACTGGCTCGACATGGAGGAGCAGTGGATCAACTCAGAGCTCCTACCATGTGACTCAGATGCTTTTAAACTAGTAATTACAAACATTATGATCAATTTTCTTCAAACAAAGACCTTCACACTAATCCTAATAAAAGATTTTGTAAAGCGAGTTACAATCTACAATTTGTTTAACATGATTTTTGTGGTTCTTTTGAAAGACTTGTTAGATACATTGTTAAAACAAACTTTTCATTTATATTTGAGGAAAAAATTGACCTATTTGCTTTTGCACAACAGTTGAGGCTTGTCGACAGTCCATACCTTTTAAATGCAAAGCCGCTACTTCATTGTCACTTTCACTTTTGGCCTGAGGAAAAAATGTTATAATTACAGTTTTGTCTGAATTCAGGATGGATTCAAAAGTACCGGTTTGTCCACAGACATTTCTTGCATGTACCTACTTCATAACCTGAGGGGATGTATTTAGAAGCCTCGGCGCTGAAACCACACTCGTTACAGGTCTTTGAGAAGTGCTCCAGCGTCTCCCCTTTCTCTGTGTGGTTTCTCTTCACCAAGGCCCATGCTTCGGACACACAACTATATCAGCAAACGTTACATTAACTTCACTTTGAACACACAGCAGACACACATAATGTTTCCGTTTGGACGTTAAGTACTTATTCTGCAGCCACACATCAGTACCGAGCTTCACGTCTTCTTCGCTCTCTGCAGCACAGTTGGTCAGATGCATGTACCTGCGGCGAGAGCAGGGGGATTGGAATAAAATACATTTAACACCAGTATGGTCACTGCAGGGATAGTACTTGGGAAAATATGCAGTTTTTTTGCAAAAGAACATTCAAACAACAAGCAAAAAGTGGAGAAAAACATGATTTTAAGGGATACAAAAGAAAATGTGATTGTGGTGTGTGTGTGTGTGTGTGTGTGTGTGTGTGTGTGTGTGTGTGTGTGTGTGTGTGTGTGTGTGTGTGGAACATGTGCAACAGTATTATCAATATGTAGAATAGCAAATTGACAGATAATACATTTGTTAGAGCTATTTGTCTATTTTTGATTCTAATTATGATCTACTTTAGTTAATTATTTTTCTTAGTTTGCAAAAATAACTTTGGGTTAATTATTGCTTATTTTAATTTAATTTGGTCACGAGGATAAATAGGGCTATGGGGGGAGGGCGCAGCATAGAGGCGTTATGAAGCTCAAGCGGATGTTCAGACTGAAAGACCGAGTGCCTGCCAGCCTCGAGCCTCAGCCAATCACACAGCTCTGCCAGCCTCGAGCCTCAGCCAATCACACAGCCAGGCCAGCCTCCTGCCAACCCTCTCAGAGCAAAGCGGGCAGTTTAAAAGGCAGCCACTTCCTGACAAACAACGCTTCCTGAGGCTCTTAAACACCCACCACCTCCCCAGCACCCCCTCTGGCTCTTGGCTCCCGCTCTGGCTCCCGCTCTGGCTCCCGCTCTAGGCTCCCACTCCGGCTCCTGCTCCGCCTACGCCCCATTCACACCATACTCTAGCCACCACCAGTGATTGACCCCGGGGGATCTGAGATCATCTCAGCTGCAATCGATCTCATAGCTGCAAGTGTCACTGCCGGGGTCAATGCGCCAAACAAATAAATCATTTTTATGTATTTATCGTGTCTTTGGTCTCTTCAGATTGAATTGGGCATATGGTTTTTTACCAGCGAGAGGAAAGGCTGCAGTTCTGCATGTTTGCCATTTGCTTGGAGAATAAACCCACCTAAAATGCAATTTTGTTTGGACATTATGTTTTCTCTACCCTGCGTAAAGCCAACCTGAAAACGCCTTAGTGGCCTTTTGATTTGTTTTGGTTTAAATTGGACATGGTTTAAGTTATGGACAAATCGCCACTACAAAATTCATAATACTGAATAAATAATGGTAAGTTTTAACCTATATGTAGATGATGAGATTGCAGTTATATACAGAAATAATATGCTAATACATGCATTGTGAGACAAAAAAATAAATAATAATAAAATTAACCCAAACGGCACAGAGGTAAGTTTTATTGGAGGCAGAGTTAGTCCAACATCTAAGATCTCCAGCATAAAGAAGAAGCAAGAATTAAGTACAACATATTGGTTTTATTTTTAATTTAACAGTGAGAAAATCCAAAGTGTGGTGTTGTGTGCAGTGTGCTTCTTGCTGGTGAGTGTGTACATTTCATTATTGACCTTTCTCACTGTTAAATTAAAAAATACAACTTTTGCACTATTGAAATGGACTGTCTCTGCCTCCTCAGTGAAACTTACCTGTGTGCCTTTCGGGTTAATTGGGTTTTCCCCGGTACTAGGCCTGGGTGGCGTCGCTGGTCTTACATTTATTTGATTACAGTCCACCTCCGCTCTCGCCACATACCGTAACGCCATCTGATGCTCCTTCCTCCACAGCAAAGACTTTATGATGCAACGGTGCTGCCACGAACAGCGAGGCAGGGCTGTCCGCGGACTGAGCAACACCTCCAGAGCTGTCTGCAAAGATAGAGAGATCTCAGTTGTGCACAATGTATGAATTTTTGATAACTCCCTAAAGTGCAGATTATAGAGGAGTACAAGTGTCTGGGTTTAACTGAAATGGGGCAAAAACACAAGTCTGCCTGTTAGTTCTGTGACTGTGTGGTTTCGGCGACATCACAGCCAAAGAAAGAAGAGAGAAGTGGCGATTTGTCCATAACTTAAACCTTGACCAACTTAAACCAACAAAAATCAAAAGGCCACTTGAGGCGATTTTATGTAAAACCAAATGTGTGTTTATTGACCAAGCAAATGGCAAACGTGCAAACTGCAGCCTCTCCTGATGCTGGAAAAAACATACGCCCAAATCGCCTTTTGTTGCGCGCTCCCACCATAGCCCTATTTAACCCTAAAAAGCAATAATTAACTCACAATTATCTTAAACAAATGAAATTGTTTAAAACAGATTCTTATAATTCAAATCTAAAAATAGACAGGGCAAAAATGTTTATTAGTGTGCTTTGAAAATGATCCAATATCACCTGCTTGGGCCAAATCATGTGAAAAGAAAAAATGTGGTTAAAAAAAATATTGTCTGTTTGATTTGTTATATAATACACATTGATGAAAAGGACTTTGCTTTGTTATCAAAAAAACTGTAGAGTTTCAATTTTGTATCAAACTCAGTTGGTGGTGTGCCATGTGATTTTTTTCAATGACAAAGGTGTGCCACGGCTCAAAAAGGTGGAACACTGCTCTAAACTATAGAAATCTCTAAACAAGGTGCTCCGCTCTGACAGAGGACTGTGAGCGGTCTGTTCTGGAGGTTCTTTATGAATCCAAAATCAATGACATTTCTGACCACCCTGGAAAAGCCATGTTCCAGCTTCTTCCCTCTGGCAGAAGATATAGTTCATTATATGCACAACATCTCAATATGCAAACATCTTCTTTCCACAGTTAAAACAAAGCACTTTAATGATCTTGCACTTGTTTGATCGGTTTCACTGTGACAATTGTTTCTTGTACTTTTTAGCTTGTTGTATTTTATATATATGTCTGGTGCACACTGGGGTACTTTAGCACATGGATTTCAATGTGGTTATACTTAATTGATTTAACTTAATTTCATACCTTGACTTGGCCGTGATCCAGCATCCAGAACGCTCGTATTTGCGAAGAAAAACTGGACGGGATGGAGAAGGTGTCACAGAAGGATTTGTAGAGGTCATTTTTGCACTGTAAAATCTTGGCAATGTCCAGGATGAAATAAATAAACTGAGGAGAATTCTGGTTAAGTCTGAAAGTACTGAATGGAATATTTGTATAGAGAAAAGCGGAAGTTGGGTGGATACAACGCCCTGGACTGACTGGGAGTCGGCGTGAGGCAGCAGCAGCAGCTTCAGTAAGGCCTTCAGACTGGGGGGAGGGTAACACGGCTGCCCACTGCTCTCAGGGCTCCAAGGGCAGCTGTGTGGTTGGAGATGGGTCATCAGGGCAAAGATGAGAGAGTCGTTCAATCTGCTGCTGGAGGAGAAGAAAACAATAAATATGATGCATTATCTGTGTTCATTTGGTCCATCAGACCTGATTTTGAGATGATTCACATTTGCGTTTCATGTTTTAGAATGTGGAATGATAGGAGGAACTATGGATGAGCTCAACCAATGACGTAAGAGTAGACTAGTGGCAGAGACATTAGTGACAGAAGCGAGATATGACATAATTATGTAAGCCGCTTTGTAAACCGCTTTGAGACTCCGATGTGCAGTGTAAAGGCGGTATATAAATAAAGATTACTACTACTACTAAGGCCAGGGATGTCAAGCTGGTTCCAGAAAGGGAAGGTTTTCATTCCAACCAAGGCGGGCCCTTTAGGATCGGTTTGGCACTCCTGCTGTTTAGGCCTATTTCTATTTCAAAGATGGCATAGTCTAATAAGAAATAAAATGTTGGATTTATTGATCAAGTTAAGACAACAATTGCCCCAGAAATTTGTTACATAGTCTGGGTGCAGCAGATCACTTACAAATAAAACAATATTGTTACATATAACTACAGTATTGTTGCACTTAAATGAAGGTGATGGGGGAAAAGTTGCCATAAATTTAACAATTAAATCAAATATTTTCTATTTTTATTATTATTTCATTACTCTATGTTATTATTCATAAAAGACAAAAAGACGGGGGTCATGTTTGTGCTGCTTTGTGCCTGATAAGTTCCTGATATTAGCGTGGATGGAGCTAAAAACATATTTCAGATTGGACAATGTTGTTAAAAACACAAAGATAAATCTCAGCATTGATCTACATTAATTTAATCAGCAGCAACTTTCCTTCATCTGGATCCTGAACTAACCCGGCCCCAGACAAACTGATGGCGTTACCCAGATGTGTCCAGACTGCTCCTCATTTCTTTCCACATTTGAGCGATTTTCTTTTCTCCTTGTGGTTCTAAAAGATAACAATGTACGTGTTAGAACTGCCACATTACAGAATCGTGTGTGTGTGTGTGTGTGTGTGTGTGTGTGTGTGTGCATGTGGTTGTTACCCGGGCGTTTGGGCAGGAGTCCCATGAGGCTCCACCACTCCACCAGCCGGCCCAGCCACAGGTGCCTCTGCAGGTCTCGCTGCTCTCTGGGCCAGCAGCTCCGTCTGGTGCTCAGGGGAATGTCTTTGCCCTCTGCACAGACAATATCGCCTTTTTAAATTAGTTTTTTACAGTGAGGAAATAAATACACACATTAAACACAATTTAAATGGATACACACAAAGGACTCACACTCCAGTCCTTAGTCCAGATCAATGTTTTGGTTTTGAGAGTGTAACAAGTATTTTGGGACTGTGAAAAACTGGATTACTTTGTGGGTTAGGGTCATAGTGTTGGGGTGGTTACCATGACAGCGTGCAGAGTGGGCCGTCCTCCTGACCCAGTGCACCAGAGTGAGCAGGTTCCTCAGCTTCTGCAGCAGGAACCGGACTCTGCGACAGGAGTAACGGTTGAAGAACATCCACAGGCCCTGACCGCGGCTCAGACCTGATAAGATAACATAAACCTTTATCCGTCCATCAGTGAGGACGTAAAACAGGGTAAATTATTTTAGATAATAGAATAAGATAATATGATAACGAAATAAACTCTGGAGCTAAAATTGCGATTGGTTCAAGGTATTGCACTTTAGCAGCAAAGAATATGACTAGAATAAACAATAGAAATAATTGGTAAAGTGACAAGTGAATTATCAGAACAGAATTATCAAAATAATGGACTATGTAAGTAAGTAAGTAAGTAATGTTTATGTAATGGTGTAGTAATAATAATAGCAGCTTAAGTGACTTTAAACAAGTAAAGTGACTGTTAGTATTAGATAGCAATATGGCCTACGTGCAGGACTGTACAAGGACTCTACAAGGACTCCATGTTATGACTATGATGTGACTGTCTCTTTGTGACACGTATGTCTTTCGATGTGTGACGTGACAATGACTATATAAACTGTGTACTGCCTTTATTCTGTCTGAGAGGAAGAAACAGAGGAAACCAGTGGAACTTGAGAGAAACTTAAATAAACTTCCAGAGTTTGGCACACCACGATCCGTCTCTGTCTGCTTAAATCCTAACAGATTTGGTGGAGAATGCGCGGCTCCGTGTGTGCCATTCTCTGGATTGTTTTGAGGGAATTTCCTCTGTTTCTTTTTTTCGGCGTGTGGGAGCAACAGCACGTTATCTGGAAGGGGAGAAATCCCAGTGGACGCTGAAAGGGCTCGCTTTTGGATGGGCTTGCTCTTGCTCCCTCACTTTCTCTGTTTTGTGTTTAAATTGAATTTTCCGACGCGGAAAAGAGTTGGCAGACCTCTCGGACAGCCCGTGCGCACCTGTTTGACAAGAATAAGGTAAGCGGACACCTGTTAATTCAAAGTCTGCCTCATTGAGTAAGCTAAATTGTGGTCTGTTTTTGGGGTCTGCCAAATGTTGTATCTATAGATAAGATTGTATTGAAGAGAAGTTAGCTACCTGCAGAGGAAAAGGGTTAAAGTCCCACAGAAGGGTTAGAGTCCCACAGAAGGGTTAAAGTCCCACAGAAGGGTTAAAGTCCCACAGAAGGGTTAGAGTCCCACAGAAGGGTTAGAGTCCCACAGAAGGGTTAAAGTCCCACAGAAGGGTTAGAGTCCCACAGAAGGTTAGAGGCCCATAAGAATAGAGAAACCATGGTGTAAACAGAAAAGCAATAAAAAGGGAAATGTGTTAAAGAGGCCTTTGTTACAAAAGCTTTGAAATTGACGAATTTCAGGCTGATAGCAATAACATCTGTTATATTTCAGTGATCACGGTTTAAATTACATACAGAAAAAGGGAGTTTTTGTTTTTGGAGTGAACAGAGTTCACCGGAGAATGCAGAGTTTTATCTAAAGTTGAGCTATGAGAGCTTTCGTGAGTTATTTACATTTTTTGCAGAGTTTTATCTACAGTTAAACTATGAGAGGGTTGTATCCAACAGTTGTTTTTTGTTTTTTAGAAAGAGATTTTGAGTTTAAATTAGTTTGCTACCTCGATAAAATAGAAGCGTACGTTAAAGTAAGAGTGCCTTTTGTTACTAGTGTGGAAAGTGATCATTTCTAGACTTGGATGACAAAAGTATAAAGAACAACATAAGTTATATTCGCTTAACAAAGTAATCTTGAAAGTTATTCTTCTGTATCTTTTTGCCTGTGTGTGCACATCTCTATCTGCTGCCGTTGTCAGGGAAACGGCCCCCTCCTTCGCTGCTCTGGCTCTGAATCAAAGCTACTGCTTTAGGATTTTTGGCTTTTCATAGTAGTTATTCCGTTAAATTTGCGAAATTTGCCATTTGAAAATTGTGTTATGACACAGTTAAACGTTTTTAAACACCATTAGTGAATAAGTTTTGAATATTATATGTTTGTTTTTTTTTTTATTTTTTTTTGAAACCCAAAGATTAGTGCTAAAAGCTGTGCAATTCTTTTTAGACCTAACATATTTCTAGATTCCATTCTTTTAAATCTGCTGCTTATTTCTTAAATTTTTGTGAGTTGTGTTTGTTTTTATGTTTTTATTTTAGTTACAAAAGCCGTTTTTCAAACATTTAAATTAGAATCTGAGTTAAAAGTGATTAATGATTGTAGACTTCGTCTAAAAAGAAAGAGGGAATTAGGAATTAGCTGTAAAAGTATTATTTAAGTTAAACTACCCAATTCACCCATTGCAAGCGGTGACGTTTTTGTTTTGACTATGCACCTGACCTTCCTCCTGCTGCAGATGCACGCAGCACAGGAGCCTGGTCTAAAATGTGCTCCAATTCATACTGACTTCATTTGAAAAATGCTGCAATTATTTTAAATTAGTAAAATATATGCTGAGATAAATGCATAGATAATTAAACACAGTACAAAAATACACATATTTTAAAGTTTAAAGGTTTTTTGAGATTTGAGTCTTGTTTTTTATTAAGAGAGAGTTTCTGGTCTTAAAATGTCATCATTAGTAAGATAATAAGTAATCTTTATTTACATAGCGCATGTGGGAAAACCCAGAGCGCTCCAAAATTGTTTTGACTTTAGGGAGAAAAACAATCTCATTCGCATACTGATATCTATTGTTTTTTTAAATTGGCCGTCTCAAGGATTGTTTTTCAGACTCTGCCTCACTGTACGAGAGGTCACTGCTGGACACTGGACAGCGCAACGCCCACCCAGCCACAGGCCACAGAGCTAAGAGCAAAGGGCAACAATGCCACCTCTACGCCCCTCCCCCCACTACAGAAGTAAGTGGGAGTGAGACCGGGGCCATGAAAGAGAGGTTTCTGGAGGCAGTGATGGGTGGAGCGTCAGGGAGAGACCTGGAGGAGAGTTGAAAGTGTGTCCAGTTGGTTTGCATCACCACAGTGTGACCTTTGACACCTACAGGTGGTTCGAGGAGTCTGGAGACACAACCCCAAAATTTACACCTTACATACACACACACACACACACACACACACACACATTCATACACTCACACATTCACATTTACATATAGATACATGAAAAAGCAGAACATGAGAAAAAAGCATTTTAAAAGTTTACTCCAATGTAAACCAATATTTGTCTATCACTTGAATCAGTATTTTTTGAGACCAGAAATGTTCATTTGAATTCTATATTGTCATGGACATAATTGACCTCTGTCCTGACACTTTTGATTTGTTGATTTTGTACTGTGTGAAGTAATTACATTGATTAGGATTACATCTGATAAAAACACAAATTAGAGAAGTAAACTGAATCATTGCGCTTGCTTTTTGTCTGAGGGACATTAGCAACAGCATGAATAGAAATTGATTAGGATTAGAATCAAAGTGACTTAACCATAGAGAGTAACTATTGCATAACAAGCTGTGTACAGGAACTGAGACACTGCACCATTGACCAGAAGTGCATCGCAAATGACCTGATGTGCTTCAAGTGAAAAGACTGTATCTGGAAATCCTGATGTGCATCTGGAGAGACCAAAACCATGGCTTGGACCCTACTGATGACCAAGATGACATCTCTCTATGACCTGACCTGATGACGACTGAGACTCACCCTCAGGGGACCCTGAGGACCCTGAGGATCTTAGGACCTGAGAGAGAAAAACTGGGGAGTGATGTTTATATTATTGAAATCATATAAACATAAAATCATGATGAGTGCTAAATGAGAGAGATACTCATGATTCTTTCTTTTGTTTTTGTTTGTCCCTAGCTTCTGGACATCTGATGATCTATTGGACACAGCCATTTGCAGAACAAGAACCAGCCAATGAAAACGTCTATTGCCGATGCTATTGCTACAACCAGAACCTGTGACCAAATGCAATATACATGTTAAGTATTCGGACATCTGACAGACAAAAACTTTGAAAATGATAAAGTATGAGTATTGTAGCGTTTTAGTAGATGTTAAATAGTAGTAAAAAAGTAGAATTTGACTTCCTTTGTTTTTCATAAACACATTTCCACATAAGAGTTAAAATAGTACCCTACAATGTTATCCTTTTGATAGATCAGCTATAATATTAGAATCAGAGTATTTTAGAGATATTAAAAGTGACAGAAGTCACAAATTAGGAATATGCCTTTGCTCAAACTGCAGCCAAACTTTGGAGTCACAATAGTGTAAAAATAGAGATAGATAAATGCATCAACCATAGATGCTTTCAAAAATAGAGAATATTCTTAGCCAGTGCTAATATCAAATGGTAAAGGGACCATTTCACAAACATTTACTTCAAAAGTAGATAAAGTTACTTACAGTTTTATGTACAGTTTTATTAGATACTTGCCAAATTCACTTGTGTTCACACATGAGTGAATGTTGACAATACAAAAAGTCCATATGAGTGTAGCCTAGATTAATGTAGCTTAGATCAATGAGATAGATTACAACCAACAGAGATTTAAAAGCATTTTGATGCATTTGGGTGTAGCCCAAAAACACAATAGTAGATATTTGGATATCTTTGAGAAGTTTAAAAAGCTGATTTGCCAGCACAGATTATAATTCAAACACCATTGTAGAATAACTGACCCCAACCCCAAACTTGCTAAAATAGATTAGCTCTTGTAAGGATAATACTAATTTGATTAATGATGTTCATTCATCCCAAACTGCCTGACAATAATATCTTTAGATAATAAAAAGTAATAAATCACTGACCACTATAGAAGTGTAAATGTTGACCATTTGCCTTACTGTGTTCAGTTTTATTCCTGAGAATGAGAATAGACATGGAGCAAAATCCCACTAACAATAAGCCACTGATAATGAGAGTATAAAACCACAGAGAGATTTGTTAGATTAAAATGTATGTTTAAGAATATGGCTCAATAGAAGCAAATATGCAAACATATTTGTAAATAGATTAGAATAGTTTAAACTATAGTGAATAGAGAGTAAAGTACACAGTCTAAGATTGATAAGTGAAAATAATACAGTGAAATAAGATTGAGTGAAGTGTAAACAATCAGCATTAGAATAAAAGCATAGAGTAATAAAAGTGAAATTAGCTTCAAATTTGAGACTCAGCTCGTTTTTGTCTGTGTTTTGACTGAATCTGCTGAGTTCTTGTGTGTCCAATAGTTTTTGTTTGTTTTTATTTTTGATTTGTTTTTTGTTTGTTTATTTACTTTATTTGTGTTTTTTATTTTTTCCCAGGATAGAGGATAAAATCCACTGATATTGATTTGATGATTATGAGTTTAATGCATACATTTTCTTTGTTTTTAATAATTTTTAAAAGTTTTTTTTTAGATTTTTTTTTTTTTTTCTTTTTCCACTTTATTGATTGATTGATTTGAGTGATCACATGTGATTATGTGATCAAAGGGGAGGGTGTTAGTATTAGATAGCAATATGGCCTACGTGCAGGACTGTACAAGGACTCTACAAGGACTCCATGTTATGACTATGATGTGACTGTCTCTTTGTGACACGTATGTCTTTCGATGTGTGACGTGACAATGACTATATAAACTGTGTACTGCCTTTATTCTGTCTGAGAGGAAGAAACAGAGGAAACCAGTGGAACTTGAGAGAAACTTAAATAAACTTCCAGAGTTTGGCACACCACGATCCGTCTCTGTCTGCTTAAATCCTAACATGACTAGTGGATTATCAGAACAGGTGACTGGCACTGTCATGTCCTGTTCTGTGTTTTATTTTGATATCACCCTTTCTTGATCTCGTCCCGGATTTACTTCCTGTCGATTACTGCCCCATTCTTGAGCCTCACCTGTGTCATTGTGTATTTTGTTTGTGTGCTCCGCCTTGTTTGACAGATTGTCTCGTCTGCGTGAATCTAGCCTGTTTTTGCGATTTTCGTCTGGTTTATTAAAACTTCTAAACTACCTTTTGACTTTGGGTCTGCTTTTGAGCTGCTTTTGTACAGGCCTGACAGGCACATGTAGAGACTCGGTAGTGCTCCTTGTACAGTCTGAAAGCAGCAGGAAGGAGGGACCAGCTGAACCTCTCCTTAACACATTGGGGGTTAATATTGGAATGTAACTTAAGTTATCATTTTGGTAAATCATATGTGGCTATGTGCTGAATGCTCTGTATTGTAATTCACTTTAGCTTCAGGAAGACACCGGGAGGTCTGGGGAGCTCATATGCTAAGTGTCTTTTGTTGTGTTGGTTTCTTCCTTTCCCATCTGCATACGAAGGTGTGTCTTGTTCTACCAAAACGGGCTTGCAGACTGTGAATCTTCAGACTTGTCCTGAGAGAGGCTAGGGTCTGTGCCTTGCCTCTGTCAAGACTTTCTCCTTGTACAATGTAACAAGTAAAAGATTAACTTTGTCTCTTTGTTGTGTGAGATTTCATCAGGTTCAACTGTAGTTGAAACAGCATTATCAGGGGTGAATAAATCTGTCACTGAAGCTGCTCTCTATCACAGCGTTCACAACAGCAGACCATTACACTGTATGTCGCATGTGTTCACTCTCATACACAGGCTCAGCAGCTCCTTCTTTGTGATCTCTGACGTCCTTTGGAGCCAGCAGGAAAAGGTGACCAGCGTCTCATCCACATCTGCGTTATCTGGGATTCAGAAAAATGTCATTATTGTCATTGGAATGGACTTAAGCTCATAGAATGAGTTAAACAAAATCTTTTAGCACGTACCGTTGTCTGAATTCTTGCGCAGTCCGTGAATAATGCTCACGATGTTGTTTGTGGCCAGGAGGTCTGTCCACTGAGCCTCCAACTCCAACAGCATTTTACAAACTTTACTGCAGCAAAGCCAGATTGTCTATGAAGAAAAATGACAATAACTTTTAATATAAAGCCGGGGGCATGTAAATTAAAACCTCAATGAATGAACTATGTAATGAAATGAATCTAGCTCTTAAAACTGTTTGGTTTTATCACTACTTCTCACATGCATACATTTTTGGTCTTGTCACATCTTCAGCTTTTGTACAAAAAAAATAGAGAACACCCTCGATCAGCCAATCAGCTCTCAACTATCAAATTATGACTCACAAGGCTCTTTTTTACAAGTTTCTAAACAGTCACATTTTTTAATCAAATGAAAACTATATGTTGTAATCTAATTTTTTAGGACAATCAAATTGTATTATTCCTAGAAAAAAACATTATCGTTTGTTTCAACAATCATATTTCATGTTATCAATACAATACACATATTGCGTTTGGGCGGCACGGTGGCTGAGTGGATAGCACTCTCGCCTCTCAGCAAGAAGGTCCTGGGTTCGAATGGGGTGGCAGTCAGAGCTGCACACAGTACACAGAGTACCAGCCCCTCACTGATCGTCTTGCAGGTGGTGAGTCCACAGGAGCCTTGATCTTTCAGTGGGGCTTCAGGCAAAGTGGGGTTAAGTGTCTTGCCCAAGGACACAACAACATCAGTGGGAGTCATAAAGTTGGTCTTGTGGTGGGTTGAAACCATAGACTGTATTCAAACCCACGACCTTCGGGCCCAAAGGCCAATGCTCTACCAACTGAGCCACTGTCACCCCTATATACCTAATGTAAGAAAGAATAACTGACAATGTGATAAACAAATATAAAAGCAGACGTATCGGACTCTCATTTATTTATGAAACTCTTTGTTTGTCCAAACAGAAAGAGTCATGTAAAAGTATAATGTTGCGAACCAATTAGTATCTTTAACCATGTAGAAAACTTGTTATCAAGCTGATTGGCTAAAAATAAAATTGTGACATTGGTCAAAATGCATGTGAAAACCAGAGATAGCAACAAGTTAGATGGCTTTTCTTGCATATTTTTGTTGTAGTTTGAAAGTTAAGTCCCTAAACTTTAATTCTATCCACGCCAATGTCATAAAAAACATGTGTAATTGAATGAGTCGTCTAACTTTAGCTTGTCATAAGTTTACAGACCACATTATTAGACAAATATCCACTGCAGGTCTATCTATATACATCAGCAGTTGTTGCAGTTATTGCACACAGTTACCACCGAACCAAAACAGGAAATGTAATTATTCAATCATGTGTTACCTGCAGAGCTGCAATCGTCCAGTCTCTCCCTCTATGGCCTGCTCTGGCTGTTTGCACACACACACACACACACACACACACACACACACACACACACACACACACACACACACACACACACACACACACACACACACACACACACACGCTCTCTTCTTTCACACAAGCCACTTTAGAACATGATAATCCTCTAATCTTACTCTGCGAGCACTTTTCATTGTTTATGGGCTGTACTTGTTTCTATGTAGACTTAAAGAAAAAGCAGGACAGGAAACCAGAGGACCCAGGACAGAGAGAGCAGGCGGAACTTGAAATGAAATGAAACTAAAAGACTTACACCTGCAACACTCGGCCTTTCTCGGTCTGTTTTTGGAAGCGGCCAAAAAAGAGTGATTTAGGGTCAGATTGAAATTGATTGATTGTTTTTACTAATTTGAGCAAAAATTACACATTCAGCACACAAAATATAAAATATAAGAAGCTGCTAAGTTTTATAGCAAGCTTTAAATGCTTCAACATCAATGTATCGATATATCTCTATCTGAAGCAACAGTATTTGCCATAATTTCACCCTGTGTTGGTATATTTACAATTTTAATATATATTTACAAATGTATTTCTGTGTCACTTCTTGAAACTGGCTGCGGTATAACTTGTGACACTCATATCTTCTTTTGATTTTTAGACTTGAACAACATTTATGTAGTAGTATGTTTACGTATAGCCCTAAATCACAACTGCTGTTATCTCAGAGGACTAAACAAAATTGCTGAATTCTCCGACACAGATCAGAGAATCAAACAGTTCAAACTCAAGAAATTCAGTGATAAAAAACACATAGAGGCATTGGTCCATAAGAGGCAGAGACCGATGTCCATAAATGTTGATCAATGTTATAATACGCAGGATTTGTTATAGACTCCAACTCTTTTTATGTACATATTTCTTTTACTTATACATTGAACTGTATGTATTGTATATGTGTATTATTTATGTAGATCAATATTTTGTGTCCTTAATACAGCTTAGTAACAGAATAAAAGGGAATCTATTGGGAGTTGATTTGATTATGTCTATATTGCATCTATAATGTTATTTTTCATTGTTACATCTCATTACTTGAATCTTCATTATTGCCACCCAATCAACCTTCACAAAAAACATAATTAAAGCTGGGGTACCTAACTTTCAAACCATAATAGATTGAAGTCTGTGAAAACATCTGTGTAACTAGTTTCTCACTAGTTTTTGGGCTTCGTTACAACTTTCGATCAGCATTTGCAGACACTCAACCCAAAGCGTCACATTTCCGGTGAAGGTGAAGACAGAATATTTAGGTCTGATTTGTTTGCAACTTCTCCCCTTTTACAAGACTCTTTCGGTTGGGACAAACAACAAGTGCAAAATTTGAATTAACACCGTGATAAAGTAAAGTATCCCCCGCTTTAGAGGCAAAGATAACTTTTGACTCCAGCTCCACACGGGGAAACAGAGCAGGCACAATGCTGAGGCTGAAGGAGGCAGATACAGCATACGGTGTGGGCCTTAAATCCCTGCGTGGACCTGGGCAGATTAATGATTAGGGGGGATTAGGATGAGGGTTAAGACAGGGCCACTAGTGTCTTACCCCAGTGTGAGGGAGCTGGATGTCACTCCACACATGTGTTCTACGGGACTGTCCTTATTAGCCACAACGCCAGGGGAAGTGAACGGACATGACCTTATATGGAAGGCCCCTTAAAGGTATGTGAGCGATGCAACTAGGGCTGCTACTCCTTTTTTAAAGTTGTATGAGGAGATATATACTCGACAATCAACAACTGCATTCAAATGTGCAAACAAAAAAGGTGAAACATTTTGTTGAATTTTGCAGAATTTAACTTATCTATTGTTTATTCTTGTTGTAATTTCGAGCTTTTATTACAAGTTTTGCCAATAATAGCACCGGCAGATGGAGTGGGATTGTACATACTAGCAGTATTAGCAGTATCAGCTTTGTACAGTCTCACATATATGTGTATATATAATTATTTGTGTTGTAAATATAACCCCATACTTAAGCTAGTGCACTTCTGGTTAGACGCTGAACTGTATTTTGTTGATTTTTTCTGACTTTGTGATGACATGAAAGTTGAATCTATTCTAATCTAATCCAAACAAGAACCATAAAAAACAGAAATCTCATTCCAAGTGAGAAATAGCTCAGTCTTAGCTTCGTTAAAAGCAGATTTAAATAGAGGTTTGTTGGAGAATCTTGGTTGAGATTGTGTCCATTCAAAATGTCGCCCAAGTCATTTAAAAAACTTGAGCACTTGATATAAATTATTGTATATTGTAAATAGATTGTAAATAATGTCTTGAACTGTAATATATGAGTTTATATGACGCTAAACTGTGCGTTCTTTGTCTTTCAAGGCCCGGTGAGGTTAAAATTACATAACAAAATGTCTGACTAATCACCAATCATCAACTGGGACCGCTGCCTTCATATCACAAGCCAGAGAAGATGTCGATCATGGGATAAGCTCCTTTCTACCTGAATAAAAAATCGTCCCGCAACCCCCCCCCCCCTTTCTCCCCTCTCTCCCTCCTATTGTGTATGGGACAACAACCTTCACCTATGCCCTAATCTCCGGGGATTTACGAGGCGGCCGGAGGACATGGCCGTGCTGCGGGTGAAGTTCACCAAGACCAAACGGGACAAGCTCGCCCAGGTGCTATGGATCCTCAACTGGATATCAGTCATAACCGGGGTCATACTTTTCAGCCTGGGATTATTCCTCAAAGTGGAGATTAACAAGAGGAAGGAGTTGATGGCCGACCGGGACATCCAGTACGTCCCGAACATGCTCATCGCCGTGGGACTGATCGCGTGCGGCATCAACTTCCTGGGCGGGAAGATTTGCTACGACTGCGTGGACACAACCAAGTTCCTGCGTTGGAAGTTGATCATGCTTCCGTACATCGTGTGCACTTTCTTCTTCACCTCCTGCATCTTGGTGGGGGCGCTGATGTGTTACAGTATGCGGGGGGAGCTGGAGGAGTCCCTGGATCTGGGGTTGGCGGCGGCGTTGAAGTTCTACAAGGACACGGACACGCCCGGGAGGTGCTTTCTCAAGCGGACCGTGGACATGCTCCAGATTGAGTTTCGCTGCTGTGGGAATGAGGGCTATAAGGACTGGTTTAGAATCCAGTGGATCAGCAACCGCTACTTGGACATGTCCCACAAGGAGGTTTTGGAGTAAGTCGTGTAGAAGCTGAAAACAGAGATAGAAAGAGTTTATTTTTGTTTTATTTTCATTTACTTATTTATTCATTTACATATTTATTCACTTGCTTACTTATCTATGTATTTGTTTATTTATTTATTCACTTATTTACTTACTGGGAGCTTACACAAACCATAGACTGTAAAAATTAACGGACGTAGTCACGCCTATCTCCGCCATTCTAACTATCCATCCATTTTCTACCCTTTAATCCATTTCTGGGTCAGGGGGGTGGCAGTCAGAGATGCCACCCAAGTCTCATAGCACCAGCCCCTCACTGACCCTCTGCAGGTGGTGAGTCCACAGGAGGACGGCTGCTCTCTGAGTGTGAGCATAGCCTTGATCTTTCAGTGGGGGCTTTGGGCAAAGTGGGGTTAAGTGTCTTGCCCAAGGACACAACAACAGAAGTCATCAGTGGGAGTCGGTGGAGAAGGTGCAGAGGTGGGAATTGAACCCACGACCTTCTGGCCTTAAGGCCAATGCTCTACCAACTGAGCTACTCAGTCGACCCCCGTTCTAACTAATGGGCCACAAATGTTGCTCTACTGGAGCTTTATTATGAAATTATGAAAAAACGCATCTGTGCATGCGTCAGCTGGCGAGAGCTCCATCCATTTGAACGAGAGACTTCAATGACCACTCGCAGCCATTTTGGATAGCTCCAGTAGAGCACATTTTTTGGCCCATTAGTTAGAACGGCAGAGATAGGCGTGACTCTGTCCGTTGATATATACAGTCTATGGTCAACACACATCATTTTGGCCACTTTTGAGCCGGGACCCGCCCCCACTGACACAAACTTACTTACTTATTTGTTTGTTTGTTTGCACTATTAATGTATTGTTCAGACCGGACATACAGTAGCTACAAGCTGATTTTCATCCATAGTCCCTGGGAAGAGGCAAAGTGACAGTTTACAATGTGCAAAGAAATAGATAGTATGGTCTAGTTATCATTTTAAAAACACCTCTAACCGGAAAAATATACAAAATATATACCACACACAATTATTTACATCTGATTCATGACTGCAGACTTGAGTATCTTTGAGCCAGTTCTTTAATCGAGTTTAAAAATAGTATTGTACTGGCAGAATGGAGGTTGGGACAGATAAGTCTATAGTTCAATCACCCATTATCCTGGAAAAAAACCATTAAATAGCCCTGGACTTACCTCTTTCCCAAATCCATCTACCCTTTGATATTTATCACAAAGACTATCTCTAATTATTACTCCAATGATTGACTCAATTTGGCCTTGGTATTTACTAAGTAAGTAAGTATATACTGTATTTATGTCGCATAGACCATGGTCACACAAAGCGCTTTACAATGTTTTGGAGTTCACATCTTTTTCCATTCACTCCACACACGGTGGTGACAGAAGCGAGTCGCTTCTGTCACCTGGCATGTTTTTAGAGGTAGAGGAAACCGGAGCACCCGGAGGAAACCTACTTATACACAAAATTGCTCTGAAGCACAAGCGTTAACCACTGTTGACGTTAAATATGGGCTTGTTTATTATAAATTACTGATTCAAAATGCAAAGAAATAGACGGATTCAGGAAAAGTGCAAATACCGTTTGAAGACACTGCAGATATGAATTTCCCAAAGACAGAAATATGTATTGATATCATGTCATAGTTAAGTGGCTGTAAATTCAAAGTTTCTTACAAAACGACAACTTTAAGCCATAATACAAGAAGTTGAGGTAGTTAAATGTACCCAAGGACAGACACGACTGCCTTTCAAGGAAGCACTATAGTATTTTTAAATTGGTGAATAATGTGTGCACACTTCACATTCATTCGCAAAATCAAACTATCTACAATTTTACAAAACACAGATGGGAAAACTAATTCAGAAAGTATGACTCCTCTCCGCTATGGGAGAATTGATCAGTTTTAATGACCTACAGCAGTGTACATGGGTCCAAGTTTATTTAATTTTCAATGAAAGTATTCTTTGGTTCTCACCCCCGCTCTTCGGAGCTTACGTCACTCACATTTCCTGTTCAAATCTATCTACAATTTATCTACAAGTTGTAAACAAACTCTCTTTGTAAGTAAGTAAGTAAGTAAGTAATCTTTATTTATATACCGCCTTTCACAGACCAGAGTCACAAAGCGGTTTACGATAAGATAAGATAAGAGTTCCTTTATTCGTCCCACAGTGGGGAAATTTTGTTGTTGCAGCGCACATACAGGACAATAGTAGGAGCACACAGGGAGCACACACAATATATACAAATAAGTATTAGCTAAGTTTCTTAGCTAACATAACTAGCTGTAGATTCTGAAAATGCTTCAATACCAGTCAAAATATATAAGTAGTAGTAGTGCAGTTATATACTGTACAGTTAAATAGTGCAGGATAATAAGTAGATAAAGTAAAGTGACATTGTTCTGTGACATTCTGAAGTTGCAGAATTGCACATTGCACATGATTTAAGAATTTACTTAATTACAGATGAATGACATTTACAGGCTCAGCAGTTCTTATTGTACAGTCTGACAGCAGCAGGAAGGAAAGACCTACGGAACCTCTCCTTCACACAGCAAGGGTGAATTAGTCTGTCACTGAAACTGCTCTCCAGAGCAGAGAGAGTGTCCTGCAGGGGGTCATGGTCATGGTCCAGCATAGATGTTAGTTTGTCCAGGACCCTCCTGTCCCCCACCTGCTGCACTGTGTCCAGGGAACAGCCCAGGACTGAGCTGGACTTCCTGATGACCTTGTCCAGCTTCTTCCTGTAGAATTGTTGTTTTTTGGGCATTTGTCTCTCACTCCACACACAGAGATGGGAGCGGGGTCGCCGAACAGGAGGCGCATGCCAGACCTATTGTACATATTTTTAGTGGTAGGGGAAATCGGAGTACCCGGAGGAAACGTACGCAGACACGGGGACAAAATGCAAACTCCACTCAGAAAGGCCCTAATAATATCTCTGCAGCGATCTGTCATTATAGTATTCCAGTGATCTGCTGATTAATATCTCTTTCTCTAATTTAGTAATCTATGTAGTTTCATCTCTAAATACACAAGTAATATATATATAAAACAACAACAACCAACCACAAAAACATCACTCTGGCTTTTCTCCCGTTGTATGACATCAAAACTTATCTCCATGGCCCAAACTAAAGAATGTTTTCAATTTAATTTTACAATAAGGGTTAAACCTAATGTACAGTCACGTTATTACTTGTTTATCATGTTTTATTGGTTAATGCTTATTTATCTTTTAGGACACTGTATAACATTTTCATCTGCAGCATTCATAGAGCACATGAGTCTAGGATCCAGACCGTGATCTGGATCAGTTGTCATTGTGCAAATGTCCTGAAAATGTCTTCCAAATCTTCCAATAATTTTTTAAGCTATGTTGCTCACAGACGAACACTGGTGATCACATTACTAATGGCGGGAGGCAACAGTATTGTAATAGAATCTTATAGTTCCTCGCTCTCCAAACAGTCAGATTCACTAGTTTTCACATGCATGTATTTTTGCCCTCAGTCTCATCTTTAGATCAGACAAAAAAGTAAAACAGAGAGGACCCCCCTCACTCAGCAAATCAGCTTTCAGCCCAAAGCGTCAAATAAATGGGATCACATACATAGATTTAGTTGAAGAAAAAATAAATCATAACGTGATCTGATTGGTTCATAAAATGTTACTTTGAGTTACGTACCCCAGCTTTAATTGCAAAAGCCAGGTGCAGGTGGTCAGTAGTCTCTCTTCATTGACCCATGACCGGTGTGTTGTGTGCAGCCGCCTCCGGAGCAACGTGGAGGGGAAGTACCTGCAGGACGGCGTGCCCTTCAGCTGCTGTAACGTGGACTCGCCGCGGCCCTGCATCCAGAGCCGCATCAGCAACAACTCCGCGCACTACAACTACGACCACGTGACCGAGCAGCTCAACCTGTGGCCGCGCGGCTGCAGACACGCACTGCTGGACCACTACACGCACATCATGCAGTCCATCGGCCTCACCGTGCTGGTCATCTGGGTCTTTGAGGTGAGGGCCAGGGTAAAGGCGTGTAAATACAACGGGTTTGGATCCATTGTGTGTTTTTGATTGTTTGAAATAGCGCTCTCCTGCCAGGTGGATTGGTGAGTTTGTCGCCCTCTGCTGGAAGTAAAGGGGAAAGAATTATGCATTTTTTACTTTCACTCCCTGCAGAAAGTAATGTAATTTTTCTTTTTGGGAATTTCTAAGATGTAGAAGCACTGACAACAACAATAATAATGTTTTTTTTTTTAATCCCTAGTTTTTTAATTATAGGCCTACCAAATGGTTGAGATGTATTTTAATGGTGAAAAGTGCCAAAAACCAAGTGAAATGCCCCAAAGAGGTAGATTTCAGTTCCAAGCTTCTAGTAGATATATTGACTCAAAAAGTGATCCCAAAAAAGGGTTAAATCCGGAGATTTTCAAATCACAAAAAACTGAGTAATCAAATCCATCTCAATTGTAATATTTTCTTTGTGTTAGCGCAAATCCATTGTAGGCTCACTATTCATGAACCGAAAAAAGGTCGGTACCCCAGCTTCAAACATAATAATATCATAATATGTACATGTACAAAGTTTGTAACAGGTTGAACGGTTCACAAGTCATGTCAAAGGTGGGAAAACTCTTTTTCAAACCAGCAAAAATTAAACTATGGAGAAAAATCTGTCTAACTAGTCCCTTTCTCTCCCAACAGTTTGATTCTATCATCACATGCATGTAGATTTTCTTTTTGCCTCTGTCACTTTGGATCAGCTTTTCCAAATTGAAAAGTGAAAAAGAGAGTGCCCCCTTCACTCAGCCAATCAGATCAGGTCAAAGCATTAATGAGTTATTGTCTGATTTGTTCACAAAATTATACTTTCGTAAGACTATATTTCCCAGAATATTTATTTTTGAGATAGTTTCTTGTGTGCCATGTTGGTGACATCACAGCTGATATATGGGGATGTCTTTCGCTGGGGGCTCTGTTTTGTTCTCTCTTTCTCTCTGTCTGACAACACCATGCAGCAGAAGGCCTGTTATTGAGGGCCAGAGCCTCTCTCTCTTCCCACCATGTGTCTGTGTGTGTTTGTATGATTTATTCTGTGTTGTCTCTGTATGCAACTATTTAATGTCCTTTTTTATGTCTATTAGGTTTGTGCCTAATATATTGAGTAACAAGATTTTTGTAATAAACAACAAAGATATGTTCCCCAGATGTAAGCAGTATTACAATGATAAAACTGATCAAATGAATGTGTTTGAAGAAAAATGGTGTGTCTGTGTGTTGTGACAGCTGTCGGTGCTGACTGGAGTGAGATACCTTCAGACCGCCTTGGAGAACGTGCTGCGGCTGGGGGACCCGGACTCTGAGTCTGACGGCTGGCTCCTGGAGAACAGCTTCATGGAGACCGCTCGTATCAACCTCAACATCATTAAGAACCTGGGCAAGTGCAACCAGGTGGACACGGCCAGCAACGGGGACCCCAACATCAACGTGCCCTGTACCTCCACTGCCACCTACGGCCCCGACAACTTGCCCCCGAAACCGCAGCCCAAGACCAGCTGACCCTCCGCATGAGACTCTAACAATACCACTCATCACGTACACTTGTGTTTTATCACTGACAAAAAGCCCTTACTGGCAATGTGCCCATACTAAGCAATGCCTTCTATTCCAAGAGCTACACAAACACAAACTAGTGTATGACCACTGCTGTTTACAAGGACACCGCACGGCGCTGTCGCTGCAGTCAGAGCGGGCAGGATGGATGTGCCCTTGTTCTACTCTGCCTTTGATTTCATTCTAAAATGTATTTCCATGATAGTGATTTCAAACAAACTGGGATGTTTAGATTGAGAACGATTTTGAGAACAGTTTCACAAACTTGAGACAGGTATGTGTGTATAGGTTTAGGTATTTATTATTTCCATTTGCCTGGAAGCCGTGACATGTTTGCAAATAAAGAAAAGCAACACATTGATGCATGGGGAAAAAACGAATTGTGCTACCATCAGATTTTTAATAAATTATAAACTGACCCGAAGCAAAACACTAGGTTGAGTTATTGTGCCCAAAAAAAATCTGCAATTGAAAAGATACATAGTGTTTCTAGAACAATACATGCGCATAATACAGAATGGTACGCTCAGCTTGTGATACAATACATTTGCATGGTCAACACTGACCAATAATAACCATGTGGATACAGTCAAAATTTTAGCCAAAATAGCACTGAATTCTGAAGCTCTTAAAAATATTTCAAAACGTATACCTGATTTGCTATACACATTTGTATAATAGAATTTTATGTTTGCTATTGCTGATATTTGGATCAAAAGTAACAGGCAAAAGCAGAAATAAATCTCTCAAAAACATACGATTAATTATAACTTATTATGACAAATCATATATTTCAGACAAGAAGAAATGCAGGAGATTCACAGCATCACAGGAGACTAAAGGTCAGAAACAGGAAGGGTGTGATGAATGCACGTCTGATTCAGAGACTCCTCACAGCACATGAGCATTACATCTAAAAAAAGGCGACTTGGGTTTAGGCTCCATAACTGCAGTCCTCCTCTGGGGCTCCTCTGGGGCTCCTCTGGGTCTCCTCTGGGTCTCCTCTGGGTCTCCTCTGGGTCTCCTCTGGGGGTCCCGGGGTCCCGGGGCCCTGTGGGTGCTTACTAGGGCCACTCTGCTCCGTCTTTGATCTCCTCATCACAACATCTGCCACTCAAACGCAAACATGACATTCACCACCTCCAGGCTGCGGGCGATCTCCTCCAGGATACAATGCTGCTGCCACAGCTGCTTCAGCTTCCTGTAGCGCTCCGGACACAGGTGCAGCGGGTTGCCTCGCCTTCAACAAACAGCGTTTCATTTATTCAGCTGTTTAACAAGAGTTGGTAAAATAATGCACTGCTTACACAAGGTGAGGGTCGGTCTCCCCATAATCGTCCAGATAAGGAGCAGGATATGTGCTTCCCCTTGTCTTACTGGCCCTCAGCACAATTTCACATTCTCTTATTCTGACACAACACAAACCATTAACAGTCAATGACTGAGACCCCACACATGAAATTATAGAAAATGTGGAGACAAACCTGAGAAACATGCCCACCCCAGCCCCACAGGTGGCAGCGTGGGCAGTGCAGGCGCCCACGTCCTCTCCATCCACCTGACTCAAGCAGCAGGAGCTGAGGGAGCACAGCATGGTCCCGCAGCACAAGCACAGCGTGGGGTGCTTCCGCTCATCATCCATGGACTTTGGACATCTGAGAATGCTCATACTTAGTCACATGACCCGGATGGAAATAGACAGTACATGCAAAAGGCAAACAGGCTCACTGAAAATGACTGGCTTGATTGAGAAGGGCGCTGTAATCATCCGGCAAGTCGATTAGGCGGTTTCTCCTCCTCGGGTATCTGCAGGCAATTCATAAACATTTATAAACACTGGGGGAAATACGTATAAAAATAAATAAAAAATCCCTCAGTTGTCTGCACAGCTAAACAGAACAGTTTTTAACCTGGGTTTATACATTGTCAGAGAAGAAGCCTGTCTCACATTTTCAGGAAGATTGTTACAAAGCCACTGCTTCTCTGCCTGGTCAGTGTGTTTGGGATCAATGTCATGCTGAAAGACCCACCCCATCTTCATCTTCATCTTCAATTGTTGTCACTGATGGAAGAAGGTTTTTGCCCAAAATCCCATGATACATGGCCCTATGCATCCTTTCCTTAATACAGAGAAGTCGACCTATCCCCCCGGCAGAAAAACAGCCCAAAAACTATTATCCTTCGCCCAGTGCTTCACACTGGATCTCTGTCATTACCAACAAAGGTTAAATTACAAAGTATTCAGTTGAATTTTTGTTACTGGTCAAATGCTTGTATACAAATTTTACTAATACACTGTTAAAAAAATCATACAATGTCACTCTCAATTGAAGTGTACCTCGTTTGAAAAATAAGAGCCCCTTTCGTTTGCTAAAGTGGGAGAAGTCGGACAATAGGCAACTGATGAATATTTGTGTCCCTCACTGAAACGTGCTGCATGAAGACACTCATTTACCTGACGGTTTGCAGCTTTCCCTTCAGGGCTTTGGTGACAACAGGGCTCTCACTCCATCTACAAACACACACAGAGACTAGTTAGTGAATCATAATCATAATGTTTATGTTATTAAAAGATTATCTACATTGTTATGATTACTACCTAATTTTTAAAAACAAGAAAAAACAAGAAAATTCAGTAGCTGATTATTTACAGACTGGGAGTCGTTATAGAAAATGTAAACAAAAACGCATACATTGAAGGATAAAATAGTTGTATCTGGAAATAGTATCTAAAAGAATGTCCTTCGCTTTAAATTTTTCTTTTTTCTAAACAACTACTTCAAATCGATCAAAATAATTGTTAGTTTCACCCCCAAATGAATGATCATCACATGTTTACCCGTGGTGTTTTCTATTGCTTGTGTCTTATTGCTTTTTTATCTGCGGCAAATTATGGAATAATGGCACTTTGAGGCTGTGATTTTTAACAACGCAGGGGTTTATGTTTCTATGAAGCTTGTACAAGCATTTGGGACTGCATTCAGACTAGTTAAAAGCCAGTCTAGCTTAAAAAACAATGAATTTGAAATGCAGTTGCAATGGGACTGACCTCTGCAGCAGTGGTGCAACAGTCTCTCTGTGATCCTGAAACAGCTGGAACAGGTTTGAGGGTAGAGCCAGGTAACTGCACAGAGGCTCCAATTGTAGAGACGAAACTGAACGGAAAGATTAAAATGTTGTGTCTCAGACTTGTGAGTGTTTCAGACTTAAAGCAGCTTTACTGATCACACAAACAAAAGCACAATATTTATGTATTTAAAAGGGAACATAATTCGTCTTTATAGTACGATCATCCATGACACCGTGGTTCATAATTAAACATTCAGTTCATATAAACTAAAAGCCTTTCCATTAGGGATGTAAACAACTATGAATTTTCATGACCGACCACCGAGCCTCATTAACCGGTTGAAACCGGTTAACCGCGTAGTTTAAAATAGTCCACGTTCTTTGAAATAACAGCCATTTCGAGCCGCGTACTTTTCATAAGTGCAGCTGAGCGTTCTACGGGATCAGAGCCGAGACAGCGGCACCAAAACCCGCAACAGCTTCGGCACCTTTGCGCACAGAGAACTGCTGTTTTAATCTTCCCATTCTTCTGTGCTGCGGCTTAAAGCATTTTTAAGCAAAAGACAGCTCGTCCACATGGTCAGGGCAGCGAGTGACGAGCCGCGTCTCGCAGGTCTCCGCTAAAGTTTAAAAGTGATCAGTGTGGAGCTGATGCCAAGGACCAGCAGCACAAACATGGTCCATGTGGTTTGACTGGAGCCGTGTATTTGCAAGAATGCTTTGGGCTCCGTGACACAGAGGAGCGCGACAGACCGGTATGTGTGTGTGTACAATACATGTATGTATGTGTGTATATGTATGTGTGTGTGTATATGTATGTGTGTGTGTATATGTATGTGTGTGTGTGCAATACATGTATGTATGTGTGTGTAAATATAAGCTCCAATGTAGTTCTGACCCGCACCAGTGTGCAACTAGCAGGCGGTAACAGAGGGGAGAGATGATGCGTGTGGATGTTACGTGTCAATGGAGGGGGGGGAAATGTGTGTGTGTGTGTGTGTGTGTGTGTGTGCGTGCATATGTGGCGCGTTACATTGGCGCACACAGCTAGATAGGGACCCGCTCGTCACATAGTGCAAATAGGGCTTAAAATAGCGTTATGAAGCTTTTCTCTTTTTTAACCGACAGCTTTGACCGGTTAACGCTGTGACGGTCAACCACCGGTTAAACGGTCACCGATTTACATCCCTACTTTCCATACTGCCTCTGAACATCAGTAAATCATCACTGATTCACAATCAAATTGGCAAATAAAGTGGCAATGGTGGCTCGCATCTATATGAGGATATAAATAACTCATGACTAGCTCTAAAACAGCTTTGATTCATGACAAGAGAATAAGGTAATCATGGTTATATCCCCTTTAACGGAATGTGATGAAGCTGCACAAACCTGCAGTTGTAAAGAGCTCCTCTGGGGGGCGCACTCCTGTGAGGCAGTTAAAGAAGAGAGCGGCGCAGCGCAGGAACGGCTCAATCCCTCTTTTGACGCGCTCAGCCACAGCGGAGCCCGACATGTCGCCCATTGGCCTGATGGAGAAAGAAGGTGTAAACAACAGAAGAAGCAGAAGTACCGATGAGTGACGTACCTTTTGGTCAAGTGAGACACCGTGGAATACCACTCGGCAGCAGCCTTGGCCTCCTGTGCGTCGCTGTCCCCGACCACAGCCGGGAAGTCTGCGGAGGAAAAGTGCAGTGAGCCAATGACGATCACAGTCCTGATCAAAGCAGAAAGCAGCGTAGCAGCGTAGCAGTGTGTAGCAGTGTGTACCTGTGGACGTGAAGAGCACCTGCAGCATGTGGGCCATAATCACCAAGTGTAGGATGTACAGGTGGTTATAGGCCGAGCTCACAGCAGAGGGCAGCAGGTCCACAGTCTCCTCCTGGTACAAGGAGGGCACCGACAGCACCAGCCCCACCTACAGGCACACACAGGCATCAACGATCATGACAGACCCGGACCACCACTGTGTCGGGGAGCAGTAAGTCAAGTCACCCATTCAAACCCATGACAGAAACCCGTGACAGAGCTATAATTACAACAGGATGGCAAGTTTATAAAAAGTATCTGAAATCTAGTGTCTATGAAGATGTTCTGGAGTCACATCACGTTAGCTTTGGTCAAATTTATTAAAAAGATTCTGATCATTACATCCCTAATACAGTATAGAACTTTTTTTTGTGTGGGTTGTATTCAGAATACAGTTACTTAAAAAAGTTAAGGGATACATTTACACATATGATTATGCCATTATTATAAAACGAATGAAAAACATCTCTTTTAGGGATGTCTGCGACTGTAAAATTCCTTTTCAAAACTTGCCTCAGGACAATTCTCTCTTGTGGAACAAAGTTTATTCTATCACAAATATTCCCAAAGTGAAAAACTTACCAAAAGATGAAAGAAGTCTACTTCCACAACTGAAGGGGTGTTCTTTCGGCTCATAGCTGGAAGCAGCACTGTAACACATCATACGTGTGAAAAAGTTGCTCAAATGTAGATGGAGTGTTGAGTCAATCATATCTACCTCCCAACATGTCCACAAAGTGCTTCTGGATCACCGCCTGGGAGCTCTTTATCCTCTGAGTAGCAGCAAACTGGACAATGGCCTTTAGACCTGCCAACTATAGACGCACATTTTAAAACAACCCCCAATTCATTATATCAAACCAGATAATCCATGTAGACCACACCATTCTTTTATCCAGCCTGAAACACCTCGGCCTCTCTGGTGCTGTCCACAAATGGTTCACTTCTTATTTAACAGACAGATCCTTCATGGTAAGTTTGGATACCTGCTCCTCTCAGGTCCATAAAATCACATGTGGTGTGCCCCAGGGTTCCATTTTAGGTCCGGTCCTTTTTAACCTGTACATGCTCCCTCTTGGCGGTGTCATCAGGAGACATGGAATTAACTTCCACAGTTATGCAGATGACACACAGCTGTACATCTCCATGTCTCCTGACAACACCAAGCCAATGGATGCTCTTTTTAACTGCATTTTAGACCTGAAATCATGGATGGCAGAAAACTTTCTCCAGCTTAACCAGGACAAAACTGAGGTTTTAGTCATCGGTCCTGAGGCCCAGAGAGAGAAACTTTTATCAAAACTCCAATCACACTCTTTTAATCCATCATCAGAAGTGGAAAATCTGGGCGTAATCTTTGACTCTGAGCTGACTTTTATTCCTCACATTAAGAACATCACAAAAATAGGTTTTTATCATCTAAAGAACATCGCCAGAGTCCGCCCCATTCTCTCTCGGGGCAATACGGAGACGCTGATGCATGCTTTTATCACCAGTCGCATTGACTACTGTAATGCCCTGCTCTCTGGTCTTCCCAAAAAGAACATTTCAGGTTTACAATTACTCCAAAACTCGGCCGCACGTGTCCTGACTAAGACCAGGGGGCGGGACCACATTACACCGGTTTTAAAATCGCTGCATTGGCTCCCTGTGTGTTTCAGGATCGATTTTAAGGTTCTTTTAATGGTTTTTAAATGTCTTAATGGTCTTGGGCCTTCTTATCTTTCAGATTTGCTTTTATCCTATGAACCTTCCCGGCCCCTGCGCTCCTCCGGCAGCAGACTCCTAACCATCCCCAAAGTCAGGACACACACTCACGGTGAGGCATCTTTCCAGCACTACGGCCCCCGTCTCTGGAACAGTCTGCCGGAGGAACTCAGGGCCGCAGAGAACGTTCATATTTTTAAAAGCAGGCTCAAGACACACCTTTTTAGATTAGCTTTTGATTAGTTTTTACTATTTCATTTTATATATTCTATTTATCTTCTATTATTTATTGTATTGCTATTGCTTTTATTCATGTATTGTGTGTTAGTTCATTTTAGTTTCACATTTTTGTGTTTTACTTATTGTATTGTTATTGTATTGTTTTTAGTGTACCCAGTGTTTCCTGTGGAGGAGCCCTCTGCACTGGGAGCAGTGGTCGGTGTGGCTGCGGGGGTCGGACTCTTGGACCTGGTGGGGGCCTGGGGCCTCGGTTTCGGGTCTCCTCTAGATCCTGTGTCGTTCCCCTGTGGCTACAGGCGGCTCTCTGCTCCTGGTGCAGACGGCTCCTTGGATGACGCTTTTTCAGCTGGTTGCATCCGAACCCTGCCAAGTCTCTCATCATTGTTTTACTGTTTTACTTGTGTGTGTGTGTGTCAGAGAGTGTGCATGGGAGCGTGTGTGTGTTTGTGTGGGTCTGTCGGGTGGTCGGGGGGAGGGGTCATGGGCCGGCGGGGTTGTTTTTAACCAAACTGTAAAGCACTTTGTGTTGCATCTTTTGTATGAAAAGCGCTTTATAAATAAAATTTGATTGATTGATTGAATCTTGAGCTTAACGGTCGCTTGCTCTGAAAACAGTTTGGTTTCACTGGTTTTCACATGTATTTTGGCTTGTCACATCTAGACAGACAAAAAAGTGAAAATAAAAATAAAACAAGACCATTCCCAGTCGGCCAATCAGCTCTCAACTCAAATTATGAAATAGTGACTCACAGGGCTTTTTCTTCCAAGTACACAACAGATAACAATAAGACGAATGGTCAACTTGTGGTCTACTCCTATTCAATACAATTAACTTTTAAGAGTCTTTCAGTTGGGACAAAAAAGTTATTTACCACAGCTTTAAAATGAGCCTCTTACCTGTCTGTTTTGTAATGACCCAAAAAGTGGCTTGTCTTCTTCTTGCAAGATATTCTCTGTAGAAAATGTTGACGTAAGTTTCATCCCCGTAAACTCCATAAATGTATTTCCCCAGCAGTTATGCGTACCTATGGCTTGGATGGTGAAGGCACAGGTGTTCCAGGTCATGATTGGAACGCGCGGACACTGCTCATTGGGCCCAGTCTGCAGTCCCACTCTGTACACGGTGGTGGCGCACACTGCGATCATATCTGTGATGCTCTGAGAGAACCTCCTCCTGTAAATGAAGATAAATACGTTCAACAAAAGTGGGAAATGTCTTTGGAATGAATGTGAACGGGTGAAAGGGCGCGTACGGCTCCTGGACGCCATAGCTGAGTATAGCTCTGCAGTCCGTCTGGTTCTCTCCGCCGAAACCTTTGTCGTCGTCAGGACTATTCTCTGCGTAAAAATAAAGAACAGAGACTTGTGACTCCCTCTTCGGAGTAGCTCCAAAGGATCTAGACATTATATAGATCTCATTTTATGATTCATCATGAGTCATCATTTTATGAAGACTTCAAAAAATATATTTATGGTTTTATGTGAATCTAACTGTATCCCATTTAACGACTACGTGAAGAGCCAACAAGCTAGCCAACAAACGCTTGAATGAGGCTAAATTGAATGAGGCTAAAATAGCTTATTCTAACTAAATTTCAAACATATTATTCATTTGTTCATATACATCTCCCTAATTTAACTAAACATAGCAATTGCAGTAGATGCAAAATAACTAATTTCACACAAAGAAACTGCTAACTTTACAAATAAAAGGCGTTGTCCTTTTTAAAATCAAATTTAAGTATTTTAAAGATGTTTATACGTCAATTTTTGAAACAAACTAAATATCAATTACACAATTTCCTGTTTTCATTAGCAATGGGAAAATGATTCTTTGCTTGAGGTCTGTGTCTGTGTACTGCTGCAGCAAAGTGATGTATTTGGGCCCGGGGCAGCCTTGTGCCTCCCTCCACTCTTAATTTAGGATACTTTCTTGATCAAAATAAGAGTGTTTGACAAATCAGGAATGTGATGTGTGTGACCTATAATTAATAATGAAAGTATTTTCTGTTTAAGGTTTTTTTTCCATAATCATAAATTCCATCTAATATTTAGACCAGGGGTGCCCAAAGTGGGGCCCGCGGGCCAAAGTTGGCCCGCCAGACCATTTCAGTTGGCCCGCCAAACATTGCCCACCTCCGCTGTAAGTTTCTATCTGCGTCCCTGAGCCTCGCTGAACAAACAGTGACGTGTCTGAGGTCTCGCGGGCGCAGAGTAGGCCTCTGAACTCCGACTGTCCAGTACTTTACTCATGTATCGAGATACACTCCTCACTCATGGTTCACATCAACTTGCACTAAACCGTTTTTTAAAATCAAACACATCTTTCAAAACAATTGGATGCAAGGCCCCTTTATGTTCTTTTTTTTCAGCCTACTATTATTATTTTTTGGAGCTATTTAATGTTTTATCAAATTGAGAGGATTGTGCTGCCGAACTGCCACTCCCCCTCCTCACCGGAGGGAAATGGCGAGTGGAACTATTCACCTGCGCAATCCGCACCAACCCGGTGTGTTAAAAAGGACGGACACAAACACTTCAGAGTGAGTTCAAGCAGGACAAGCAGGGATCGCAGCGCACGATCCAAGCAAGTAGAAGCAACAAATACTGTGCAAAACAAGCCCTTCTACAACCCCATGAAAGAAGCCGGTAAGCGCCGTCCTCACTCGCGATCATTGAATGTCAGACAGAACTTACGCGGAGTTTTATGATGCGTTCAAGAGCCCTTTGGAAGAGCGGAAACTCGGACTCTTTAACAGTTACTTTGTTTTGATTGTTTATAAATTTTGTACTGTGTTTAGGCAAAACAAAACAAAACTCCAGGAACAAATCATGGTTAACTAGTCTGATTTTGTTAGTTTAATATTCAGTTCACTACTAATTGAGAATACTTGTCCTATGTTAAAAATATTAAGTTAAAAGAGTTAAAACCTGATCATGTTTAGAAAATGCAGTTAGCAATTATGTTCCCAAATTCATTACTTAATGTTAAAATGTATTGTTTAAAAGTGTGCTAAAACCAGATCTACTGATCAGTGATGTCTCCCCTTTTTGATAAAAGCTAAGATAAAGTAATATGATTCAAATGTAGTTAAAAACTTTTGTTCAAAATAAATATATGAAAATAGACTTGGAAATTGCTTTGGCTCAGTGCAACAGAGATAATAAAAATAAAGAATAAAAAACACTTCTAAGGAATAAATTTAAATTTAAAATAGAGTTAGTTACTATTTACAATATACAAGTGCACATGGTGCACACAAAATGTATGTTTCTGTTCTCTTTTTGAGGTTTTATTATATGATTTTAACCTTTAAATAAGCCATGACAGAAAATCTCCCTCCTCTGGACCCTGATTACCCGCCGGAATCTTTCCGTACTGTAGTCTCCTCAAACCTGCATATTTCCCAGGAGCCTCCATTTCACTAAGACTGTGTTGATTTCATTCATTCAGCTGTGATTTGCACTGATAGACAATAATTAATGCATTTAAAAGAACTTGATCAAATCTACATTTATTTGTGTTTCATGCATAATATTGGTGTATTTGGCCCGCGGCCCACTGGCAAATTTTTACTTTGGCCCTTGGAAGCAAAAGGTTTGGGCACCCCTGATTTAGACGCTGTAGGAACCCTGCCCCGGAATGGATTACTATTTGGCATCTCTTTTTACCGTTCTCCGGAGAGAGAGACTTGAGCCCATTCGCCCGAGCTCCAAAGACCTGGATCCAGCGCGGCAAAGTTAAATGCTGTCCTATTAACTCTGCATTTTCACTATACACAAACAAAACAACCATTAGAAGAATAAAACACAAGCTGTAACCATTCAGTCTGTGGTGGTGACGTACTAGTTGAATGTGAGCTGCTCCAGAGGGATCAGAGGGACGACGGTGTTGCACAGGGACTTGCACAGTGGACATAGGTACTCTCCGTTTTCCAGGTCAAATATCAGCTCTGCGTGTAGCCTGTTCCTCGTCGTGTTCTGCACCGCCTCAAAATATCTGAAACAGGAATTGTAGAGTTAGTAGTGTTCACATGAGATTACACCAAACAGAGCCAAAAAAATAAGGTGTCATTCAAACAACGGCACTCATATGGTTGGATTTTAGAGGATGTTTAAGGTGAAGATGTGAGAAGGAAAGTAGAGGATGTGGGGAAATGGAGAAAAAGAGATAAGAGGAGCAAAAGAATGGTTTTGGAGCTGCATAATTTTAGCATAATATCCAATTGTGATATTTCTGACCAACATTGCGATGCTATATTTTATATCTTGTGAGTCTGAAAAGTCAAATTTTGTGTAGAATAAAAATAAGAACATCAAGAGAGTTACATATGGAAAAAATGAAATGAGGGGAATGAAAAAGGTCTGTTACTTTTTGATTACACACCCACAAACACACAATACCTCAAACACAATTCCTACACACACAGGTTTAGAGTTCTAACCTGTAATAGAAAGATGCTGACACAAACAAACAAAAAGAACTACTCTTAAAGCAACCACTACCCAATGATCTACATCAGGTTTAAGTGATATAGTATTACCATTATTTTTTTTAAATAAAAGATTCAATACAAAAATGGATGGAGTAGCCTCAAAGGGTTTGAGTTTTGCATTGAAGGACATAAGAGCAGAGTTGGTGGTCCTGCTGTTGTAGGACACACAGTATATTTGTCTATTCTAAATGTCTTACTTCTGCCAGCATGTTGCGTGCATGACATGTCCACAGCTGCTAGTGTGTGTGCCCAGAGCCAGTTCTGGAGGCATGAAGAGTGGATACGACGTCCCTTCTACCAAAGCAAATCAAAAAATAAGTCAGGCGTAACACAATACACAACGTTAATATTGGGAATGGCTGATAAGAAATGTGAACCTTGTGTTTGAGCAGCGGGGATGCGGCCTCTGCACTGCGTGAGGACAGTGGACCTCTGCACACAGGCGGTCAGGACCATGGCCGCAGCCTGGGTGGTCACCTCCTGCTCCTCCTGACACAGGATGCAGGTCAGCACCTCCCTGTCCGCTGGGGTGGGCCCTCGATGGGGTCCGATGGCGACACAAACCTCCCTTGGGTTGCTTGCAGAGCTTCAAATTAGAAGTCATACCATTCATGGATGTGATGAAATATAACCTTCCACCATCAATAATTTATGAAAATAAAAGATTACCTCTCACTTGAAGTGACAGGCTCGCCCTGCAGACCACTCTCTGGCATATTATCATAGAGCATTTTGTTTGATTCAATGAAGTTTTTCTGCATGGCAGACATTTGGGCCATAATCTTCTGCCGGTGGAGTTTTGCTGCCTCTGCCTTCCTCTTCCTTTCAGCCTTCTCCTTGTCTTGAACGCTCTGAAACAAACATAGGAACAAAGGTAACACTTTATTTTCTTACTACTTTATAGCCCTAAAAATGCTTCACGCTTTACCTCTTCAGGTTTTGCTGTCTCCATGCTCACAGAAGCTGCAGGACTAGACTTCTCTCGAAGACACTTTACCATTTCGAACATCTAACAGGATATTTGTGACAAAATAAGTATCAAAAGCTTTTCAGAATAAAAGAGCTGCAACATATATCGTCATTTGTGAGCTTCCTACCTGTAATAGCCATTTAATCATGTCCTTTTGCGCTTCGAGAGAGGGCACTGCTTTAATTTTTGACAACAAGAGGAACACCGATTTGCCATGTTCCGAACCTATAACTTGACAAAGACAAAACAGAGGTTAAAATAGCTCAAGAACTCTGTATACTGTTCGGGAAAGGGCACTCACTGCACGCCTTCAGACTGAAATCAAAGGTGACTTCCTCCACAGAGCTGTCCTCGAGCTGGCTTTTCTCTTCCTGCAAAGCCTGGCCTATGAGATGCAGCACCTGTAGGAGCACTTTTAAAGTTAGAAACACAAAAGGAGACGACTGCTGTTCAGTAAGAGCTGCCCTCACCCTCTGGATCATGGCCTCGGTCCAGTGAGTGCTCTTCTCCTCGGCGGCCCTCTGCAGAACCCGCCTCAGGATGTGGATGATGATGTCACAGCAGAGCAGGCGCACCACACTGGCAAAGTCCCGGCAGAAGGCGGGGGGCACAGGGGGGCGCAGCGCTGGACACACAGACACTTTAATATGTTGTCAATCACTGTCCTCTAAGCCCTATCTCCCTCCCCCTCTCCGCGCCTCTCTTCCCCACCCCCCCCACCACACCCTCCTCCACCCCCGATCCACCCCCGCCCCTCTCCCTCCGTGGCTCTCTCTAAAATATAGAAAGTTGCGATAATCACAAGACTCCCCTGAGATGGAATGAGGCTGATTAGTTCTTGCGACGAGCGAGGCCTTTGATACTAGGTGGAGTGGGCCATGGCGACGCAGCTACACAGACAGGTAGCGCTCGCATCTCGCAGACTAGCACTGCGAGTTACTAGTCTTCACGGCGACTCACTTAGCTGCTCGCGCTCAGGGACATTTTGTATGTGAAAAGGTGCTGGAAACCTAAAAAAAGTTCAGGTAAAACACATATCATTCAAAAGATAATGTATTTCTCTAATTCAACTTGTGAAACCAATATTTCATATAGACTCATTACATCCAGAGTGACATTATGCCAATCCTTTATTTTGTATAATTAAATAAATAAATGCATGCATATTCTAATTTCATAAGAAGTTTTATTTGGGGTTCTTCCAAGACCATCAATATTAAAACAACGAGAGGTTTGATCACTTTTCTCACTTTTCTTGAGTCTGTCACATGGTGAGTTGAATTTCAGAAGTAAAAGGGACTTTTCAATGATATTCTAATTTTCACCTTTGTTTCACCTGTATATGCTTTTGAAGTTTTGCTATTTAACTTTAATTTGCATAGATCATTCGATCATTCATAGATTGCTTAGATGGAGATGCGCATGGTGCAGCCATCTTTTTCATTTATCTGCAATGTGTGCCTCAAATTAGGGCTTTAATTCACAATTATTAGGACCATTGATTAGTTTATTAGCCAATTATTCATCTAATAAATTGGTTAGTTGTTTAGATCACAAAAGGCCTGTAAATACACTGACGCAGGCCAAGTCTCAATCCTAATCTTGTTAGATCTAAGTGCTGCCTTTGACACTGTCGACCATGAGATCCTCTTACAGAGACTAGAGGACTGGGTTGGCGTCGCTGGCACCGCCCTAAGTTGGTTTAGGTCTTACCTTGAGGACAGGAAGTACTTTGTGGAGATTGGAAACTGTGTCTCAGATCATATGGCCCTGACCTGTGGAGTACCACAGGGGTCGATCCTGGGACCTCTTCTGTTCAATCTCTACATGCTGCCGTTAGAGGACACTTTGTTTCTGCGTATTAACTGACCTATCATAACTATGCAGACGACACTCAGATCTATGTCTCACTGACTGCAGGAGAACATGGACCAGTGGACTCACTCCTTCACTGTATCCAACAGATCAGTGAGTGGATGCAAAACAACTTCCTTCAGCTAAACGCAGACAAAACTGAAATGATTGTCTTTGGTCCACAGAAACAAAGAGAGAGCGTCATCTGTCACCTCCAGTCTCTCTCCCTTAAACCTTCAAACAAGGTCAGAAATCTAGGGGTAATACTGGACTCAGACTTAAATTTTAATAGCCACATCAAATCAGTAACATCAGCAGCTTTTGACCAACCTAAAAAACATTGCCAGGATCAAAAACATAGTGTCTATAGCAGACAGATTCAGATTCATTTATTTGCCATTTGCAGTAAAACCACATAGGAAAAACTGTGCAAGACTACCCCAGTGTGCACCAGACGACACACACCAGAGCTCTTGTCACGCCGCCATCTTTACGGCGCCATGCGACAAACAGTAGAATAAACAGCAGAGAGCAATAACATCTTATCCATGCATTTGTCTCTAGTAGGTTAGACTACTGCAATGGCCTGCTCACAGGTCTGTCCAAACAGGCCGTAAAACAGCTGCAAGTACATTCAAAATGCAGCAGCTCGAGTCCTGACTAGAACCAGGAAGTACGACCACATTAGTCCGGTCCTCAGGTCTCTGCACTGGCTTCCTGTGGCTCAGAGAATAGACTTTAAAACAGCTCTGCTTGTGTACAAGTCTCTCCATGGCCTCGCACCAAAATATATTAGTGACATGTTAGTACCATATGAACCAGCCCGGACTCTGAGGAGCACAGGGACTGGACTCCTGTTAGTGCCCAGAGTCAGAACTAAACATGGGGAGGCTGCTTTTCAGATTCATGCTGCTAAAATCTGGAATAATCTCCCTGAAGATGTGAGACAGGCCTCCTCTCTGACAATGTTTAAAACCAGGTTAAAGACAGTTCTGTTTAGCTGTGCATACAACTGAGATATTATATTTGTATCTTTCTTTTTAATGTACTGTGATTATTTATGATTTTAATGCTTTCTTGTTTTGTTCAGCACTTTGAGTTGCCTTGTGTATGAATTGTGCTATACAAATAAACTTGCCTTGCCTTGCCTAAATAGGAGATTTTTAAATAGATTTCACATGATGCCAAATGTATGCGACTCTTCTTCTTATAGACAAGTCTGTATATAACTAAATTGGTTTGAGAGACATTTGTCATCTTTGTGTGTAGAGTGAATGAAAATGACCAGTGCACCAAAAATTGTAAAGGGACTTTGTGTGAACTTGGTCTGTGAAGCGCGCTATATAAATAGTGTTACTTTTATGCAGTTAAAATATTAACTGGTGAAAAATAGAACTTTCAATACACTGTTGTGATTGGAACCTAGTCTGAGTGTTGAGCTTTACCGACTATGACGATCAGGAGGTAGAGCATTTCTTCAATCAAACGATTGAGATGAACCAGCTCATCCTGAAAACACCAATAGAAACGATAATTGAAGTAAAGTATCGATAGGTTTGGAATTTGTGAAATAACTCACCTGATCTTTGCCAGAATTGGTCCCATTAAAGAAATCAAAGAGTTCAAATCTCAACAAGATGAGCATGAGGAAGTGGTTGGGCTCCATTTTGGAAGCAGCAATCTGTAATAATAGTAACCGTTTATTATTCCAAACAAATGATTGACATCAACACTAATTAATTATTGAACTAACTTGTAACATGAGGACATCCTTGTCGTACATCTCATCTCTGCACTTCACGTCTTGATAGTAGTAAACCTGATCAAGAAATCCTTTATTATTATCAATCAATCAATCAATCAAATTTTATTTATAAAGCGCTTTTCATACATAAGATGCAACACAAAGTGCTTTACAGATTGGTTAAAAACAATCCCGCCGGCCCAAGACCCCTCCCCCAGACCACCCAACAGACCCCCCCCAAACCACAGGCAAACACACACACACGCGCTCATGAACACTCATACACACACACACACACACACACACACACACACACACACCAGTAAAACAATAAAAACATGATGAGAGACTTGGCAGGGTTCAGATGCAACCAGCTGAAGAAGCGTCATCCAAGGAGCCGTCTGCACCAGGAGCAGAGAGCCGCCCGTAGCCACAGGGGACGACACAGGACCCAGAGGAGACATGAAACCGAGGCCCCAGGCCCCCACCAGGCCCAAGAGTCCGACCCCCGCAGCCACACCGACCACTGCTCCCGGTGCAGAGGGCTCCTCCAGAGGAAACACTGGGTACACTAAAAACAATACAATAAGTAAAACACTAAAATGTGAGACTAAAAGGAACACACAATACATGAATAATAGCAATAGCAATATAATAAATAATAAATAATAAAAGATAAATAGAATGGAATAATAAAAACTAATCAAAAGCTACTCTAAAAAGGTGCGTCTTGAGCCTACTTTTAAAAATATGAACGTTCTCTGCTGCCCTGAGCTCCTCCGGCAGACTGTTCCAGAGACGGGGGCCGTAGTGCTGGAAAGATGCCTCGCCGTGAGTGTGTGTCCTGACTTTGGGGATGGTTAGGAGTCTGCTGCCGGAGGAGCGCAGGGGCCGGGAAGGTTCATAGGATAAAAGCAAATCTGAAAGATAAGAAGGCCCAAGACCATTAAGACATTTAAAAACCATTAAAAGAACCTTAAAATCGATTCTGAAACACACGGGGAGCCAATGCAGCGATTTTAAAACCGGTGTAATGTGGTCCCGCCCCCTGGTCTTAGTCAGGACACGTGCGGCCGAGTTTTGGAGTAATTGAAGACTTGCAATGTTCTTTTTGGGAAGACCAGAGAGCAGGGCATTACAATAGTCAATGCGACTGGTGATAAAAGCATGCATCAGCGTCTCCGTGTTGCCCCGAGAGAGAATGGGGCGGACTCTGGCGATGTTCTTTAGATGATAAAAACCTATTTTTGTGATACTCTTGATGTGAGGAATAAAAGTCAGCTCAGAGTCAAAGATTACGCCCAGATTTTTCACTTGTGATGATGGATTAAAAGAGTGTGATTGGAGTTTTGATAAAAGTTTCTCTCTCTGGGCCTCAGGACCGATGACTAAAACCTCAGTTTTGTCCTGGTTAAGCTGGAGAAAGTTTTCTGCCATCCAGGATTTCAGGTCTAAAATGCAGTTAAAAAGAGCATCCATTGGCCTGGTGTCATCAGGAGACATGGAGATGTACAGCTGAGTATCATCTGCATAACTGTGGAAGTTAATTCCATGTCTCCTGACGACACCGCCAAGAGGGAGCATGTACAGGTTAAAAAGGACTGGACCTAAAATGGAACCCTGGGGCACACCACATGTGATTTTATGGACCTGAGAGGAGCAGGTATCCAAACTTACCATGAAGGATCTGTCTGTTAAATAAGAAGTGAACCATTTGTGGACAGCACCAGAGAGGCCGAGGTGTTGTAGGCGTGATAAAAGAATTGTGTGGTCTACTGTATCAAAGGCAGCGCTAAGATCCAGTAGAACCAACACAGTCACCTTTTTGAAATCATAACTTAGTCTAAGATCGTTTAAAATCTTTAAAAGAGCAGTCTCTGTGCTGTGGTTCACCCTAAAACCTGATTGAAATTTCTCTAAAATTTGCTGCTGATCTAAAAAGGCATTGAGCTGGGTAAAAACAAGTTTTTCTAAAATTTTGCTTAAAAATGGTAAGTTGGATACCGGTCTGTAGTTGTTAAAATCATTAAAATCTAAATTGCTCTTCTTCAGAAGGGGTCTCACCACAGCCGCTTTGAAGGCTGCAGGAAAGACCCCAGTCTGAAGAGAGCAATTCATCAGGTTTAAAAGCTCCTCTCTAAAAGATTCATAAAATGACTTAAAAAATGGAGTGGGGACTGGATCTAAAAGACATGTGGTGGGCCTCACTGAGGAGAAAACTTTATCAAGCATCTCAGCATCAACCAGGACAAAACTGTCCAGTGTTTCCTCTGGCGAAGACAAACAATCAAGTCAATTCAAAAATGTAATTTTAGACCAATGTCAATGTCAATGTCAACTTTATTTATATAGCACATTTACAACAACACCAGCTGCCCAAAGTGCTTCACAGGCACGAATGATAAAAATAAAAGTAAAACAGTATAAAATACATACACATACATGTAAAAGTAAAGTGGTAAAACCTCAACTGGTGTTAAAAGCCAAGGTGTAAAAATGTGTCTTTAAACTAGACTTAAAAACTTCCAATGAAGGAGCTGCTCTGATGAACAGAGGTAGACTATTCCACAGTTTGGGGGCAGCAACAGAAAAGGCTCGGTCTCCTCGAGTTTTGAGACGAGACTGGGGCACATTCAACAACATCTGGTTTTCGGACCGCACTGATCTGACCGGAGCATACAAAGATAACAGCTCCGACAGATATACAGGGGCCAAACCATTCAAACATTTAAAAACAAGCATCAGAATCTTAAAATCAACCCTGAAAGTAACAGGGAACCAGTGAAGTGAGGCCAGCACGGGGGTGATGTGCTCTCTCTTACGTGTCCCTGTGAGTAAGCGAGCAGCAGCATTCTGCACCTGCTGAAGGCGCTTTAAAGAGCCGAGGTCCAGACCACAATACAACGAGTTGCAGTAATCTAATCTTGAAGAAATAAAAAGGTGGATAACTCGCTCAAAGTCAGTCGGTGGGATGTAAGCCTTCACTTTGCTCAAGACCCGGAGCTGATAAAAGCTGGCTTTGATTACTGAATTAATTTGCTTGTCCATCCTAAAGGTGCTATCAAAAATAACTCTTAAGTTTCTGGCAGAGGAATGGACATGAGCAGAGAGTGCACCAAGTGCATCAGTGAGCTCCACAGGGAGGCTGGAGCTAAAAACAACAATCTCAGTTTTATTCTCGTTGAGAATTAAAAAAATTTGGGCCAGCCATGATCTCACTTCCTGGAGACAATCTAGCAGTGTTGCAATTGACACTGAGATGGGATTTAAAGGCAGGTAGATCTGCAGGTCATCAGCATACGCATGAAAGGAGACATTGTGTTTCTTTAGAATATCTCCAAGTGTCAGCATATACAAAGAAAAAAGGGCGAGGCCTAAAATGGAGCCTGTGGAACACCACAATTAAGGAGTGCCAGGCCAGACTTGTAGGGCCCAAAGTAGACAGAAAAACACCTGTTACCAAGATAGGACCTGAACCAGTTTAATGCGGTGCCTTTAAAACCAGCGTAGTGCTCCAAACGCGAAATTAAAATGCTATGATCTATAGTGTCAAAAGCAGCTGTCAGATCTAAAAGAACTAAAATGGCAGGAGAACCAGAGTCAGCTGGTAGCAGATCATTAAAAACTCTGAGCAGTGCAGTCTCTGTGCTATGTAGAGCTTTAAAACCGGTTGAAACGTGTCAAAGATGCCATTTGTGTCCAGATGCTGTTGGAATTGATTAAGAACTGTTTTCTCCAATACTTTGGCTAAAAAAGGCAGCTTTGAAATAGGCCTGTAATTAGCAAGAACAGTGTTGTCCAAGGTGGGCTTCTTAAGAAGTGGCTGAACTACAGCTTGCTTAAAAACACCCGGAACACAGCCAGATAAAAGGGACGCATTGATAACATGCGTGACGTAAGGCCCAACAACACCAAAAACACTTTTTAAAAAATGTGCAGGAACAATATCCAGTGGACAATTGGACCGTTTAAGATGCTGGACAACTCTGGACAACTCAGTGAAAGATACAGGCGTGAACTCATCAAAGATATCAGACACAGTGTTCACAATGGGCTCGGAGACACTTGAGAAAACAGGTGAAATCCTAATGTGCAATATTTTGTTTACAAAAAATGACAGGAAATCATTGCACAAAGGTTCAGATGGGACAAGACCAGAGGAGGGCACAGGGTTAACCAAACCATTTAAAACATTAAAAAGAATCTGTGGTCTCTGGCTGTTTGTAGAGATATTATATTGGACATATACTGAGCTTTTGCAGTCTTTACAGCTCGCTGATACTTGGTAAAACAGTCTCTGTATATTCTAAGAGATACGTGCAACTTGTCCTTATCCCATTTACGCTCCGCGCGCCTGCACTCGCGTCTGAGCGCACGCGTGTCCTCGTTGAGCCAAGGCTCTGACGCAGGTTTTTGGCGCTTAGACACCAAAGGCGCAACTTTGTCCAGAATAACTGCACAGGTCGAGTTAAATGCCTCTGTAAGCTCCTCTGCATTCACTGTACTGGACGGAGCAGTGAGCGGGGAAGGTACAGACGACAGAAACGCTGCAGAGAAATCATCCACTGACAGTGGCGTGAACACGCGTCGTGCGCGCACGGGGATTTGGCACCCGGCAGACTTATTTTAAAAATAACGGGGAGATGGTCCGAAATATGCATATCACAGATGCGCTCAATGTTCACTTCAATTCCCAGAGAAAGGACAAGATCAAGTGAATGTCCTTTTTCATGCGTGGGACCACAAACCCATTGCGTGAGGTTAAAAGAGTCAATAGTATTTAAAAAATCCTTCACAAGTGGCTTGGTGTTGCCGCAGCAAACGTGAACATTAAAATCACCCACGATTAAAAGCTGGCCTGTGTGAGTGACTATCTCCGCCAGGAAATCGGAGAATTCCTGAATAAAACGTATTAAATTTTGGAGGGCGGTAGATTATTGCGCAAAGTGTCAGTGGGTTCGTCTGGATTTTTAAAAGTTGTAGTTCGAAACTGGAGAACACATTGGAGGGAAATAGACAGCAGATAAAATCAGATTTAAAAACTGATGCAAGTCCTCCACCTCTTCCAGTAGTGCGCGGTGAATTTAAATATGAACAGCCAGGAGGAAGAAGTTCAGAGAAGGCTGAGCACTCACCCGCTTGAATCCACGTCTCCACGAGGAAAAAATAATCCAGGTTGCTCGTGACAAAGAAGTCATTAAGCAGAAAAGTTTTGTTTGAGATGGACCGGGTGTTCAGCAGCGCCATGCGGAGTGCAGTGTGGGGCCTGAGCTCGGGCGAGTTTGCGGATGTTCCCCCAGTCCTCCTTGGCTACTCTCCGCCTGGAACGGTACCAAAGAGCCGGGCAGACCGGGTCACCAGCTGCACTGCATCCATCCACTGCTGGCACGGGCGTAATCCATCTCGCTTTCTCAACTAGAGCTGTAGTTCTCCGAGACTTCAGGTGAGCTCTTACTCGGACAAGGACGCCGCCTCGCTTGCGCCTTTTCCTAGGGCGTTTCCTCTTCGGGATGGCACAGGGCAGCCTGCGCAGCTCCTCCGGGATGGCCCAGCGCAGGGGGGGAGGAATGTGTGCTGAGCCATGCTGGTCCAAACTGTGTTTAGTCAGTACCTCATAAGATTTCCGAATGTTTAAAAGTGTATGGCGATCATAAACAAACAGAGCTGTGGCATTTTGGCACCAATCCAACAATAAAACAATTAAAAACAGGCCAAACAGAGCAGAGAGACGGTGCGCCATGCACACTGCTGGCGCCATCATCATCATGATGTGACTGTCTCCGTCAATTACTGTTACCAAGCAGTAGGATAATCAGGAAACATTTGTAACAGTTACTTGATTTTCAATTGACTAGTCATATAGAAAGCTGTAGGTAAGGTCATGTCAGAGACTATTCAAAAGTGAATTATAAAAATATTTGTGTAGGCATTGAATCGTTTCATAAATATTTGGGATGGTGGCTGCCCAGCCCGATCTAGAAGCTAAACCCACAGGTTACCTGGCTGACCAGGGACAGTCCGTTCCTCCTCCACATTTCAGCAGACACCTGAGCCGCCAGCACCACACAGCGCAGGGGCAGCTCCGCCAACTGAGAAAAGTCATAGCTCTCCTACAACAGACACAAGACGTCACAAATCACTGCTGACCATCACTATGATAACAACCTACTGATTAAATGTCTATGTACGTAACATCACAACGTACCAAAGAACCTATACTTTAAAATTGTAGTGGAAGGCAGCTGAAAAATATTTTCCGGTAACTATGTTAACTCTAAAAATGCAGATTTTTAGCCTCTTCTTTTGGAACACATTTTTGTGATCCCTGGGCCAATCCACATTAAACAAAATCAGTCAAGTTCCACATCTTATTTGTTAGCACAAAACTCATAATAAGGTGTCTAGAAGTAGTGGCAATATTCAGAGTCATAAATTATGTATGACAAATTAGTCATATTATGTATGATAAATTAGTCATAAATTATGTATGAAAGGACTTTCAGACATAAGAATGATTCATGCATGTTTATAAATCTAATCACTATCAAATATATATCAGTAATAAGGATTTAGTTTTTCATAATTTCTTTCTAAATTGTCCTCCAGGCACCAGCTCTAACGGACATAGAATTATACAACATGAATGCAACCCATTAACTTATTGTGTCACTTTTTACAACCGGTGGAGCAATATTGAACTCTAGATCTCACTTTGGAAATGATCTACATAACAATATCACATTTATTGTAGAAAATTACACGAGATCATTGCATGTTTGTAAAAAATGAAATAGAACTTACAGGATCAGGCAGTCGCTCAATGACACCAGTTCTACACAGAATTACGTAAAGACCTACAGACAAATAGCATTAATTTAATACATACAAAAGCACCATCATCAGTATATTGATATTGGAGTCCAATCGTGCTTTTCCGCACCAGCTAAAAGCCTGGAGATTGGCAGGTGTATGCTGACTGGCTCCTGGGACACTTTGTATGGGCGAACGTGAAGGATGTGTTTGCACATGTAGTAATCAGAAGCCTCCCGACGAAAAGGCTGATTAGTGCACTGCATCAGGGCTTTGTGGCACTCTTTGAAGGTCAGCAGCAAGATCTCATCCTGGAGAAGGAGGAGTAAGCAAATGTAAAAGCAGGGCAGCAAGCAGGACTGTTAAAAAAAAGGACTATAAATTGAATCCAACAAACATCAGAGCAGCACCAGTCCTGAAACATGGCCAGAATGTGACGAAGCTGGATCTGGAGAGAAAAGCCAGCTTCCCATTCCGGCTCCACGGCAATGTGCTGACCGAACTGTCGCTTCACCTCCTCCATTCCCTGAGAAGGGAATACATGCATCAAAGTATTGAATAATCCCAGACTTATGTTTTGTGAGTGCGTTCACAGTAGAGTGAAAATTAAAGTATCTGGACATTAAAAGGTTATAACCCAAAAACTAAAATTACTATCATAGATAGTGTGGATACAATCTGATTTGACCATTCTACGGTGAGGCCAGTAACATAGAAAATGAATGTCTGGAAACATGGTAAATCACTTGATTTAAACAGGAATCATAAAACAAACAAAAAAAAATCAATAAAAATGTAAATGACCCTTGAAAAATGTGTAACAGACGTGATGGTTTCCGTCAATTGTCCTCTAAATATTAAACTTGAGGGGAAAAAAATTATGGTCTGGTTTCACTTTTAATTGGTTTACTATATGAAAGTTTCAATCTGTGTAAAAACAGAGAATCTCTTAATCAAATGTGGATATGAAAATATCTAACAAATTTCCGCAAAGCTCATTCCATCAAATCAACACGTCCGTTGCATAAAATAAGCAGGGCCGCTACAGGAAACTTGACTATATAACAGTTATCTTTTAGCAACTTCTTATGGACTGAAGAGGTATTTGGAAACATGTAAAACATAATATATCTTCTGATTATTCAAATCTAATTTTTAGCTTTTTGTCACAATTTTGTACCCTTTAGTGTGAACAAGCCCTTGTACATCATGATTGTCGATGCCAGAATTGAAATAGAGGAGAGGCAGTATGAGTTTTGACCTCACTCACTCCAGCCTTTCACTGTGATTGGCTTAACCCTCGGTTGCAAATATTCAACATAAAGTTTAAAGGTTATGGCAAAATAGGTATGACCTTTTGGTTTAAAACATTTACCATTTCTAATTTATGTACCCAAGAATCCAAAGAAGCAAATATGCTAAATTGCCAAATTTGGTCATTGAACGCTGCTTTCCAAAAACGGCATTTTTATTTTTTCAACAAATATTTTTATGTCTGGGTTCTACAGGGTTAAATACTGTGCACAATACATTCATTATTAGTTTTTTTTTTCTTTAAATCACACCAGTTATTTTGAAATTATTTGAAAAAAATCCCATCGGAAATAGAGATTGATCAACATGGAAAAATAAATAATATTGTGATTGTAATTTTGTTTCCTAATTAAGTGCTCCAAAAAGGGATATTTAGTAAAACAATAATGTCCTCAGATACCTGCATGCATTTGAGAAGCCCCAGAAAGGTCATGAAGCCTTCGAAGAACTCTTTGCGGAGTTCATCCGTCCACAGAGAAGGCTTACTGATCAGAATGTACCTGCAGAAGTCGTTACAGGTGATGAGATGAAGAGCAAATTCAAAGCCAGGGTACAAGGCAGAGGGCGGTACCTGAGGTCATGGAAGATGACCTGGATGCGTGAGAACTTGTCAGAGTTGTAGCCGAGGAAGAAGAAGCGATTGTTGTCGTCCAAATGTTCATGAAGCAGCGCCATGACCGTGTCGACTATGACTTTAATTACGTTACCTTCCTCTATGAGATGTCGAGCCTAAAAACACAGACACATGGACAATGAAAAACTATGTTTATTACACTATTGGCATATGCATTGTACTGGTATAATCCATACTAGAGTTGGGACAGTGAAGATCTGAACAGACAGCGCAGTGATTGATATACTCCTTTCATGGTCATCGTGGATGAAGTCCTTCTGCAGTTGTTTGTAGTGCTGAAGAGCAGAGAAATGTCTTGTGAAAAAATTGCCTCATAATTTGCATAGCCTTGCAAATGTGCTTACTTTTGTAAACTCAATGGCAAACAGCCTTTTGAAGTCAGTTTCCATCAGCATACTGCAGAAAATGAGCTCATGTACTATTTTGCGGGCTCCTAGAAGACGGGAAATGAGATTGAGACAGTGCAGGAAGAGTTTTTAAGTTGTAATAGACACACTAAGAAAAAACGTTACCTTTGTACATCCTGGCATCGTGTAACATGAGGCGGCTGATGAGACAGGGCGTGTCTGTGTCCGCGCTGGGCTCCAGGGCCACCTGGCAGAACGCCTGTCTGAAGCCCGCTGACCAAGCAAAGACAACCACATTAAACTCTCTTTGTGTTAAACATATATTTACAGTTCAAATATATAAGTCATAGCGAGGCAAAGGATAGGTTTGTACGATTTAGGCAACACCTGAGTAACCGATGATCTTTTGGAACCAGGAACCGAGGCGCAGAGCGAAGGTCTGATGAGCCATGACGGCAGCATGAAGGATCTCCACACGGAGCGGCTGCAGCGAGATGTGCTCCGAGTTGGACTGGACACAAATACGAGGCTTGTTAACATACAGAAATACCAGAATAATAACATAACCCAGTGACAATAACCAGATCTGATTGTGCGTTTGTGTCTATACGACCATGACAGTTTTTAGGTGAAAAAAGTTTGAACAATAGGAAAGTAACCAGATTTCATAAAAACACTTTGTTCCCCGGAAAGAGCCTGACCAGGAGAACACCAGACTCCAGTCCACTTTCTGGAACCGGTTGGACACCCCTGAGCTAGAGCTAAGTATTGATATGTTACATATTTATTTTTTGTGAGTAAAGATGACATTTAATTATAAAAATAGACTATTGAGATGTTTTTGGGTCAGATCTTTCAAAATAAGCATGTTTTACACTTGAGTATTTACCCTAATGAGATCCTTTGCTTGTTGACAGGATTGTAGAGTATCTCTCTTTACAGCGCGTCGACCCTGATAACCACAATATTACAACATCAATAGTCAAATGTACTGTATGACATTATTTGTTTTAAAATCCAGAAAGTACCTCTTTGTCAATAAGGGCAGTGTGAGTATGTGCCTCATTGTGATCACAGCTGACCGAGCGCTGCAGGGTGTAGATCACATGGTCATAAGAGTGGTGCTCATCATTGTACAGCACACAGTAGTAGGCATTCTCCTTCATCCTGGTTGTGAAGAAGAAATGCGTTAGAATGGGCATCTGCTGTTCAGTGGGTTTGAGTGGACCGTACCGAGACTGCAGTTCAGACGGAAGTTCAAAATGTTCCTCCCACACTAGGAAATCTGTGACATATCGCAGCAAGACTCGGAACAGCCTCTCTGCACGTTCATAAAGCATTGGCTCCAACGCACAGTCGTCCTATTGGAGTAAAGAAAGGAGATTTAGTCTACAGCAACAAGAACACTTAAAAACAAGCCATTCCTTATGACTCTGCTAGCCATATCAGACACAAGGCCAAGGATACAGTGGCAGTGTTAGAACGCAAGTAACCTCTTGGTGTGTGTTTGTCAGTGCAACTGTGGGACAACGGATGGAAATCAGCCAAAGGCTACATCCGGAAAGAAACTTTATAAGAGATAGAGGACTACTACAATCAATAAAATTAAAAAAAAAATGTCCAGAACCAATGAAACAACATTTGTAGGAAATGGTTTGAACATGAAATGAACATTACAGTACTGCAGTTCATTAATGGCCAATCCATATAAACAAATAAATAGAGGATAGTTAATTAGTCGTCTAACTTGTTATTATACAATGGAGAGGGGTACTCTTGATTCATCATCAATGCTACATCTATTAGAATACTGTTGAGACTTCAGCCCTGGACATTTTCCCAGTCTCAGATTTGATCTCACACTAGCACATTATGTTCTATTACACATTACTGGTCATTCTGCATTTAGTCATATCCTGTTTACACTATAACAATGAAACATGCTGATGGATTCCAACATAAACAAAGCACACGCATGATAGAAAAGAACCGTTTTAGAGGTTGTAACTACAGTAGTTACATTGCTTTTTAGTACAGAGTTCCCCTTTTTAAGGGTCTGAAAGTTAAGTATCCCAGCTTTAATACAAACGCAAACCTGCCTACATGAAATCTGAATTAGCTCCATGTCTCATCTCGTTAACTGAAGCTTCAGGCGTACAACACAAAGCAGAGTTTCTGGACAGGGTCAAAGACGTGTCCACATTAGAGGCACCTGTTGTTTACGGAAACGGGCCCGGTGTTGTCGGCTGGACGTCTGCTCTGACGTGATCTTATCAAAGAAACCACAAACAGGCAGCGGTCTGCGGAGAAGGGCCTCACAACAGCAGCTAATGAGAGCAATTCATCAAGTGAGCAGAGCTGCAGCTGGTCAATAAGATGTACTTTAATCATCTCACACAGGAGAAATTTACGTTGCAATTTAATAATTGCAACGTGACATCTCCACTGACAACTAACACTTTCTTACTATACATTTTGTGTGTTTTCTCAGGGCAATTAACCGTTTCCATTTCTGAACGTAGGAAGTTGAGGAGCTTGACCATTAGCCTCAGGCCGTGATGGGAAAATAAACGTTTTTGGGGATAACTGATACAGAACCCTCCCACATCCCTTTTCCGCTCCGTCATGAAACTTACCGTTACCATGGCAGTTGAGGTCCCAGGATCATGTTGGGAGCAGTATGGGCCGATCTTCCAAGCTTCTACATCGCCACAATCACAGAAGCCCCCACCAGAGGAAGCATGCATCTGTCAAAGATCATCACAACTGAATGCTCAGAATCCAAACAAATGAAGAAAAGGACGAAGGATGATATACACACACCTTGTAACGATGGCTTTTGTGAACGCTGTCCTGGAAACAGTCCATGCACAGCACACATGTGGGATCGATAGCACAATCCCTGCAGTGAACACAGAGGGATTCATCGTTTGCTTTGTTAGTGTCAGATATTATCTAATACAAACAAGGGACAAAATGAATGTATTATGCAACAAAACACTGAAAAAAAAAATGAATTTCCCCATTTTGGAACATGTATAGTCATTACTGAAAGTGCCATTGGAATTTCATTCTCTACAATATCCTTTACTTACTGAGAGGGGCGACTGAGGCTGTAAAGTGCTAAACTATTGTTGTGTCCTAAGGTACGCATCACACGCATTTACAGTAGGAATCTGGTGTGACAAAAAAAGGTGGATGGTGGTCACAGAATCCGGTAGTGCCACCTGTGAAGCATCCCTACCTTCGCCTGTCTGACCCAGGGCGGTTATGGCTTCACAAGTAGTATATCACCAATGATATCCTCAGCTCTTATTTGCAAAGAGTGAGTGACAAACCTGCATGAGTAGACCGTCTCTCCCTCCTTAAAGACTCGCCCACAGAGCTGGGAAGAGGCGCTTCCCTGGAGCTTCTGGAGGCCCTCTTGGGGATGCTCTCCAAACAGGAAGCACTCCAGAGGGTAGATGAGGCGGTTCTGGACCAGCTCCTCTTCATCCTCAGTACCGAGCTCAGTCTTCAGGCAGAAGATTCTTGGCACTAGCTCCTTCAAGTGTCGGAGCAACTCTGCCCTGCTGTCGGCGGTCTCATGCCATTCCTGCCAGAGACAAGCCACAAACCAAAATTCATTCACACAGTCTTATTTTTTGGAATTGGCCATTTCCTGTCAGTATGATCAGTAGTAATATAGAGATTAGAACTAGTTGAGAAAATGAACTGAAGACAGATCAAATCATAGAATATGCCTTTCATCTACAGGATTTGCTCAAACGGATTATGGTTTAAAACATTTTTATCTCCTGTATTCAAAGTGCTGAAAGACGGGAGCCACCTTGAATATGAAGATTAAATTAGGGAACTCTCTCTATTAATATTGATTAGACACCATTCAAGGTAAAGTAAGGTGTCTACTGAAAAGGGTGTCACATAAGTACATAAGTCAGTTAAAAAACAGACATAAAAGCCTTTATTACAATTTACTCTTTGCCTGACGACGTATGTCAAAAAATGCAATATTTTAATTTAATTTGGTTATGACGTTTAGGATTGAGTAGAGTGTAATAAAAAATACATGCATTACAGCTTGATACGTAGTGAGAGAACACAGGATTGTACCTAAAAGGCTGGTGTCACATAGATAAATATGAACAATAAAGTTTTAGCCAGTGTACAGCGACTGTCAACCCTACGCAGCCTCCAGCATTGGTGTCACTTGGGTTTTTAGCAATGAAGCTATCAGCAACAAGACAACACCTTAGGACGAGACAGCTGAACTAAAACACATGCCTTCTGAGACAGTTTTTTTTTTAGGGAACACTTACATTACACCTACACAAACCTAAAGACGGAAGCCTTTGCTCTAGTGTAAAAGCAGCACAATCGTAAACATTCAGGTGCTAACGTTAACGATAGCCAACCATGACAGTTCGGCTTCATAAGCTGCTATTTTGAATTGCATTGCTTTGGTTACAGCTAAAAACCTAACTTTATACCCAAGGAAATATGTTTCACTGAGACATTGTATCCTTCACTCTTTTAAATTACTGTCAAAACGATAAAGTAAAAGTAAAACATACCCTGCTGAGCTCCAGCCCGTCTGGTATTTTCTCCGCCATGTTCCATTTGCCGTAAAGGAGGAGGTGTTGCTAGGAGACATTTCCCTTAGAAAAACTGTATTCTTATTTTTTTGCGACATCCAATTCGGTTTATATCGTTTTAAATTATGATTAAATGTTCAATGAAGAGGTAGCTACGGCCTCTCATTCTTTACAAAGGCCTATGTAATAAATTACAAACGTATATTTTCGGATATATGTTTGTCCAACCAAGAATATTAAAACAATGTTGCAACCAAACAGACAACGGAAAATACATATCAGTTTAAAACCATGGATGCCAGTTAAAATATGTAGCAAATCAGCATTTGTGTAGACTGTCCACTGCGCGGCGCTGTACAGGCCCGCTGCAGCGGTGTGCTGATGAAAACACAGGGGTCAGAGTTGAATGACAGAATTAGAGATGGATTCTATATTTCATGAGAAAGTAAGTCCTATCGTTTTTTGAAAACCATTCAGCTTTGTGTGTTAAACCTCTTCTGTCCCGTATGCGTTATGTCATTCGACTGCTCGTTACGCGTATGCGCAGTACTCTCTGTATTGTTATTGACATAGCATCAAGCTAATGACAACTGCTAACCAAACTTTTGTTTTCATTTTACTTTTGTAATGTGCATGTAAAGGCCTTCGTTGTTGGCATATTCGTGCTGCATTTGGAGATCTTGTTAATTCACGTTATTGTGCATATTTCATAAAGTAAAGTTTATATATTGTGTTTAGCTGAGTTACGTCAGAACTAGCCACTAGCCGCTCTCTTGATGTTCAGGGAGAATAGTCCCAATGAAAAGGATTTGGACATATTTGAGACGTGTTTAGGGCATATCTTCACATCGTTCACGTTATTTAATTTAATTTTATGTTTTTAATTTTATGTTTTTAATTTTAGATCATATCATAATATTAACTCTCCTAACCTAAAGGAGTGCTGTTTGTGTTGTTTTCATGTGGTGTTCTGTGTATTTGGCCAGTAGTGGCCTTGTGAGCATGTTTGTGTTAACCCTTGCTTTCTATTATTGTGTTTGTAGCAAGAGGGCTCTCTGTGTGCCCAACACTGCCTGAACAATCTTCTTCAGGGGGAGTACTTCACTCCAGTTGACCTGTCCTCCATTGCCCACCAGCTCGATGAAGAGGAGAGGATACGGATGGCTGAGGGGGGACTGGGCAGTGAGGAGTACAGGACTTTTCTTCAGGTGAGTATATGATCTCAATACCATAACCATTATACTTCATTGCATTCCCATAGGTTATGAATAACTTTTTTGTTTTTTTTATTTCAGCAACCTTCTGGTAACATGGATGATAGTGGATTCTTCTCAATACAAGTTAGTAAAATATTTGTTCACTAAATATACAAATCCAAACAGCTCTTGAATGATCCTATTATTGCAGGTCATTAGCAATGCTCTCAGTGTGTGGGGTCTAGAATTAGTACTTTTCAACAGCCGGGAATACCAAAGCCTGATGATAAATCCCATGTAAGGCTAACTTTGCACTTTTATACTCATAAAGAGAAAACAGAAACATTAAAGTTTGATTTTGACATTTCAGAAATGAGAAGGCTTTTATCTGCAATTACAAAGAACACTGGTTTACCATTCGCAAACTCGGGCAGCAGGTAAAATTTATATCATCAATCTGTGATTTCTGTCTGATCATTTGAGTATATTTTTTTTCATATTACAGTGGTTCAACTTGAATTCATTGCTGACTGGACCTGAATTGATATCAGACACATATCTGGCACTATTTTTAGCTCAACTACAACAAGAAGGTACTTTATACACATACTCTCTACATTTATTGTTTTTTTTTTCATATTCTCCAAGGTATTATTCCCAATGTGCATAGGTTATTCAATTTTTGTGATCGGAGGCAACCTGCCGGAGTGTGAAGCAGAACAGATCCTGGCTTTTATGAGAGTGCAACAACAGCAGCGACCACGCCTCATAGGAGAAGAAGAGGCACAAACAAGCTCAGGGTGAGGCCATCTTTTCTTTTATCACATTTTGCTTTATAAAAAAATTAAATCATTAAACATTGCTTGCTTTTCAGAAGCAGGTCTGTAGCCCTGGGACAGAATGAGATTGTTGTTGGCGATGAGGTCATAGGGGATGAAGATGAAGAGCTGAAGAAGGCCTTGGCTCTCAGCAGACAGGACATAGATGTGGAAGATGAGGAGGCTGACCTGCGCAGGGCAATACAGATGAGCATGCAAGGTAATGAAGAGGTTTACAGTGTTCATATATTCACACAATTTTACAAATCAACAGATGTCACATATATCTCACAGGGGCAGTGATGAGCAACACCTCTTCAGAACATCAAACAGGAAAAGTCCTGTCCAGCGGTCAGACAACAGTCAGTGCTACAGCAGCTCAGCAGGAAAGTCATAGTGAGACACTCACCGCTGAACAGCTGCGAAAGAAGAGGCAAGCCTACTTTGACCGGTAAATACGTTATTATTTGTATTACTATAATCATTATTATTATTATTATTATTATTATTTTTATTATAATTATGGTGCAAGCTGACATGCATTTATTTGTATGTTCTAGACAACAGCAGCAAGCCCAATCCAACATTCCTCAACAACAAGAGTCAAAGTTACCTGAAAGTTCTGGTGAGTTTTCTTTTTAAATTAAAACATTGAATATGAACTCTGCTTTGAAAATCCAATATCTGTTGTCTTATATCACTCTAGAATCAAAGACATCGGGGACCAAGCTGGATGAGCAGCACAAACAGCCCTGAAGACTGCCTCAGATCACCAGCTGCCTTGGATGTGGTCCCCATGAGGGGTAGCTTCGCTCCTTCCTTTAACCTTTTGCACACACGGACGCAAGGACAGTCTGAGGAATGAAAGATTGGTGACTGCTTCGTTCGCTTACAGGCCATAAATAAGAAATGGACATGCACAAAGGGGAAGTGATTAGTCTCAAACTGAGTCTGCGTTGCTGAAAAAGGTGTGACCATGGAAATTCATGATGCATTTTATCTAAGATTGCAAATGCCTTTGTACCATGGGGTCTTGAATTTTTCTGTATTTTTAATTCTTTTCCTTTGGAAGGTATAGACAGACAGATTTTAGAACATGCAGTTGCTGTGTTTACATGTAAATGCACACTGTTGATGGCACACTGAGGGTCACATGAGACCAAAAGGTAAGCCTATGGCAAAGATTTACAAGTAACGGACCTGGGCTTGTAGGCCTGGCTGTGTTTATTCCTCCAACCACTGCATAGTTTTAAGGAAATGTACTGTACACGTCTGCCCAGACCTAGATGAACCTACTGTGGTTCTTTTCATCATTATATAACTTTGTCTTTTACATAGCACTTGGAATCTTTTCCAATTCTTCTCTGTGCTGATGTTAAATTTGGCAAACGGCTTTAATATGTTTTGGTGTATATTGAAAACATTTCATAAACACAATGATTCAACTCTAGGTTGTAATTAGTATTATGTATTAAATGTCTGTATCACTGTTGATGGTACAATCCAGATGCTTAGTTGCACTAATTGGAGACAGTATTCAAAGGATACATGAATGCTTTCTTCTTGTCTCAGAACGGTGAGTCCATCATGTTGAAAGCTGTAGAACAAGAAGAGTAAAGACGACTGTTATACAACTCCAAAGAATCATTTAGACATGACTATTTTCCCTTCTCATGTTTAACTCCAACCAATATTATGTTTGCTGTGACCTTCTGTTGTAACATACGTATCTGTGCAACTAGTGCTTTAGTGACAAATCCAAGCCTCTTGAATTGATGACATCATACTTTGTTTGTTTTTCAGCTTCTGGTATTTTAATTAATTCTGTTGGTATTAGGGTTTTTATGCATTTTTACGCACAACATTCTAACTTATCACTTGATTTTTATGTTGAACTTGAGTCATGGTTTTGTTATTTCTTTTCCAAAATTAAATGGATGTTCACCCACTCTACTGCTCTGTGTTATTTGTCATTTTTAACCCTCTCAGGGACCAACTCTATTTGAATGACAGGAAAAATCTGATATTTGGGGAAAATTGCCAATGGGGTAGTAATTATACAATCCTGACTTTTTTTTTTTTTTGAGAAACCTTAACGGGTAATGCATTCTGGGATGTTGGCCTGCTGTGGTAAATAGAGCTGACCCAGGAAAAAGAGATATATTCTACAAATGTATATCGTTTTGGTGACTTGAATCGATAATCTTGAGTTGAACGCCTGCAGGATGCCAATATTTTCAAGTCTATAACCAAATCTTTCTTGTTTTGGATGTGCACAAAATTGCTGGGTTAATATGTAACACTTTGAGCACACTTGCACTTTGCTTCACCAAATACTGCATGAAGCTTCCAACATCATCCGGACCTAAAACCGTTAAGTATCATATTTTGTGGTTCACTTAACCAATTTTGGAAGTAAAATCTCAATTATATATATTTTTCATTCCAGGGGCTGCCGTCTTCCCAGGGAGTTATTAAAACACGGCTGTAGAATGACTTGGCTTTTTTACCTTACCATTTTGTGCTTTGTTTCTCCGGCTCGCCAAGAAACTCCCAATGCAACCATCGCAGACCTTTCCAACAAGAACATGGACTTTGCGATGAACCTGTACAGAAGAATCTCCAGCCATCACGACCAGAATGTCTTCTTCTCACCGTTGAGCATCTCCTCCAGTTTCGCTGCTCTCCTTATGGCCACTGATGGAGTCACTCGGTTGGAAATCTTAAAGGGACTTAACTTGCAACAACTTGACAAAGTGAACCAACCAGAGGCCATCCCGCTATTGTTTCAGCTTCTGCATGAAAACATCACTCAAAACGGGTCGCTGGAGTTGGACCAGGACATGGCGATGTTTGTGAGCGCCGATTTGGACCTGGAGAAGCCCTTTGAGGAGCAGATGGGGAAGTATTTTGAAGCTGAGATCAAAACCATAAATTTCTCCAACACAGAACAAAGCGTGGCCTACATAAATGACTATATTAAGAACAAAACTAAAGAGAGGGTTATGGACATGATTTCCACTCTTGATGCAGAAACCCAGCTCATGCTTATTAATACCATATTCTTTCGAGGTAAGTTTACTCCTCATTAATACATTTTCTTCTGGAGTTGGGCAGTTTAAGAGCTTTATATGAACTCACCAATATGAAATAACTTCTTGAATTTCATATCAATACTGGATGTAACTTAAAGCTGAGTTCAAGCTTCTTTGCTTCATAAATAATACAGTTTAGAAGTAAAATCAATCAATCAGACCACAACTTAGACCTCCATCTTATTATAAAATGTATGTTCATAGTAGAGAACATATATACAATAGAAAAAGCCCTGGGAGTCACTATTTGACGCTTTGGCTGACAGTGCTTGGCTGCGTATATATATGAAAAGACCATACATGCATGTGAGAGGATTATTGGTTCTAAAATTAAAAATAGAACCAAACTGTTTTGGAACCAGGAACTGTTCCAAAATGTTGTATTTTTTATTTTTTATCCCATACAACTATTAGTTTGGAGTTTGAAAGTTAAATACTCCAGCTTTAGGGTGAACTTTGTATTATATTATATATGCTTATAAATTATAGTGTATAACATATTTTAATAGCATATTATTTTTTAGCTTTTCTAAAATCACTAGGATGGCTACTTTTGATTTTGAACAGGATTGAAAGATGGGGTACCTAACTTTAAACCACAAAAACATAAAATATAATAAAATCCATAGGTTGGTTCAATCACTGGTTTTCACATCTTCAGATCAGTGAAAAAGTGAGTCCGGTACTACAGTTCCTCATTAAATCATCTCTCAGTCCAAAGTATCAATATCTCTCAGGGCTCTTTCTGACAAGTATGCAAAAAAAAACTTGTTTTCTAAGATATAGACAGCTTGTCTGTTGTATTCTGACTTTATTCACAAACTTTTACTTTGTTCAAAAACTTCCTCCCCACTGCTGTCAGACTGTACAATAAGTCAATAAGTTAATGACCTGCACTAGGAATGAAAAATCCGCATTTCTAAAGTCAGACCATACAGAGACCATATTTTTGTCTTTTAACATCATTTTTGTACAGGAGATTGGAGTAGCCCTTTCAACCCCAACCACACCAAAACAGAAGCATTCTACATCGACAACTACAAAATGGTGGATGTGCAGATGATGTTCAAGGAGGCCAAGTTCTTCATGGGCCACGACAAAACTCTGGGCGCCAAAGTTCTGAAGCTTCCCTACAACCACGGCGTCTCCATGCTGATCCTGCTGCCGAACAAAGCGGTGGACTACACGGCCATCGATGATGAGATCAACGGCCACAGGTTTCAAGAGTGGTTACAATCCCTGAGAGAAATGTATGTTGAGAAAGAGAGAGATGTCTGGCTTTACACGTGTGGAGTGCAGTTTTCATGTTCTGCATTTTGTGTCTCCAGCAAAGTAGAAGTTCATCTCCCAAAATTTAAGATGGAGGAGTCGTATGAATTGCATGAGCTCTTACCCGATATGGGCATTTCCAGTCTGTTCACGAATGCAGCCAAACTGACCAAGCTCAGTAAGGATAAAGATTTGAGAGTCTCTGAGGTCTGTATCCTGGGTAGTTGCATGCAAGAGGTGGCAAGGAACTAAGCATGTTTTTTATATTATTCATTCCATATTTATTGATTTACATTTTTATATCAGGATTGTACTATTTTCATGTTAAATTACATCTACAGTACATATTTTATATGTGTCCCCAGATTATGTATGCCGTACATCTTCTATTTTACTTTGTACACATTTTTTACAAAGCAAATTTCCGGTTTGTGACTTCTGTCTATCTCAACAGAAAGAGTATTGTAGGAGTGAAATGTTATGAACAAATGAGATCACAACATGGACTGATAGCTCACAGAGTGAGGGTGGTTCTCTCTTTTTCACTTTTCTGTCTGAAAAAAACGGATCAAAAGATGTGACAGAGGCCAAAATACTGTACATGCATGTGAAAACTTTTGCATGTTTGGATTTTACATGGTTCTTTTTAGTTAGGTACCTCAGTTTTAAGTACTGTTTATGCATAAGTGTATACCTTTCTTGTATTTACTTAAGTAAGGGAACGATGTCCTTTCCAAGAGTTGATTTTTGTTTATGTATCAATATTTTAAATTATGTACCTAGTCTAGTACCTAGACTAGTACTTTGCCACCTCTGCAGAGTTATGGTTATTATTATAATATCAACACATGTGTGTTTTCCCTTAAGGTTCTGCACAAGGCTGTGATTGACGTGGATGAGACTGGGACCACCGCAGCAGCTGCCACCACAGTCGGCATCACTCCCTATTCTCTGCCGCCCATGTTCATCGTCAACAGGCCCTTTTTCTTCTTCATCTACCACGAAGACACACACGCCCTCCTGTTCATGGGCAGAGTGATCGACCCCACCAAAAAATAGAACATTAACACACCTTACCTTTTCTTTTTAACATATTCCTTGTGTTGTTCTGCCTGAATGGCAAAATAATAAACAAAATAATAAACAAAATACAATTGTACATGATATTACTAGTTTTTTTGTATGTGTATGAGAATGTTACAAAATAATGAAGTATAAAATGGTAAAACTAAAATCTAAAACTTAAAATATATCTTTTATGTGGTTGATGTGTGTAGCACAGTTGGTACAGACAGGGCACTTTATTTCCTGTATCTAATAATAACTCAGGTTACTTTCATATATAATTTCTCAAGTTGAATGTTCGTTATATATATTAAAGTACATTTTTCTCCCTGTAGCTGCTACTTTACGATTTGAAGTGACACATATGGTCCAGTAGATGGCGGTGACGTAGCTGCAGATTGGGCTTACGTCGTGACGCACAACTGACGCACACTGTCATGGCGGCCTCCTCGTGTAACATGCATGCATGTTGTCAACATTTGTAACAAACTAGTTATATACTGAGACAACTCCAACTTTTACGGTAAGTTCTGTCCAGCATGTACTGAGATAATGTAGACATGCATCTGCTTTGCTGTGATTCATATTATTTCCGTTTCCATCCACGTTTCAGTAGTAACATGAAGTCCAGGAAGATGAAGCCGCACGCAAAGCGGATAAACCCAGCAAGACGAAGCATTCAGACTAAGGGCAAATGGAAATCGATAGAGCTAGACCCCAGTATCTTTGCCGAAGAGGGACTGGAGGGACTCGTCTGCTTCGAAGAATTGACCAATTACCGCTTGGTTGATTCTGAGAAGGTAGCAGCAAGGGCGGCTAAAGAACTGCAGAAGAAGGAAAAGAAGGCTCAGAAAAGAAAGGCCCAGAAAAGAAAGGCCATCGACGTGGTGGAGACTGAAGGAGGCGAGGTATCTGTGGAAGCTAAAGATGCAGGTGAAAGTCCCAAGAAAAAGATCAAAAAGAAGAAAGCAAAACTAATCAAGGACGAGTCTGCTGAAGTTGCTGCTGAGACAGGTCAGGAAGAGAAGTTATCAGAACCTGTTAAAGACTCCACAGTAGGTTCTCAAGATGATTCTGAGCCCAAACAAGCAAAGAAGAAAAAGAAAAAGCAGAAGAAATCCAAGAAAATATCTCTCTCTGAACTAAACACAGAGAAGCAAAAAGTGCAGGAATCAATATCAGAAAACAAGCCTGTACAAGCTAACAAAGATCCTAAAACTAAACCAGCAAAAGCTCCCAAACCGCGGATAAAGAACTGGACCAGCTCTGCCCTGTCTGGTTGTGAGGACACCAACTCAGACATGAGTGCGTGGAAAGACCTGTTTGTACCTGTCCCGGTCCTACGAGCCCTGAGCAGCCTGGGTTTCAGTTCACCCACTCCCATCCAAGCCCTGGCACTGCCCTCCGCCATCAGAGACCGCATGGATATACTGGGAGCTGCAGAGACAGGTGAATCTTAAGTGCATAAAAAATATAATTGTTACATTATTGCTCCAATTGGGCCATCCAAAGATATGGTAGGAATGTGGAAATGTTTGCATAATAAATGTAAACATATTTCTTTCATTGAGAAATGGGGGATATTTCAAATTACAGAACCCGAAGATTGAAATTGAAATAACCAACTGGGTTTTTTGTTGTTGTCCCCACTTAAAGGAAAGGTTCCTTTTCTATGATGGCTGATGGGTCTCTAAAAGCTGTTTAAAACCCCAAGTCGGATGCATGTGAAATCATGATGTTGGACACTACCCTTTTTGTTTTAAAAAAATAGGACCTGGTGAAAAATATTACACAGTAATCCCAGTATTTTTTTTTTACAGTTTTAAAATTTCTCTGAATGGGTCACAGAAGATTACTATTGTAACGGTTAGCCCTATAATATGTAAGGGATAAAGTATATTACGCAGGTCCATCCATCCATTTTCTTCCCCTTAATCCATTTCTGGGTCGGGGGGGTGGCAGTCAGAGCTGCACCCAGTCACAGAGCACCAGCCCCTCACTGATCCTCCTGCAGGTGGTGAGTCCACAGGAGCTGAGATCTTTCAGTTGGGGCTTTGGGCAAAGTAGGGTTAAGTGTCTTGCCCAAGGACACAACGACAGCAGTCATCATTACGCAGGTCATTATCAGAAAATAAGTACCAACAGGGCAAAGTGGTCTGCTTCACCCTGAAGGTACTTATTTTCTGATAATTACCTGCGTAATATACATTATCCTGTTTTTTCACGGCTTTGTACCAACAGAACACACAAAATAAACTTCAGTCCACCGAAAGGTTTATTTAATGAAAGAAAATAAAATGGTTCCCAAAGGCTTTCTATGTGAGTAACAGTTAGGCTAGCAACTTCCAAACTAGCCGTTAGATATGCCGGATGTTCACAAACGCACAGAGAGGCGTGAGAGTTCTTTATACAAATGTTTACTGCACTTTCTTTATACAGTTCACACAGTAGAACTAGCAAAACACAAAAATAGTACAACTTAGATATTACATAAATAATAAACAAAATATGAATTAACACACAATCATACACACGACTTTGGCCTGCTGGCGAACAACCTGGTGGACTGTAATTTATAATATCTTATTATTATAACTTCACTGCTTTGTCGGGTCAGTCTTCGTTAACTTGTCTTGTTCAACTAAAACTATCGGCAAACAGGAAGTAGCGATCTCAAAGGCATAACCGTACATTTCAAATATTAGTCTACATGAATAATTATCCTTCTACGACCTTAACTAATACTGATTAATAGCCAGAAAGCAAATATAAAATTTTACAAAAATAAAATAAATCAAAGAAAAACTTTTACGATACTAAAATGCACACTAGCGCCGCTTTGTGACAAAACAAAAAACTGTAGCATCATCCACAGTTACACTAGAACTCTCTCGAACTGCATGAAAACTGAACAAAGAATTCTGAACATCAGCGGTGAGTGACCCAAACATAAACCTAACCTAAATCCATCTTTCCATCTTCTGCAAATGTTCCCAAAATGTCCTGGAATCTACTTCCGGGTTTTTCGCGATCGCTTTTTCTCGCAGTAAAACCGATTTTTTTTCATGAAAACCTCCGTGCATTTGTATTAAGAATGTGTATGTATAAAGTATTCTCCAATTAACATTTAAATGTGTTGATGGATTGGTATTTGCGTTTATAGAGCGTGGCTAGCTCCGGAGTGGCCGGAACTACTTGCGGAGTAATCTACACATCTGAATTACAGGCAGAGGGTGCGTTGCCATGGGCAGCTGTCATTATTGTTTTGAGTAGTCGGTTATAAAGAAACAAGGACCGGTAGAACGTTTTGAAATTACATTCAAATCAATGTAATTTCTACTGCTGCTGCTAGGAGCCGTATAATATGTAAATGTTATTTGTTTCTTTACTAATTTGAATCCTATGTTTCAGGGAGTGGGAAGACTTTGGCCTTTGCTATCCCCATGATCCATAGCATTCTGGAATGGCGGGAAAACCATGACAATCCCGACCCTAAAGTCGACAATCCTAAGCCTAATACCGTCAAGAGTCTGTATCTCCCAGATGAGCCCGAAAATGCGGCGCCAGAAGCAGAAGAGGAGAAAGACCTCGAGGAGGGTGACCTCGAGGAGGGAGACCTCGAGGAGGGAGACCTCGAGGAGGGTGACCTCGAGGAGGGAGACCTCGAGGAGGGAGACCTCGAGGAGGGAGACCTCGAGGAGGGAGACCTCGAGGAGGGAGACCTCGAGGAGGGAGACCTCGAGGAGGGAGACCTCGAGGAGTGCGTCGACCCAGGGGACAGTGATGTGGGTGAAGACATGAATGATGGTACTAATGGTAGTGATGAGGACGGTGCCAATGATATCAAGCTGGGGTGTGTTCAAGTGGGCGAAAAGACTCCGTTTGACCCCACTCCCCAAGAAGAAACTGTAAACAATGAGGGTCAAAATCGCCCCCTGCTCGGCCTGGTCCTCACGCCTACCAGAGAATTGGCGGTTCAAGTTAAACACCATATAGACGCTGTGGCCAAGTTTACAAGTAAGTATAAGAAAGCCAGTTTCAACAAAAACAAACTATATCTATCAGTTTGCTTACTGAATTCTGATTATGGTATTCAGTATATTGTGGGGATTGTCATTCTGTTAAAATCTGCCTTTAAATATTTTTGCTGGATGCTCAGGATATCTACATCTTTTTTTCATAAATAATCAATTTTTGTTTGTCCCAACATAAAGTGTATTGTAATAACAAATCAGACTAAATCATGCAGTCTATATCTTATTATTAACATTTTATACGTATGCAGTACAGAAAGTTCTTTGGACTTGGTTGAGAGGGTGGTCCTTTCATTTTCCACTTTTTTTCAACTGGAAAATGCTGATATAAAGATGGAGATACCAAAAATCCATGCCTGTGAAGACTAATGTTTGAATCAAACTGTTGATACTGTGGATTTTGTTGCATGTTTCAGTTTTTTGTGTGGTTTGTAGTGATGGCTGTGACTTGAAAATGCAGCATGGGTATATGGACAGAATATATGGCAGATAAAGTGACTTATGAATTGAGTTGAATACACTGTCATAGGCTTCCCTGGCAAACGAAAGTATACATACAGGCTACAAATTGATAAAAAGCTAGGACTGCTGTCAAGGGCGTAATTAATTGCCAATGAGGGTTTTGTCAAATTGTTGCTTGGAAACTACAGTATAATTCTGATGTTGTTACATTCCTCTCCCTGCACAGACATCACATCGGCTATAGTTGTGGGGGGCATGTCTCAGCACAAGCAGAGGAGGCTGCTTAAGCGACGGCCGGAGATTGTCGTTGGAACTCCAGGACGCCTGTGGGACCTGATAAAGGAGAGGGATCCTCACCTGCAGAACCTGCGGCAGCTCAGGTACATGCCGGTCTGACTGTCGGATAGTTTCACCCAATAGTTGTACTTTTTACATTGCTTGATTAATCCAAGCACAATAAAGTCAATAAGTTGGCAGACTTTTATGGTCCCTCAATGTACAGGTATTCCACCAATCACAGAAACCAGTACCATAAATGAAAGCTGGCGTACTACCAGGATTTAATAAAGTTCATCTCACAAGTTCCTTGCTTTCAAAACAGCTTGTGTTGTATTGTGTAGCGTCCCTCACTCTGCCAATCATCTATTGTATGTACGGTCTGGTACTCCAGCTTTAATAGCTCTGAAAACATTGTCAAGGAAAACAATGAGAACACGTTAAAATTGCAAATTCATATACTGCAAGCTGGTGTTTCCTTTATAAGTTTTTGATTTGATTCAGAAACGTTTTTTATGAGCGTAAAATAAAAGTGAAATGTAATCTTTTTGCCTACCTAAAGATTACATCTTCAACTTCCAACACTCAATATATTTTACAGATGTCTGGTCATTGATGAAGCTGACCGAATGGTGGAAAGGGGTCACTTTGCAGAGCTGGAGAGCCTGCTGGAAATGCTCCACACCACACACTTCAACCCCAAAAGACAAGCTTTTGTATTCTCCGCTACGCTCACCCTGTCCTACGCTCTTCCCACACGCATCTTGCAGAAGAAGAAGAGGGTGGATAAGCGCAGCAAACTGGAAATCCTCATGGACAAAGTGGGCATCAAGACCAAACCAAAAGTCATTGACCTGTCCAGGAAGGAGGCGACGGTTGAAACGCTCACAGAGACTCAGATCCAATGTCAGAAAGAGGACAAGGACTACTACCTGTACTACTTCTTACTGCAGCATCCCGGGCGCACTATGGTGTTTGCAAACAGCATCGACTGCATCAAAAGGCTCAAGTCCATTCTGACCATCTTGGACTGTACATCCTTTTCCCTGCACGCCAACATGCAGCAGAAACATCGTCTGAAAAATTTGGAAAAATTTGCTGACCGGGAGAGGTCAGTTTTTAACTCACCAGAAGGAAAGTGCTTAAATCTAATAGGGCTGCTCATGTTTGGCAAAATATAATTGAATCATTTTTCTGACTGACATTGCATTTTGATGCTTAGAACCATAGAAACTTTCATTTGTTTTATCATTTCTCAAAAGATTTTATAAGCTGAGCAACATATTTTGACAGTTTATATAAATTATGAAAAGGTTTTGGCTTATAAGGCTCTATTAAGAGAAATAACATTAGGGTGTGAGGTGTCTCGGCCAGTCTAGCAGATTGGGCAGATCCATCAGACTGACCACGCCCCCTCGTCTTTGTTGATGGTTCATGTGCCTCTCGTATCCAATTTTTGTATTTTTCCCGTTAAAACCCTTTTTGCATTGTCCCAGTCCATTTTATGAGAAGAGACACCATCATGTGTCACCTCTGACAAAGGCGAAAGGTCTCCGCTGTAGCAAGTGATGTAATTAAGTGCTAGCTTCTTTACACTATTGTCTTGTTAGAAGAACGTTGTAGACCTTAAACATGAAGACAAAATTATTTTGTAAAACATTTTGTCTCATCTTGATTGAGAATTATAAACAATTGATTGAGAATATAAACATGAGAAAAGGCATATTCCCACATTCTAATTATTTTTGTTTGCGAAGAACTTAGGAAATTGCAGTGTTTACTCATTTAGACCACAAAGCAGCCCTTTTATTTTAAGGTCACGAAATGCACTTACAAATTCATACAAGATAGAACCAAGTGTCACTCATGTACCATGAAGAAACACAGAACATAATGTATTTATTTATAATGATTATTTATAACTTGACCCACAGTTGTGTACTCTTGACGACTGATGTGGCAGCACGAGGGCTCGACATTCCTGATGTTCAACATGTCATTCACTACCAGGTAATATCTTGGTACTTATTTATTGAACTCATTACATAAATACACATTCGTACAGATTATTTAAGAGACGAATACATACTGAAGTCTAAAATGTATGACTTTCCTTAGGTTCCCAGGACGTCCGAGACGTATGTCCACCGTAGCGGCAGAACGGCAAGAGCTGCCAAACAGGGGCTATGTTTGTTGCTGACGGGCCCTGATGACATGTTGAACTTCAAAAAGATTTTCAAAACTCTTGGGAAAGATGAAGAGCTTCCTTTGTTTCCCATAGAAACACAATGCATGCAAGCAATCAAGGTAAGACAAACAGTGTGTTTAAATTGCATAAAGTAAAGTAGTGTAATGTTATTCCCTTGTGTATGTAGGAACGCGTAGATTTGGCCATTAAAATAGAAAGTATAGAGTATCATAACTGCAAGGAAAAAAAGCATGACTCCTGGTTCAGACAAGCAGCAGAAGCCCTTGAGGTAGATCTGGACGAAGACCTTTTAATGGGTAAGACGAGTAGAATTCATAATTATAAAATAATGTTCATCCTTTTAAAATAACGTTTTTTTTCTCAGGAAAATCCAATGATGAGCAGGCTGATATCCAGCAGCAGAAAATGGTGAAGGAAATGAAAAAGCACTTGAAGCAGTTGATCTCTCAGCCTGTATTCAAGAATGTGATGAAAACCAAGTACCCTACTCAAATGGGCAAGCTCGCTCTGGAAAAGATCTCTTTGGCAGGAACTCAGAGTGCGCTGACCAGGGTGTTAATACAAAAGAGCAAACAAAAAGTTAAGAACCAACAGAAAGTAAAGAAAGGTCGTTCCCAAAGGAGAAACCAAAAAAAAGAACAGCAAAAATAACATTGTTATCAATTTGTCAATAAACAGTGATTGTTATGTAACTATTTTAAAGACTTACTACTGTAACTTTTTATGCATAAATATTTGTTTTAAGTTAAAATATTTCATAGCCTTTATCCTGAGTTTAACAAAATCACACAGGGAGGATTGGCCAAGTTTAAGTGTGTGGATAAATGATATTATAATGTGAACTTTGATAAAGAAGATGGACAGATGGCTCTACACCTTCTGGAATGATGTGGTGAACAAGCTTTTGTTCATCTCCCTCCATTGACACGATGTGAATGCCCACGTTTAGGGCCTGTGACAATGCCAGGATGTCCACATGGTCACACTCCATTGCCATGACTTCTACCTCCTATAATGTGTACAAAAGTGTTTGGATTAGCCTGGCATTGAACGGGATTGCTCCAATATTCAGTAGGGGGCAGTGATGTGTCACCCACCTGGTGGCAGTAGTCTTGGAGATTGGATGCTTCCACAAAATTACAAAAGAAATCTGCGTGACTTTGTAGGTAAGCTGATGTGATGAGACGAAGATACTGGACCACACTGTCAGAGGTAGATGGCTGGTTAAACAGTCTGTGAAGGGTCTCTATACTTCCATCAGACTGACACAGCTCCACAACATCAATGACCTGAAAGTTAAGTATGATAAAGAATTTTATATATCAACACATCCACATTGTTTACGAGTATTACATTACTTTTGATAGGTGCTCCTTGTAGCTTTTTTCTTCAAAACCAGCACATGATAAGGCAATACTGCTTTCCATGACTATCTCAATGAACCTACAAACAAAGAACATTATTAGAAGGGCCATCGTATACATTTTATTAAATAGGAAATGTAATGGGATGGCACCACATAGCAAATACGCTTAATGGCTCTTTGCTTTAAGCTTGTACAGTGTGAGACTGACCCCTGTAATCCTCGGCAATTGTGGATGACTGACTCCAGGTATGCGTAGGAAAAGGCTCTGTAAAAACAGTTCCCATCTCCGCGCACTTTTCTTACGTTGGAAAACTCTCGATACAAATCCTAACACAAGAACCACATTGTTATAATTGTTAGGATCCAGATACCCATGACACAAATGATACTTGGCCTACAAGTATTTTAGAAGTAGGCGTTTGGTCAGCACAGTACGAGGAGATGTCCTGTCGTTCGGAGACTAGCCAACCGCCCTCCATCTGTGAGGAGACCACTTCACCGTCATGGGTCAGTCCTAGAGGCATGTCCAGCGCTCTGGGACATGCTCACGCCCCATACAAGCGAATTATGCAGTGAGAATTGCTTGTGGAATTTTCTCCAATAGGTTATGAGGGGCAAGTCGACATGAAAGTATTTTGTTTTGTGCCTGAATGTACCGGATGTTTGCGTGCACCACGTGCTTCTTTTAAAGAGACAGTGTACTGCAGGTCAAGCGCTGGTTGAAGTCGAGACTGCATCCGATTTTGTGGTGGGACAAAACTCCTTTCTTATGCTTTTAATTGACATTAGTAGCATTAAATCATACCAACGTGGAATTAAAACGTGTAAACGGGGTCTTAAATTTCACTTGACAAATCTGGAATCATCTTGACTCATAAAGGGTAAATTGTGAAGGTGAAGGAAAGATCTAGCCAGCGTTAATTTTCTATTTGGATGTAGACCTGGTTGGTTCTTTTTACAACGTGCGTGCGCCGCATATGTGATATTGTATCTGTACACCATATGTCTCATTTTTATAGTTAACCTAGATGCCGTAATGTCCTACATTCATGGTAATGTTAGTATATTAACTCAATTTTTTTATAACACCCCTATGCTATTTATTTAGTAGCTAACGTTCGTTAATAACAGCACAACGCAAGTTAGCTTAGCGTTAACTAATTTAGCGCACATATTAGCATGTAGTGAACTAAATATTGTGAACTATAATTTTTTGATTTTCATAAAGTATTACACGCAAATGTAAGTTGAATAACACAGTTGTAACGTATACACATGATACTGTTGGCCATGCATACCCTCCACCAGTCTTCACCGCGGTAAAGTGGGCCTGCATTTCGTCGCGAGCGGTAAAGAGGTCCGCACTTTGAAAGCGGTTGGCTCTTTTATGCTGTTACTTACGGTAAATGTGGAAAGGGAAGCCGTGACGACGAGAAAGCTAAATGCTTTATCTTTTAAAAAATCATTAAAAAAGAACAAAAAGAGGTTTGCGAATACTTTCACTGCCCACTTGTTCAATAAGATGCTCTCTACCACTGTGTAAAATATCATTCACTTTTACTGTAGAAATCCAGAGAAAATGGGGGTCAAAGTGTGCACAAGTGGTCCCAAAAGCACTTTTTAAAATTCATTTAAAAAAAATCTAAAAAAGTTCCCTGACTGATTTCACTGCACACTTGTTCAACAGGATGCCCTCTACCACTGTGTAAAATATCATTCACTTTTACTGTGGAAATCCAGAGAAAATGGGGGTCAAAGTGTGCACAAGTGGTCCCAAAAGCACTTTTTAAAAATCATTTTTAAAAAAACTAAAAAAGTTCCTTGACTACTTTCACTGCACATTTGTTCACTGGGATGCCCTCTACCACTGTGTAAAATATCATTCACTTTTACTGTAGAAATCCAGAGAAAATGGGGGTCAAAGTGTGCCATTTTGGTCCCAAAAGCACTTTTTAAAATTCATTTTAAAAAAATCTAAAAAAGTTCCCTCACTACTTTCACTGCATACTTGTTCACTGGGATGCCCTCTACCACTGTGTAAAATGTCATTCACTTTTACTGTAGAAATCCAGAGAAAATGGGGGTCAAAGTGTGCCATTTTGGTCCCAAAAGCACTTTTTAAAATTCATTTTAAAAAAAACTAAAAAAGTTCCCAGACTACTTTCACTGCACACTTGTTCACCAGGATGCCCTCTACCACTGTGTAAAATATCATTCACTTTTACTGTAGAAATCCAGAGAAAATGGGGGTCAAAGTGTGCCATTTTGGTCCCAAAAGCACTTTTAAAAATTCATTTTAAAAAAATATAAAAAAGTTCCCTGACTGATTTCACTGCACACTTGTTCAACAGGATGCCCTCTACCACTGTGTAAAATATCATTCACTTTTACTGTAGAAATCCAGAGAAAATGGGGGTCAAAGTGTGCCATTTTGGTCCCAAAAGCACTTTTTAAAATTCATTTTAAAAAAATATAAAAAAGTTCCCTGACTGATTTCACTGCACACTTGTTCAACAGGATGCCCTCTACCACTGTGTAAAATATCATTCACTTTTACTGTAGAAATCCAGAGAAAATGGGGGTCAAAGTGTGCCATTTTGGTCCCAAAAGCACTTTTTAAAATTCATTTTAAAAAAATCTAAAAAAGTTCCCTGACTGATTTCACTGCACACTTGTTCAACAGGATGCCCTCTACCACTGTGTAAAATATCATTCACTTTTACTGTAGAAATCCAGAGAAAATGGGGGTCAAAGTGTGCACAAGTGGTCCCAAAAGCACTTTTTAAAAATCATTTTTAAAAAATCTAAAAAAGTTCCCTCACTACTTTCACTGCACACTTGTTCAACAGGATGCCCTCTACCACTGTGTAAAATATCTTTCACTTTTACTGTAGAAATCCAGAGAAAATGGGGGTCAAAGTGTGCACAATTTGTCCCAATTTGTCTTTTAATTAATCCTATACAATTTTGCTCAACAAAGTAAACTCTCGTGTTTCTTTGGTGGGAAAAGATCTTGTCGTTCCTTGATTTACAACACTACTACTACGACTCTTTCCACTGCTACTGCTACCACTACATACATAGGATTTGGATATGATGGTGTTGTTACAGCGCTTTCCCGAGAAACGATTTCTAAACCAGGGGTTTTCAATGTTTAATACTCAAGTGCACAGTAAAAATGAAGTTTTATACAACAACTCATTTGATGTCTCTGTCCGGCTTTAAATCTCACCACAGAACTGAGACCGCTCTTGTCAAGGTAACAATTGATATCCTGCTGAGCCCTGATGCAGCTAAAGTCCAAATCTTCATCTTGTTAGACCATAACATCAGCGTCTTTTTACCACCTAAAAACATTGCCATGGTTAAAAACATAGTGTCTAAAGCAGACTTGGAGATTCTGACTGACTAGAATCAGGAAGTATGACCACATTAGTCCTGCCCTCAGGCGATTGTACTGGCTTCCTGTGGCTCAAAGAATAGACTTTAAAACAGCTCTTCTTGTTTCAAGTCTCTCCATGGCCTCGCACCAAAGTACATTAATGTTAGTCCCATAAGAACCGACCCAGACTCTGAAGAGCACAGGGACTGGACTGCTGCTAGTGCCCAGAGTCCGAACTAAACGAGCTGCATTTCAGATTCATGCTGTAAAAATCTTGAACAATCTTCCTTGAGACAGGCCTCCTCTCTCACGTTTTTTTAAAACAGTTCTGTTTAGCTGTGCATACAACTGAGTGCTTCTACATTTTCATCTTACATTTTGTTCAGCACTTTGAGCTGCCTTGTGTATGATGGTGTCCAAACCGGTCCAGAAAGGGCCGCTGTGGCTGCAGGTTTTCTATCAGACCCAACAGGAGCAGAGCAGACTCCACACATTTCCTCAAGAGAGTTCAGTCTTAACCTGCAGATTTGAGGAAATGGGTGGAGTCTACTCTACTTCTGTTGGGTATGATAGAAAAGCTGCAGCCACAGCGGCCCTTTCTGGACCGGTTTGGACACCCCTGCTTGCCTTGCCTATTTTTCTCAGTAACATTAACTGCAAAACACGTTGTTGAGATGTGCTCTCATTTTATTTGTTGTCAACGCCATATGACGTCATCCCAGTCTCGCGTGACTGTATGATTTAAGGATCACCTACACCTGTGGAAAATGTTGAGTGATTGAATAAATGGCTGCTAACGAGTTTGGTGAAGCACCAAAAGAAATCCATTATGTTGCTTTAATTTTTTTAGTTGATTATTCGCATAGTAATGGTGAGTTAACTCACGATTAATCACATTTTTAACAGTCTATTTCAAATCCACTCCAATTGAAGTTAAATAAGATTATCAAATGTAATGACACATTGTTATTCATACCAAATGTAGTTAAATCTGTTTGACTTGCTCACAACCTTCTTTTGGGCACAACCAACAAGAGCTGTTAATGAAAGGGAAAATGTAGATACCCCAGCTTTAATTTCTCCCATATTGCCAGTTTCTGATGTTTTTAACTGAATTTTCAAGACCCACAGAATATTGTGTACTATGACGATCTGAAATCCAAAACCAGATATACACACATACATACGTACGTACATACATACATACATACATACATACATAAACACATATTTATATATATATACATACAGTATACATAGAATATACAACATCAACATAAATAGAATATTAAGGTCCCGCTGCTGCTAAGTGCGTATTACTGCCATATTTTATAATACACATAAAGTATCCATCCATCCATCCATTTTCTTCCGCTTTATCCGTTGCCGGGTCGCGGGGGCAGCAGTCTAAGCAGAGACGCCCAGACTTCCCTATCCACACACACTTCCTCCAGCTCATCCGGGGGGACCCGGTGTGGGTCTGAAAACAGTGACGTCGCCCGGCATGGCGCAGCCGGGGCCCCACCCTGGAGCCAGGCCTGGGGTCGGGGCCCGTATGCGAGCGCCTGGTGGCCGGGCCTTAGCCCACGGGGCCCGGCCGGGCTCAGCCCGAAGGGATGACGTGGGCAGTCCCTCCTGTGGGCCCACCACCTGCAGAGGGGTCCGTGGTGAAGCGGTGCTGAGAGGACTGGGCGGCAGTCGAAGGCGGAGACCTCGGCGACCCAGTCCGCACACACAACAACACATAAAGTAATTACTGAAAATAGAATTGGCATAAAGCAAATTTCTATTTGTTCTGTCCTTACAACAGGAGCTTTAACCCCGGTCATCAAATAAAAAATAAATAAATAGTGACGATGGAGTCCCTAGTAATATCGCTATATAAAATAAACATCAGTGCTAGAAAAAAAAAAAAACGTGTGTTCCTTTGCTCCTTTCAGACAAAAAGCCATTCATAAATTTAGAAGTACAGATAGAAAAATATAAGCTAGATGGCTTTTAAAAGAAAAATATTTCTAAATTTATCTTAACATAGGAAACCATACAAATTGAATGGGTTGTTTGCAATGCTGTTCTGATATTTATTTTTTTCCCCAGATACAATGCAGCAAGTGCCAGAAATGGTACCATGAAGAGTGCCTGACGTTAAACACCCGGGTGCGGGCCAAAGCAATACAGCCAGAAACATTATGGCACTGCTGCCTGTGTAAAAAATAATACAATACTTGCATCTATATTTTTTGTATGCACGTTTATTTTATTTTTTATTATGCAACATTTACAATAACTGTACAAAGGCAATGATAACATATTCTGTAGGGTGTGTGTGTATTACAATATTATTGTCATCATCGCATTCATATTGTAACAACAATAATATTCAGTATCATTATTACCATCTCTATTTTAACAATAACAGCAATAATTTCATGATGCACTGCTACCTTCCCTCCGCCATCTCCCCTTCCTATTTCATGTGTTTTCACTGTTTCCCTACTTTGTTTTGTGACATGTGTTCTACAATGCATTAAAAGGCAGACATGAGGGGATGTCCCGAGGTGTGTTTCTCCCCCACGTCCGACCAACTCTATGTGTATTTATTTAATTATTTTCGGTGCTACTCTAATGTGATCCATTAATAGACAGGAGATGGGGGGACCAAAATAGTGCGTTTGGTATGATATTTTACACAGTGGTAGAGGGCATCCTGGTGAACAAGTGTGCAGTGAAAGTAGTCAGGGAACTTTTTTAGATTTTTTTAAAATGAATTTTAAAAAATGAAGTGCTTTTGGGACCAAAATGGCACACTTTGACCCCCATTTTCTCTGGATTTCTACAGTAAAAGTGAATGATATTTTACACAGGGGTAGAGGGCATCCCAGTGAACAAGTGTGCAGTGAAAGTAGTGAGGGAACTGTTTTAGTTTTTTTTAAAATGAATTTTAAAAAGTGCTTTTGGGACCACTTGAACACACTTTGACCCCCATTTTCTCTGGATTTCTACAGTAAAAGTGAATGATATTTTACACAGTGGTAAAGGGCATCCCAGTGAACAAGTGTGCAGTGAAAGTAGTCAGGGAACTTTTTTAGATTTTTTTAAAATGAATTTTAAAAAGTGCTTTTGGGACCACTTGTGCACACTTTGGCCCCCATTTTCTCTGGATTTCTACAGTAAAAGTGAATGATATTTTACACAGTGGTAGAGGGCATCCTGTTGAACAAGTGTGCAGTGAAATCAGTCAGGGAACTTTTTTATATTTTTTTAAAATGAATTTTAAAAAGTGCTTTTGGGACCACTTGTGCATACTTTGACCCCCATTTTCTCTGGATTTCTACAGTAAAAGTGAATAAAATTTTACACAGTGGTAAAGGGCATCCCAGTGAACAAGTGTGCAGTGAAAGTAGTGAGGGAACTTTTTTAGATTTTTTAAAAATTAATTTTAAAAAGTGCTTTTGGGACCACTTGTGCACACTTTGACCCCCATTTTCTCTGGATTTCTACAGTAAAAGTGAATGATATTTTACACAGTGGTAAAGGGCATCCCAGTGAACAAGTGTGCAGTGAAAGTAGTCAGGGAACTTTTTTAGATTTTTTTAAAATGAATTTTAAAAAGTGCTTTTGGGACCACTTGTGCACACTTTGGCCCCCATTTTCTCTGGATTTCTACAGTAAAAGTAAATGATATTGTACACAGTGGTAGAGGGCATCCTGGTGAACAAGTGTGCAGTGAAATCAGTCAGGGAACTTTTTTCGATTTTTTTTAAAATGAATTTTAAAAAGTGCTTTTGGGACCAAAATGGCACATTTTGACCCCCATTTTCTCAGAATTTCTAGAGTAAAAATGAATGATATTTTACACAGTGGTAAAGAGCATCTTATTGAAGAAGTGTGCAGTGAAAGTATTCTCAAACCTCTTTTTGTTCTTTTTTAATGATTTTTTAAAAGATATAGCATTTTGCTTTCTCGTCGTCACGGCTTCCCTTTCCACATTTACCGTAAGTAACAGCATAAAAGAGCCAACCGCTTTCAAAGTGCGGACCTCTTTACCGCTCGCGACGAAATGCAGGGCCACTTTACCGCGGTCAGTCTTCGCTGTTTCTGAACAAATCACACCTCAGCCGTGCGGTCTGTGGTCATGTATTTCAAAATATAACATTGCATAACAACAAATGACATATTACACTCCACTCAAAAGAACACTGTATATATGACATGACATAAACCACACAGTTTAACTTAACGTTTCACTCTTTTTACTGACTTTACTTGGACTTTTGATCTGTGTTTTAGCAGTCACAGTTTTCGCAGACCCTCTCCCTTTCTTGTCAGTGAGAGGTGTCACTGTAGAGCCAGACTCCATCAGTCTCCTGGCCCTTTGTTCTGTGTCTGCCTTGTCCAGAATGTACTCCTTGAAAAGTATTAAGTTAAACCAAAATGTAAGTACAATGCATTAAACCAATAAACATGTATACGTTCTACAGTATAAGTACAAAATAAGCACAAGATGAATTAATCTCACCATCACCATTTCCATCATTGTTAAAACGTTTATGTCTTCGAGTGCTCCATATGAAGGAAGATAACATTGCTCTGCCAAATTGTTAATGGCCATGAAGATACTTCCCACTTCTTCCACCTTAGGAATGTTTTACATGTTTTTTTCATTATAAATTGACATTAAATATACATTCTCTATCTGACATGCTGCATACCTTTTCTCTCGACTGGCCTTGTTCCGTCAGCAGTGAAATCTCTGCCTCCTTGTTCATATCTTTAAGACCTTCTAACTCATTTTGAAGTTCTGATAGCTCCTTATTGACCATCTGCAATAATCAATTAAGATTAAGAGATATTTATACTAATTAAAATAAAACATCTCTAACTCTAGCATCAAATAATAATAGTATAACATCTCTATCTTGAAAATAATAATAAAAAAAGTTAAAAAGTTTTACATTTGGCAAAATAAGAGGTAAGTATAAAGTACAGTGTATTCTAGTGCAAGTAATGTGTAGTTATATGTTTGCATCTGTACATTAGCAGCAGTATGTTTACATCTGTACATGATAGCAGCAGTATCTTTACGTCTGTACATTAGCAGCAGTATGTTTACATCTGTACATTAGCAGCAGTATCTTTACATCTGTACATTAGCAGCAGTATGTTTACATCTGTACATGGTAGCAGCAGTATGTTTACACCTGTACATTAGCAGCGGTATGTTTACATCTGTACATTAGCAGCAGTATCTTTACATCTGTACATTAGCAGCAGTATCTTTACATCTGTACATTAGCAGCATGAGGCTCTGGTACACAGTGACATGTGGTTATTGCACATTCTGTTATAAGTTAAGGATATTGCAACACATGGCACGTGAGATCAAGCAGTGTTTAGAATCTGCACTTTTAAACATTTAAACACATTTTTATCTTATACCAGCTTTTTGATGTCATGTTCTTGCTTCATGGTCTGCAGTTCATGCTGCTTTGCTTCCACTTCATCCTCCATTTTTTCCAGCCGCTGCGTAAGCTCCTGATAAGTGATGGAGAGTGACTCGTGTCGCCGAATGATGGGCAAAACTAAGGATTCGGAATCATTTTCAAGGTAACCTGTTAAAATATAGAATTGTTTATTTGTTATCAAGCAGATAACTCTGTTGTAACTCAGACATTTATGGGATGTGGAGACTTACTACTTGGTAGGTAGTTGATTGTTTTCACCAAATAGTCTTCATAGATTTTGTACTTGGTCATTCTGTCTTTTAAAACATGCTGTCTGTGGATAAAGTTATTATTATTGAATCATTGCTTTCAGCATTTGTTAGTCTGGTTATTTGAATAGGCTTCTAAATCAGCGTCGGATAAATAGTTCAGAGTACAGAGAGTTTTTTTTTAATGGAATCGAATAGTGCTTTGGGGTCCAATTTACATCTTTGAGGAGGCTTTGGAGAATTTCACACAGATAAAAAGATAATAATTAACACTGTAATAAATTTGATGATAAAACAATTACAAAAACGTTTTTAATGATGCACTTGACCAGTAAGGATGCTTTTGACAGGTTATGATTGGGTCTGGGCGATATTGTAATAAAGGAAAATCTCAATTTTATTTCCTGCTTTGGATGATTTGGATTTTTAAATCGATTTTCATTAAAGTCACAGAAGTCAGACTTTGCCCTTAAAAATATTTTTTGATCTTTCCGCTCAATATTTAAGTTTCAAAACTATTTTTAATTTGTTTCCCCCAATACGTATTATAAAAGTCTTGTACAGACTGTGCTGCAAGTATAATTCTTGTGCTGCTGGAACTCTCACAATCAGATTTTTTCAAAAGCCGATTAATTGTCTAAATTTGATTGATTGCCCAGCCCTAGTTATGATAATGAGTTTTATTACTGTCATCAGGCTTAATATTGAGGACACATAATAAAAATCTATTTGAAAAAGGGTTGCTAGAATAAGTAGTGCACATTCTCACCTGGCTCGAAGCCGTATGAGTTTGTTTGTCAAACTTTCTATTTCTCTTTGCTTGATGTGATTTTGTTCCTGTGCATCTTTATACTTCTTCAGTGTTTGGTGCTGCTTCAGTTCATTTTCTGCAACAAATTTCTCAAACTTGCTCACTCTTTCTTTATTCTGTGGAAATAAATAATGGAACAGAAACAAAACGCGTGTGTTGAGTTGAATTTGAAGAATAAATAATGAATGCATATGGGTAGTGAGCAGCTGTTTGGTCGCTCTACCTGCTGCTGTTTGAGCTCCAGTTCTGAGCGTCTCTGAGCTAAAGCCTCCAGCCGACCCTGAAACTCTTGCTGTTTAAGATCCAGCAGCCGGGTCACCTCTTCCAACTCTGTCTGGGACTGCAGTACCAGTGTCTTTTGTAATGTGTTCAGTCCAGCTCCAAGGAGACTGTGAGGTGTCTGCAGAAAAGATTGACTTAATCAGAATCAGAATTATTTTTTATTGCCATTGTATGAAACAGGAAGTCACGACCTAGGAAATTGCTTGGGCTCTGGGTGCAGACAAGTACAGTAATACAATTCAAAATACTTAAGGGATGCATAAAAAGTAATGCAAAAATCTACATAACATTTTTAAAAATATTTTTTATATACATGTGCACTAAGTACATATGTGCAGTAAAGTCAGGAGTAGCTACATAAAAGGCAGGAGACAGTGATGAGTTAATAATGACATTTATTAAATTCTTGCTGAACTTAATTAGCACGACACAACAAAAACAAAAACTATTTTTTTAAGGGGCTTTGTTACCTCTGTCACCACAGGTATGTAGTTTACATTTTCTTCTTTGGGCCTAGAAGAATGAACGACAGTGACATAGGTCGTCAGTCTTTCCCACATACTGCTGTAAGCCACAGTAAGAGGTGCTCACCTGTCCTCAAGCTGGGTCACAAACACGTTTCTGGTTCTGTTTTCCACGGTGAGTTTGAGACGTGGGTCGCTCCTGTCCAGAAAGGGCAGGTCTGTCGTCATAGTGCTAAGTGGCGAGTTTCCTAAATATCCCAACACTATTCCAACCCACGTTAGGACAACAAGGTCCTTCCGGATGTTGTGTGGCTGTTGCCGAGGAAACAACAAGCGCAACCACAGAGAATGCAACAGGATCCCTGCGCTGTTGTCACGACAACCAGCCCGGGGGCGGGACTGTTTCACCGACTGAATGAGGTTCATGCAAATGATCTGTTAATGGAAGTCCAGAGATGGAGGCGTGGACAGAGCACTCACTCTGCTGAGCTCTTGGTGAAAGTCCAGGGATGGAGATGAGGATAGAGCGTGCACTCTCATTCCGCGTGTGTTTGGAGAAGTATACCCTGCACCAGGGATATACCCTGTACAAGGGGTCAGTAACCCTCAAAAAAGAAACAGTTATTTAACATGCTAGTGTTGTTGTTGTTGTTTTTTTAGAACATTTGATACAGATTCAATTACATTTAATTATTGTGTTTATTTATTGATTTATTTAAGGATAGCCCCATTGAGATGGACCGTCTCTTTGTGTCGAATAATTAGTAAAATGCTGGTGTAGAGTGTGACCCTTATGCGCGGTGGAGGTGCACTTCTATTAGAATGTATGATAAACATGCTTGCACAAACTTTTTACACAAATTTTATACAACCATTAAATCTCCAAGAAAATGTTTCAACTATCATCTAAATCACTGTGTTGGTCCATGGGTGTGTGGACCAACACAGTGATTTAATGGTTGTATAAAATTCTATGGAAGATTGTGGAAATGAGCAGAAGAAGAACAAGTTTGTGCAAGCATGTTTATCATACTTTCTAACAGAAGTGCACCTCCACCGCGCATAAGGGTCACACTCTACACCAGCATTTTACTAACTATTCAACAAAAAGAGATGGTCCATCTCAATGGGGCTATCCTTAAATTTTAAAACTGTCATATCCCAAAATATGTTGAAAGACTTGTTTGTGCGAAGGATTATTTTAAATAGCTGCCTTCAAGAGGATGGAAGTGCTTGAAAGATAAGAATTGTTATAAGTTTGTTTTGATGCTTTTAGAACTGACAGGAACATTTGATGATAGTGGTTATAAAATCCATAATTTAATCTCTGAAGAGAGACGAGAGAAAATAACTGGTTAGTTTCATGTTCTCACTTTTTTCTCAAACCTTCTCAAAGCCATCAGAATGCCCACACACATTGTATAGTTGTGTCTTTGCTGAAATAATTCTACCAGTATGTGCATTTATGGCAGTTGTTGTTGCAATAAAGCACCATGGCCCATTCCTTATTGTGTACCTCAGTGTAACACCAGTCATCACCCCAGATCAGAAGAAGCAGACTCAAGTAGAACCCTCCACAGTGAGCATGCCCTTAAAAGGCATGGAGTCTGAGCTGATGTCTGATGTCTGCCAGTGCACTTTTCAGCTCCTTCTTCATTTCATAACTGCACACCTTGTAACTGTGTTATTTTAGACATCGCTGGCTGACTTGTTAGATTGTGGTCTAATTGTCTACAGCACATACTCTTTGACAGAAGACTCGGAAACTTCACTGCTGCTGCAATAACAGACTAAACAGTGTCAAATGGACCTGCTGTGCTTTAGAATCGGCCGCCATTAGACCTACATTTGAATTATACAGGTAAGAAAGATACTGTAGACTGTAATTGTTTGTATTTTAGAGTTAAACAATAAAGAGTGTATGAATTCTGCAAATTGTGTTAGAGGAATGGTCGTAACGATTTTATTTTGTCTGGAATGTTTGACAAAATTATATTAAATGCACTCTAAAAAAAATGCATTGGCAAAACTTAATAAAATTGAGGCAGCATTTTGCATGCATCTTTTTAAGTTTTGCGAACAAGACTGTGTTTTAAGTATTCTTTGTAAGTCTTTTATCATTGGTCCAGCACAATTTTTTCAATACCACCAACTTGGATAATTGAGTTATAAAGACACTTTGTTAAGTATATTCAGCAAGTGTTTTAGCATCAGTTCAACTCAATTTTAGCAATACTACCAACTTAAATAATTACATTGAAAATAAATCTTTTTGAGTATATTCAACAAGTGATTTTCAGTCAGGAATACGTAATCTTTATTCAAATACCATCTTTCAAAGATTAGATTCACAAACGGTTCACAATTGTTAATTTTAGACAGTAGTCTCTCACTCCACATATATATGAGAGTGGGCCAGCACAGTCACTGGTAAACATGTCCACCTTAAAGTATCTGTTCAAAATTGAAGGTGACACAGGGAGTATAGGACTGCTTTGGCTTGGCCCTCTCGATCATGGTTGATAAAAATAAATACAATTACTTATTTGGTCAAATTAGTTTATTCAGAATGTTGCTCAAGTATTTTGCTTTAGGACTTGCTTCATATTCAGTTTTAAAATTAATGCTCAAATGTAGAATTTTTAAGAAGTTTATATTTTTCGCTGCAATGCATTCTGGGTAGCGTCACTGCTTCGCCACATTTTGTTTTCAATCAACACAATATATTTATTTTGAATCAACTCAATATATTTATTTTGAATCAACTCAATATATTTGTTTTTTCATTAATGGACCACCAGGCTTACAAGAGGATTTTCATGTTGAGCAAACTCAATACTTCTCCGTTTTCCAGTTATGCCAGAATATCAAGTTCAAATTTGTTACAAAAATGAGTTAGGATTCTTGTATTAACTTTTAATTGAGACCGGCATGTTTAAAATGAGTTGCGACCACACTAATTTAAGTAAAACTGGCAAAAATCAATTATTGAGTTTAGTTTAGTATGTATTTTGAGTTCAAAATACTAACCACCTGAATCATTTCTTTGAGTGTGAGACCAAAAACAATGTATATATTATTTTTTAAAAGATTATTATTATTTCTTGAAATTATATTTGTACGTTGGTATGGCAAGACCAGTCTATAGTTTAGCTCTGTTTATACCAAAACTTTCCTATAACAAATATAGAATGAACCTGTAAGTTTACTTCTACTGAGTACACTAAATAAGTAAATGCATGTATACATAAATGTTTGTTGTGTTTTAAGAGTTTTACTCATTATTTGATTTAGGTCTCTGACTGGCTTCCTGTGGCTCAGAGAATAGACTTTAAAGCTGCTCTTCTCTGTGACATGTTAGTGCCAAATGAACCAACTCTAACTCTGAGGAGCACAGGGACTGGCCTCCTGCTGGTGCCCAGAGTCAGAACTAAACATGGGAAGGCAGCTAAATCTAGAACAGTCTTCTTGAAAATGTGAGACTTGCTTCTTCTTTGACAATGTTCAAATCCAGGTTAACAACAGTTCTGCTTACAACTGAGGGATACAGCTTTACTTTTTTTTTTAATTCACTGTGATTATTTATGATTTTAATGCCTTGTGTGATTGTTTCTTGTTTTGGTGAGTACTTTAAGTTGCCTTATATGAACTTGATGTATTTATTTTACTTTGTATAATTTACTATAGGCAAATGTTCATTATGATGCTGATTATGTTTGTTACTCTTAGCACTAATCGTCTCTTCTGCCTCTTGCTGTTTCCTATCATGCATGTGGCCCACGTGACTAATTGACCGCGGTTATCCTCTGGCCATCTGTTCTAATATTAGTCTGCGCTGCCTGGAGTTTTTTATCTGTTCTCTTCCGAATGCGCCTTCACATGAGCAGGCCGTTGTTTTTATCTCGCTGCACTTCCCCTTATCTCCCTGTGCACTGGCCCCCTGACATATATGGATGCAGCCGTCAGACCTCAGACCCAATGACTGACACTTCCTACAGTCTCAGAATAATGAGCGTGCACAGCTGAGCGCGTAGACAGTTGCGGCTCCCATAGCACGCTGCTCCGCCTTCTCCTCAACCATGTATTTTGGTTTGTCTGTATGGGGCTGACAGGGGCTACAGAAGCAACGCTGACTATGATGATGACCAAATTCCGGTATAAAGAGTATTTTTCACAGTTTCGAAATGCGAGCGGTAGTTGTAAGGTTCACCCGACGCAAGGCGAGAGGCACAGACAGGACAATCTCAGCGACGTCACGTCAGAGCAGCAGACGTAAGGTTTTTGTTATGGTGGGGGTAGGGGCTATTGTTATGGTCGGGCTCGCGTGTAAATTATAATTGTTTTATATTATTGTATACAAGAAATCTTGAAGAAATACTGATCATATGATAATATTGTAACATTTATTAATACAGATCGATTTGGAGCATGGTTTCTATTATTGAGATTTTACCATATTATTTGAAGAATGCAGAAGAATTATTATATTTCTTTATTAAAATGTATTTGTTTTCTCTTTTATCTCAAAGGGATGTGGATCACTTGTGGGCCGCCATAAAGAAAGGAGATATGCACAGAGTTCATGATTTGGCCACTTCCTGTCCTCTCAGCCTGCTCTATGAGAACAAAGATGGATGGATGCCTCTGCACTATGCTGCATACTGTGGACAGACAGAATGTTTGAAGACACTATTAAAGGGTATGACATTATAGCCACAATGCCAGGTCCACTTAAGTAACTAGGTGTGTAACTAATTGCATTCATCCAGCCCATCCAGATTCTGTGGACAAGAGAACGTTGCAGGAACAAACTGCTCTGTTCCTCGCTGTGTCTTGTGAACATTTGTCATGTGTACAGTGCCTTCTGCAGTCTGGAGCTGACCCGGACATTGGAAACAAATACAAAGAGACCCCATTGTTCAAAGGTGCAATTGTTAAATCACTGGTGCCTTGTGTTCACCCTTAATAACTTACTGTGTCGTGTACTACAGCTTGTAAACTGCAGAATGTGGACATGGTGAGTCTCCTTCTTTCATATGGGGCTACGGTGAACCAGCGCTGTAGCCAGGAATGGACTGCTCTTCTGGAAGCTGTGGCCTGGGGCCACATCGAAATATGTGAGATGCTACTGAAAGCTGGTGCACTCATCAATCCCCCGAACACTTACAGCATATCACCGCTCAATGTAGCAGCCAACAAAGGACATCTGAGGGCACTGTGCTTCCTCATTACCAAAGGTATAAATCACTTGTTATACATGAAAACCCATACAAACTTAAATGCAGTATTGTTTTTGTTTAGGTGCTGACGTCAACATGCAAACGTGTGACGGATTCACTGCATTGCATGAGGCCAGTAAAAATGGCTTTAGGGAAATTGTGTTGACACTGTTGAGAAAAAATGCAGACGCAAATAAGTGTTGTAACTCAGGTCTGCTTCCTCTCCATGTAGCTGCTCAATATGGACACCATGAGTAAGTAAGAAAAGAAACTATGCTTAGGTGCTAACTTAAAAAAAAAAAAAAAAAAAGTAATTTTATATAATATATTGGAAGATATTGCACAAGAGCCTAACAGTCCTTCAATGGGGATAGTTTGTTGACTATTGTTAATAGATTTTTAACATTGTCTTTGTTCTGCATTCAGAATTGTGTCCCTGCTTGTCCCTGTGACAAGCCGAGCCATGCTGCGGCACAGTTGGATCAGCCCCCTGCACCTGGCAGCTCAGCACAACAGACACTCTGTGGCAGCTGTCCTGCTGCAGACAGGTGCACAAGTCAATGTGCCCCTGCCCCACACACACTCGGTGCGCTTTGCAGACCACCGTCTCACACCTCTTTACTTTGCTGTGGCCAATGGAAGCACAGAGACTGCAGAGCTATTACTGAAAGCGGGTGCAAATGTGAATTTAGACCCAGTCAGTCCTCTTCTAATGGCCATGAAGTTGGGCTGTATTCGTTCTGTGAACTTGCTGCTGCATCAAGGGGCTGATGTAAATGCAAAAATCCCATGTTACGCTGCAACGTTCCCCACAGCTATAGCCCTCTGTGCGAACAATCTAAATCTTCTCAAGTGTATTCTGGACAATGGCTGTGATGCCCGCTCATGTTTTACTTGTATTTATGGTCCTAAAAAACACGCTCCAACAAACATGTCCAGATGCATCTTTCAGAAGAGCAGTGCCCTCAGTGTTACCTGCAATCAAATGCACGAAAGGCCAATCCAGGTAAGAAGGAAAATGCTGAAATGGAGTGATCGTGAGCGGTCTGTGATTGAGTAGTTTGTTGTGCTTATCCTCAGTTCTGTGAGTGGCTGTCTTCATTTGTTATGAGTAAATGGGCAGTGCCCATGATGGACTTGCTGCTTGAGCATGTGGCTCAGGTTCAGCTGTGCAGAAAGCTCACAGACATCCTGGACAGCACAGAGGAATGGAGAGCTGTCAAGAGGAAGTTATGTAAGGCCAACTTCAAGCCTCTATGACGTTCACAGTTTGAGTAATTTCATGCGGTTTGTGTTTTACAGCGTCACCTCGTCCCCTGATGCACCTTTGCCGAGTAAAGATCCGTACTCAAATACAAGGACAGACCCAACAGTCAGTTGCCAGGCTCCCACTGCCAACAAGGATACTGTCCTATCTCAGTATGACCTGCTGAACCTTGTGCACCACTATTTATGCTGAACCAACTGCTGGGACAAATAATGTTGCTAAAATGAACTCTTGTGGGATTGAATGTCATTTATTTAGAAAATTAAAGTCTTTATCAAAAGAAAAATCTGTTCTTTGAAGAGTAAACTAAAACAGGACAGGCTCTCATGGCTTGAAGAGGATCAGTCAAATATATTGAAATAAGGATGTATAAAGTTTTACACTTACTGTCATTGATCAAGTATTCAGTGGCACCATTCCTAAAATTAAACTGATGAAAGAACCTCTTATTCCTTGTCACGTGGAGAACAAACACGAGCGTTACAAATAAGTGCTTTATGACAGGCTACTGAAACACCAGAATTAGTCTTGGTTACAAGTGCAATCCGGCCTTGGGTTGTTCAAATAAAGCCAAACACGCTGAATATCGGAGACTGGATCGTGGGTTTGGTTGGGATAGGTTTGACCACAACGTGCGTGTGTATCTTGTGTCCATGTGGATACTCGAGCATCTCTGTGTCAATGCGGGTCGCTTTGCTCCACAGTCCAAAGCAGGGCTGGGGGACCAGCATGTGGTTGTGCAGGACCTGTTGACTGTGGTACTGAAGCGGGCAGCAGCCACAGACGCTCACGCAGTGATGAGCGGTCAGGTCCAAAAGAAGCGCGTCTTTGTCACGGCGCGGGGATGAAGGCACACTGACCTTCCCTAGGTCCTCACAAGCTCTTGTCCTCTTATCTGCCCACTCTGACGTTATGAATCCAGAGGTGTCCTTCCTATCCTGAGATAACTTTGGTTCCTCCCAGAAAGACGCAGGTAGTTGGCGTTTTCTCATCGGTACTTGCTCCACTGCGCTCGCCGCGCTCGCTGCGTGCTGTGTGCCCTTCACGCTCTCCTGAGCAGAGCCTTGGACTCTGTCATGCTCCGTGGGCCTGTGTGCGTGACACTTGGGGACTCGGGAGTACTTTTGGGAAAAACGCTTGAGTTGTTTCTGGAGGTACTTTCTGTGATCCACGGAGCGCCTGCACGGCGCAGATTTATCCAAGGCCGCTTTGATGTCACTGGACGCCAGGTTCACAAAGTTCAGGAGCGTCTTCACCTCACTGTCTGCCATCTTCATGCATATGTTGTCCTTCCAAAGCTGGAAAAAACATGTGGCATTAATAAACAATAACCATTTCCATTGTAATAATAACAATAGTTATCATAGCGATAATAATGACAATAATGATTCTGATAATAATAATAAATACCTAAATATAATCATATAGCTAACAATAAATAACTCACCCTTGCCACCGCACTGTCTGCACACAGCAATGAAGCATCTCAACAAGTTGAATGAATATAAACTCCTCGTAGTTGTGGTGCTTCCCTTGAGCCAATCAGCGACCCCCAGGTCCTTCACAATGCTCCATGATCAGCCTCGACGCCCCCCACTATCGGAATTCTTCACCTCTGCAAATTGTTGTCATGGGAATGCGTAAAAAGGCGCAGACACCATATATGTCATATTTGTATTTCTAGGCTAAACTTGTATTGCTTAAAATCCACATGCGGTGTAAAGAAATATGCGTTTGATGTTTTCCTTGAAATAGTTTGCTCACAGCAATATTCTCTGAATGAATGATGTCAGCTAGGGTCCGGTGCGAGAGAGGGGGGCTCTAAGAGTACATAACCATGGAAAGGGGCTTGAACGCTCAAGAATCTTGTCTTTCTGTTTGCCCCCTCAATCGAGCGACACAAAGGCTGAATTACTCATTCAAACCTCGCGGGACAAAAGCAAAGAAGCTGGATAGCACTCCTGCATTTGTAGTCAAACATTTAGAGACTTAAATCGAGTCGTCATGAAGGAGAAAGAGTCGCACAAAGCCCATAGAATTGCCATCAGCAAACATTTTCCTGTGTCATATTATAGGGTCTCCATGGCTCCCTCTGGCCCAGGGACAATACTACAAGTTTGCACACTTGAATACTGTCACCCTGCCAACGGCAACAAGGGCCCAAAACAGGACAATCCCCGGAGAGAAAGCATGGGCTCCGCGGGAAGGTTGCAATAGAGCAGGAAAAGAGGGACTTGTGAAATGCTAATTGCGCTTCATCCCCTCATTGAAGTGGGGGCCGAAGAAAGAGGAGTACCTATCGTCACTTTGAGGAATGGAATGAGATGTGAGGCACCATTTGTCTTGTGCGTAAAACACCTCATACTTGAGCCTCAAACTGCTGCCAAGGCACCCTCCCTCTAAAAATACAAGCTATGGATCTTTTTTCTACAAATTGCCAAGTAAGGCACTGGACAATTTATCAAGACAGGATTGCCTCCTCCGTGATGGATGGCGTCGTTCACTCAACTTGAGGTTGTGTGAGGATAGCCCCCGTAAGTCTATATGAACAGAGCATCCTTTTTGTGCACCCAGCCAGCCAGACCCCATTGTCCTTCTCTTTTTTCTCTTAACCTCTCTGTGTTCGGCTCAAAGCAGCAATTAACAAAGGGTCCAATCCCCTGGACTGTCAACCCACTCCTTTGAAGTGAGCAGGACTGAGAAGGAACACTTCATTCATCTTTCAACAATACGGTCCATCTCTTGAACCCAGACAGGTGGAATGGGCTTCTGTTGGCCTTTTGGGATAAAGCACTTGTGCATCAGATCTGGACCATAATTCACCAACAACTTTAGGCCACCACATTACTTTTGGTTTGGAATGTTATCAAGTCATTCGCAAGATATACTCTTTCATCTTATTCTGTTATTATATACATTATTATCTAGAACAGGGTTAGGGATAGATCCTGTTTGATGTGTGTTATTCTCCTTTTATTCTGCTGTGATGTGCACAACAAAGACCTTGAAATGTCTCCACTGAAAGACGAATAAGAGTTAACCTTATTTATCCATGCGAAACAAAAATAGTAATACATATTAACCTGGTTGTTCACATACAATCCAATTTATGCTTGTGTAGCCCTAAATCACAAGAGTAATTATCTGAGGACTTAACAAAACCCTTTAAATCACCAACACAGATCAGAAAATCAACAGTTATGAATATTGATAAATGTCCATACATGTTGTAGAAAAGTGTCCTGGATCATCACCACATCCTTCTTGTTGGTCACTAACTGTCCAACAGACCCTCCTGCATCAGCAAGGAAAAACTCTGAAACCCAGTGGGGAAAAGTGGCCGTGTAGTTAAAAATGAAGTTTCGACAAAGCACTTTAATGATCTTGCACTTACTGAATGTGTTTTGGTTTCACAGTGTCAATATCCTGCTCTATTTCAGTTAGTTTTATTTCTGTACTTTTAACCTTGTTTATTAATGTATTGTCTTGTGCACACTGGGGACTTTTGCAAATGTATTCCAATGTAGTTTTACTGCAAATGGCAAATAAAATGAATCTGATTCTTGTATTTTCTTGTGGCAAGACAGGTCTACGGTCTGTACTCTTTTGTGAAATAATGTGTCAGTGGTTTGCTTTGGCCGGGGATGCACTCTTGAGTTGAGCTGAGTTCACTGTATATTTATGTCGAGTTCAATCATGTACATCAACAATTATTATCAGATATCATTTTCTAACATTAATAATTGCTTATTATAATATTGTACATCATTCAAACTCGAAATGGATGAATAGAATGGCAACACAAGACATATCTTCAAAACATACAAGTAATACATATATCGATATAAAGTGATGACTTTGGTCATTTGATGGATCGGCACGGCAAGACCGTACACAGTCACATCACTATCAACAAAGGGATCTTAAAGTGCTGCTCTGGGCACTCTTTAAATCATTTTGCACCACTAGGGAGATTGGTAAGCATTTCTCTGGCCCTGCTCTGGAGCCAATACATAACAAATGAAATTAAATTATTTCCTTACATTGATAGACAGCATTTGGCTCTTGGTCTCTGTGTGCGGGTGTTTTTCAGTTACAATGGGTTTGTTTATTTGTCATCCAACGACACAAGTTTGCAACGTCAGCAAATAAAGCAGCATCGACTTCACTTAGGAACACTTTTGCACAAATGTCTCTTTAAGATGTCAGAGCCAACGGTATATTTCCAATAGTGCTTTGATTGATGGCCACTTGGCTGTATTCAAAAGACTTATATACAATTGTAAAACACCAACATAATCAGTAATATAAACTTTTCAACCTCTCTAAAAAATATTGGAGGTTTTTATAATAATACTGTTTATTCCACTGGGTCAAACAATCGTTTTGATGTCGCTCAGTGCGCATTTGACCAAATCCATAAAGTAATGTCTTGTGTCATTTACATAATTTAACATTCTGTGATGCCCAATTTCACCACTAGATGGCAATCAACCCCCACCACGTCGTTCTCCCATCCCTGCCATACATTAACTGTCCAGAAATGCATAGTACAGCTACATTCATGACTTGTGAATACTCCCTGATGAACTTGGCCTCGCTTCAAGCTTCTCTAGCCTGCTTCTGTTTGTTGTTAGCGACGCCAGTGCTGATTAGGTATGTTGGCAGTATTAATATTGCTGAAAGACCACAGCAATCTTATTAAGAGGTTGCCTTATCTGCCTTAAAAGGGCCGTGATGTATGTTGTTGGAGATTGCTGGTTGATGGAATGAGTTGAGGCAGCAGGAAGGAACTAGGAGGATGTAGTGTCTCTCCTCTTGTCAGATAATCAATAGAAGGACAGGGCTGTATAAGACATGGATGGATAAGCTGAAATTGTAAACTTAATGTAAGCCAAAAAAGTAGCTTGTAAAGTCTGAATTGCTTCTGTGATTGCACTATTTCCTGCTCCAAAAGTAGCTCATGCAGCATCCCATTACATTTCGTGCAGACTGTGATGGAAACGGCTGGCACAAATCCTAATCATTGATCTATATCCAGAGTTAATAGCTGGCTTAGGTGGGATTTAAAGGTCCTTCCAAAGAGGGCTGTCACTTTGTTGGACAACTGAAGGATTTCTTATATGGCACACACCTACAGATATGGTTTCTATTGGTTATTAGACAAAAACAAGCTTATCCCACTTGATATGTAGCTCAGATCCTATTATGTACAAGCTCTACCCCCAGTCAAGATCCCTCCTGTGCTTTCCAATACACTGGGTATGTCACGTTGGTCTCCATCTAACTAAGTACTTTCATAACTGTGCCCAGTCTAGTGTAAAAAAAAAAGACCACCAAAACAATCTTATGCAATCTTCAACCCATGTTTGTATTGGGCCATTGGTCAAGACAAGAGTCAGGACTGGCTCAACCTCTATATATACTCTCTTGAAAAGGTGACAAAGTTTGTTAAGTGATGATGGAGTTAAGAAGAAGAGAAAAAAAGAACGACCTTATAAATATCTCATGAGTGTCTTTGTTGCTGAACGTGCGAGCACTAAACGCCAGCTTGCATCAGTCCACTTTTGGGACCGCTGGACCTCTCCGTGTGTTTCTTCGGGTGTATACGGTTGTGGTGTGGCAGTCAGCGCTTGTTGGGCACTCCCCCCCCCCTCCCCCTTCCCTCCCTCTCTCTCTCCCCCCTTCTTCTTTCCCTCGCTGCACTTGACTTAAATTCGCTCTAGTGCGCGTCATCCCTTTTACGCACTCGCCACCACGCATCGCAGGCTACACTTGACAGCGTTTTTGGACCCCACAGTATGAGATAGAAACCCAGGGAACACAGCTCAGCAGCAGCAGAAACAGCAGCAGAAATAGCAGTAGCAGCAGCAGCAGCAGCAGCAGCACCCCTCCCGTGTGTTTTGGGGACTTTTTTCTCCTTTGAGCGGAAGGTTGGATGCTGTCAGAATGAGCTGAGGGTGAGAACAGAGCGCTGTATTTTGGCACACAGGGGGATGCACCAGTTTAACCCTCCGGACTCGCCCATTCTGAGCTCAGCCTAAAAAAAGAAAAAAAAGAAATAAAATATAAGTTGTAGAAAGGGGATGCGCGATCACTGTACTCCCACGGATCTGCCTCTCTCCGCGGGTTCTCATCAACTTGGACGGCTGGTTTGCACTCATGCTTGCAGCGCAGGGGCACGTAAGGTACGGGCCATCTAACGCCCTCACTTTGCACGTCGGGGGAGTGCGTTTGGCGGCGTGATTCCGCTCGCTATCGTCTCTCTGAGTGCCAGCTGCAAGACTCTCAAGTCCAAACTACTTTTTTTCTTTTTCGAGATGTGAGATTTTGCTGGCGAATCCTTTACTCTCTCTCTCTCTCTTTCCTCCTCTCTTCACCTGTCCTATGCTAGCCGCCGCGGGATTGCAAGAAGAAAATGGTTTTGGCATAAAGTACTTGTGGAGACGCCTGTCACAGAGAAGACCGCTGCTGGAGTGGACAGGGTGGATGGTGATTCCCGAAACACTTCAAGCCTATGTCTGCTGCATTCGTTTACTGGAATCCTCGCCTTGTAGTGTCTTCAAAAACAGCGCAAGAGGAATGCTGGTCCAAGATCTAATGCCATTTACATTAAGTTTTTGGCCTTTTTTCTTCGGTCATTGCCTCCTCTCACTGCTTTTACTCTCATGCCAGGTAAGCATCATGCCCCTCTAGCATATTCAATGAAAGCTGGAGTAGGCAGAAAGCAAAGCAATATAGCCTCAGTGCCATCTTTAAAGCACTTTGCACTCACTTCTGCTCCCTGATGCTTGCTGATGTTGTTTGTTAAATGAAGCCAATTAGTGCAGATAAAAAGATACATAATAATAACCAAAACATGGAGAGGGGAGGAAAAAAAAGTTTCAAATCCAAAAAACTGGATGAAGCTTGCAAGGGAGATGTTGCAGTAAACATTAAGGCTTTGTTTTTGTGCAGATTGAGTCACAAGCAGCACTAGCACCTGTTTCAAAGAAAAGCCAGTGTGATATGTTATGCATGAGGAAAGGCAGACAAGTGTGTTTTTGTAGTGGGAACCTGGAGTGTTTTCATCATAACAGCATTCCCATCCGGATCCCCTGTTGCAAGCATATGCTACTGATGAGTATTCTAACCTTTGCCCCACGCTGCTGCCTGCCTCCAGATAGTGGTGAGCTGTTGTTCACACACGCACAGTACTGCCAGGGTTCATGTGTAATGTGATCTGCCTGAGTTTCCAAGTCCACCCACGCACACTCTCCTCGGGGCGGCCTGCTGCCCACTCTGTTGGTGGGTGGTTTCTTGCAGGGAGCCACAGACGTGCTACTATTCTGCATTTATTATGAAAAAAAAACAACATCAGCAGCAGCAGTCTGTCAGCACTGCAAACAAACAAGATCTGAAGTTGATGTGATGCATGATGGGAGATCTTCTGCCTTCTGTTTACTATGCTCTATTTTATTTTTTATTTTTTTTACCTTGGTGTGTTTTATTAGGGAGAACTCCAGAGGTCATGCTCACAGACTGTGGCGGAGAAAGTTAGTGACCAGTGCCATCTGGCGTGCCAATGTAGAAGATACCCTCCTCTTCCTCCACCTCCACCTCCTCCACCCCCTCCGCGGCTACTGGCCCCCTCAGGTAACTCACACCCGCCATCGCACCTGTCTGTCTGGCCCCTGGATGCCAATGACCATGACGATGAGTAATACCAGTGCCCTTGTTGTCAAAACGTATCAGCGTTGTTTTAGTCACGCAGCATATGGCACATGATTCCTTCACAGGGGACAGTTGTGGAGCACGTACATGACTGTCACAGATGGTTGCCTTTATGATTCATATCTTTCTTATTTTTTCTTTCATTCTTTTAACTCTAAAATCTAAAAGTTAATAATATGATATACATAGACACTCATTCTTTGCCTTGATGTGCTTTTGCATTTTATTACGATTGTTAGCTACTTTTAGCATTATGTTTCTGCTGCTACTTGACATCTGAATATCTCCAAGAGAGCAATAAAGTATCAATCTATCTATCCATCTATCCAGTGATTAGATTGTCCTTGTTCTTGGAGAGGTATCAGTTTTAGCCAAATACTTACCACATCTTTAGTTGTGTAACATTTGTGTCGTGTGTGTGTGTGTGTGCGCGTTTGTGTTTGTGTGTGTGTGTGTGTGTGTGCGCGTTTGTGTTTGTGTGTGTGTGTGTGTGTGTGTGTGCGTATAGAGCCTGCAGGATGGTGACAGTTCATCGTAGACCTAATTTATGCTAGCCCTGCCTTTGGGGAGTACCCAGCTGTTTGTGAAATTCTTGCCTGCTGGGTTGCCAGACTCAGTGGATCAGTATGCTGGGGTGCCCCCCCCCTCCGCACCCCCTTCCTGGAGGACCCCTGATTAAAACACAGATGACTTAATTAAATTAGCTTTCATTTGCTTGAATTAAGTGGCTAATGAACCACACTCAGCACTTGGTTTTTGAAGTTGAGCCGGAGGCAGTCGGTCTGTGTTGTTGTTGTTTTGTACACGGAATCAGATTTTAATTTTTTTCCGAACATGCATTTCTTCTTCAAAATGGAACATAATCTCAGCCGCTTAGCAATTACACCTACATTTATCTACTTCATCATTCCTTCAAATCGTACTTTTAAACTCCTATGTGTTCACTGTGGTCCGTGTGTGTTGCATAAGTGTTTGTGGCGTGATCCCTGCCTCAGTGTTTTTTCGCGTGTGTCTGCCTCCGAGCTGTTGTGGCTACTGCTGTTTCTTACCTCTGTGAGTGAATAACTAGTGTCTCTATTCAACGCCCTGCCATTGTGATATTGTTCAGTCACTTATAATAGCGCTTTGAGATCTACCAAACTTGAAAGGACACAATAAATCACAATGATTTTGGTCCCGTGCATGTGATTTGTGTATTAATTACCAGTTTGTTACAGCTTCTTCTTTTCTGTCCGACCGCATTGACGATAAGCAAACATATTTCACTTTGCCGCCCGCTGAAAGATGATGGGATTTGAATGTCTTCCCAAGCACCTTAATGAACTGAGCCCTGATATATGGGACAGGGGTTGCTGATGATGCAGCCATTTTGAGCTATCACGGTGACACTTAAGAATGGCTTTTCCCGAGCCCTTAGTATCATGAGGAAGGAGGAGTAGATCCATCATCACAAAATCACAGACCGCGGTGGAAAGGTTTTTAATCAATCAGTTCCAATGATTTTTTCTGTCTGGTCAATTTAGATGGACCCTTTTCCCCTGACTCACCATTCTGCTACCTCTGTGGGCCGTTGTTGTCAAGGTCAGTGGCTGGAGCTGCCAGGGCCATCTGACTGAGGCGAGGTGGGGGTTTAACTGGCTAATTAAGGCTCACACATGAATGAGGGCACGTCAGCAGCCACCTGTGTGAGCAGCAATGTTGGAGAGATTGGACACACTATAATGGGATATCATAGTCAATCTAGAGTGAGCAAAATCACCCTGTAATCCTCACTGGCAGATGAGGGGGTGAAAGGAGACAGAATATTATATGTCTGTATAATCAGCGGTACAGGTAGAACTTCAGAAATCCCTCGAGCCCTCTTTTGGGTGCTGCAGGGTGATGATGTGTTTGTGGACTTCTGAAACATCAAGCCAAGCGCAATGTTGAAATACCTCAAAAGCAGGATTCTCGTTGGCGTCTTACTCCAAGGGAATTATCGCTGATTTTTCATAGTTTTGAGTCTCCTACTATCCAATGGTAAGATTTTTGCATGTACTGCTTGTTTAGAGCAGGGATGTCAAAGTCAAATACATCAGAGGGACAAAAAAACAAAAGTGCTACAAGCCGAGGGCCGGACTGGTTCTATGTTTATTAAAATATAATAAAATGATTGTAATTACACATTCAACCCAGACCTTGCACTGTACTGTATTTTATTCAATGATTCAATTAATAATCAAATATCATTAATTTCAAGTGAAAACATTTTTCAACCGGCTCACAGACAAAAACAAGAGAAAACACATGTCCTGAACATAAATTGAATAATCCAATATTTTCTTATGGCTCTGTGTGGGCCGGTTCTAATAGTAATCAAATATCATCCCGGAGGCCAAGATAATTAATTCGTGGGCCGGATCTGTCCCCCGGGTCTTGACTTCGACACCAATTGTATATAGAGGATACTTTTGTTTCATTACAATTTGGACTTAAACAGGAGTTTCTCATAATAGCTATTAGAATAACAGTGGAGTTTAGCCTTTAACTCACCGAAGCATGTTTGCACTGGGAGCAGACATCATGCATAATTCCCTCATAAATTACATTATAGCCATTTATCCTAATCACCACTTTCTTTTTCTCTTCCTTAAACAGTCTTTTAAATGCAATGAATATGCAAATGTAAAAGGAAAGTGGGACAATGACAGAGACCGTATCTATGAGATAAAGGTCTAAAAAGCTTCCGAGTGCTTTCAAAGGAGTAAGCTTTAGCACTATACCAAGTCCTTTCTAACTACCAACTAAATGAAATCCCTCCAACAGTTACAGGATGTTGGAATGGGATGTTACTTTTCATATCAGAAGTGTCTATATGGTCTTATGTGTCTGGATTTGGTCTGGTTTGTATTTGTTGGACTGGTTAAAGTGAGTGGATTCTCCCTGTGTCATTCAGAGCATAGCGATCGTAACACATGATCCCGAGCGCTAGAGTCGAGAGCTGCTTGGAGAAAAAAAAGGTGATTGTTGTGCATTACTGCCTGGATGTTGCAGTTGCACTTAATCTTATACAACAATACCGGTGCGTGGTCGTACTCTACAGATCTAATGTGGAAAGAGCAGCAGGTTTTTCCCCCTCCCGGAGTAATGGTGTGGACAAGAGTGCTGGTGTAAGGAATGCTGACGGGACCTTAAATGATTCATGTAGTTGGCTTGGATATCTTTGAACCGAAGACCTACTGTACAGACAAGGACACTTCCCACCTCGGGGAGCACGTGCAGTTTGCCACACTTCCCCTGCTAAGGTAAAGGACAAATTGGAGAGCAATAGTTACAGCACATGACACCTCACGGGGAATCAACAATTGAAGCTTATGTGGCTTGAAACTAAATCTAGAAATGGGCTGCAGGTATTTCTGTGGAAGCTCTTGTTTTTATATAAATCTGGAGAGACTCGAACAGACAAAACATGTGTATTTATTTAGGGCTGTCAAAATTATCGCGTTAACGCACGTTAATTCATTGTTTTCATTAATCGCGTTTAAAAAAGTAACGCTTGTGTAGAATGTGCCGAATGACCCGCCCATGCATTCCATAATAACACTCAGAAGTGACGCGGACACATCATGGATCTATTATAATAACACATGCATGTGAGATGATGACAGAGCAGATAGGCATTAGTTAGCATTAGCACAACTGCTAAAGCTGTACAGAAATCACTGATGAAATGGTAAAAAGCAAAGCACTGCTAACAAAATATACGGTACAATAAGTGAAAGATTACCGCTAGTTTCGCGTCCAAAGTTAGTCCGAGGCGGTTCCGCTCCAGCAGGTCTCTCCAGAGGATACGATGTAAGCTAGCTATGTTCTTCTTTGATCATTTTTTTGCTTTAGTTTCCTCTCCTCCTCCTCACTTTTGCGTCTTTTGGGCTGTTTTGGGCTGTTTTGTTGTCTGCAGTTACAGCCAGGTATAGCCACTCTCTGCTAACATGCTGCTCTTGTTTCGATGCGCTGCAGACGCTAGAAGAGGCGTGGCCTGGGAGAACGATTGTTACGCAAAGTTTCTACTCAGCACTTTTTATGGCCTGAATTCGTACACAAGCTGAATCAATGAGCTCAATTGATCAATTCATTTAATTTAATACAAGTTTTAATGCAACTTAGAAAAAATACTGTCTACTACAGAAAGTGAATAATGTTGATACCGTTTTTTGTGGATTTATTGTTATAATAAACAAATACAGTACATATGTACACTATGTAGTCATCTATCTTTCCATTCAAACAACCATTTACAGAAAAATATGGCATAATTTTGCCGATAGTTTGAAATGTGATTCATTACAACTAATACATTTTTAAGCTGTAGTTAACTCGATTAAAAATTTTAATCATTTGACAGCCCTAATATTATTAGAATTGTACGTTCATTGGCAAGTAATTGGACACTACATAAATCAAAATGACTCTGAGGACAATATTTTCGAGATTACATTCATTGTGCTGTACAGAATGTGGTTAGGATTTGGTGCTTAGACCCCGGAAGAGCACTGTACGATTGCAGAAGGGGTAACAGATTATGAAATGAAAGAGCCAGCCTGGAACGAGGCGGAGATGGGGAGGAGGAGGGTTGTGGCATGAATGACGCTGCTGCTTGGATAGAGCTTCTGCGTGATATGAAGCTTAATGCGGACAAGGCCTGATTGCTGCAGGTGAGGATGAAGTGTGATTGACTGATGCTGTTGCCGTGAAACAACAATGGGAGGACTTGAGCGCTGTGAACTTCAATGCAATTCAATTACATTTATTCTTGTATTGCCCTAAATCACAACATTAGTTATCTTGGAGGACTTTACACAACCGTTGATTTTTTTCAGCACAGATCAGAGAATCAAACAGTTAAAACACAAGAAATTGAACAGAAAACACATAGGTATTGGTTCATGGCAGGGGCAGATGACCAAAGTCTGTAAGTGTTGATACATGTTGAGTGTCCTGGATCATCACCAATGTCCTTTTTGTTAGACCTCACAAGACTCTAACAGACCCTCCTGCACCGGCAAGGAAAAACTCTAAACCCAGTGGGAAAAGTGAGGAACCTCGGGGAGCTTAGTTCTTCCTCTCTGAATGTCCACTTTAGCTTCATACTGTATGTACTGACTGATCTCTCTGGTGTCGCTGTGTACTGCCGCCTGATCCGGGTTTGGACAATACATGTGTCCCATCCAATGAATCTACAGTTGTAGTAGTAGTAGTAGTAGTAGTAATCTTTATTTATATACCGCCTTTTCACTGCAGATCTGAGTCTCAAAGCGGTTTACAATTGTTAATTTTGGGCATTTGTCTCTCACTACACACAGAGATGGGAGCGGGGTCGCCAGTACAGGAGGCGCATGCCAGAACTATTGGACATATTTTTAGTGGTAGGGGAAACCGGAGTACCCGGAGGAAACCTACGCAGACACAGGGAGAACATGCAAACTCCACTCAGAAAGGCCCTGGTCCGACTGGGATTCGAAACCAGGACCTTCTTGCTGAGAGGCGAGAGTGCTATCCACTCAGCCACCGTGCCGCCCGGTGTTTTGTACATGTTTTGTTTTCCATGTAATAACTTGGAGTATTATATATTATTATGATTATTATATTTGATTATTATTGTATGAGATCTGATTTTTTTGAATGAACGGGCAAAAATGGAAAGATCACAATCCTAAGTTTAGTAGATCAGTGTTTCCCAATCTTTTCGAACCATGGCACACTTTTTCATTGAGAACCATCATATGATCACACAAGTGATACAAAGTGATACAAACTTGAAACTCTGAATCCTTTTTTAACAATATCAACTCATTCTCATCAAAGTTTATTATATAGCACATCAAAAAGTCTTTCTAATCTTCTCGCATCCTTTCCATTTCCCATATTTTGACCTGTAAGGTGATATTGGGTAATTTAATTGTTTCTGTCTCATTCTGTTCAGCACTTTGAGTTGCCTTGTGTATGAATTGTTCTATACAAATAAACTTGCCTTGCCTCGTTTCCAAAGGCACAACAAACAACATATCAAAGCACACTAACAGGCCACGCCCCACTGGTTGAAAAACACGGTAGTAGATCGCCATTATCAACACCTGAATTAAAATGAATAGTCTTCTGTAATGTGGAAGTAACAATGCGATCCTGTCAGACCTCAGAAGCTAAGCAGGGTAGGGCCTGGTTAGTACAGGGATGGGAGACCAACTCTTGGCCTAACAAATTGTTTGGCTCTTTACCCATCTTGCCTGTATGAGTCTGGTGTGTTGGTTGGTGGTTGTTGGAGAGGCTGATGGCACAGACGGTTTGCCTCTGTCCCAGGGCAGCTGTGCCTGCTGTGTATGGAGTGAATGAATAATGTTATATGAAGCATCTTTGGGCGTCAGGAAGAGCGTTATGATTGGTAATCTCCTACTATCAAACTATCATCGCCTTTTACTGGGTTTGGCCTAAAGGACATTCCCAGTTGAAAAAGTTTGATTTTATTCATGTCTTATAATTTCTTTTGTTTCAAGGAAGTAAAATGGCGATACATTTATTTTCCCTGATCGGAAATAGATTAAAGTGAGAAACAAAAAAGGGTGTTCCATTCAGGCTGAATTCATCTTTTTGTATTTTGTGATTAAATATTTCTTTGCTAAAGGTGTTAACACTTAGAGGTTATGTCAGGAGATCTGCTCAAAGAATTGACATTGCAAGTTTAGTGATCGCTATTGACAAATTGTAACAACTACAATTATGTAAGTCCTTGCAAAACAAAAAAGGGACTAAAGAAGAGGAAAAATCACATAGATTTGTGAAAATGTCTCTTTATTTGAGTTTATTGTGAAGGATCTTTGGTCTTGTCTTGTGGTTTTTTTCTGAAATGAGGTCATCGCTTCCTCAAATTGAATTTTGTATTTTTACTTTGAACACTTTTTTTCTGAACTTCTGAACTTCTGAACACGACGTATCGACAATCTCTTTGTTGGTTGCCGTTGTTTGCTAGAATTAAGCAGCCCTGGATATCAGTAACTTTAATATAGTTAAGTTATAATGTAATCTATATTTCCGTCTCTGGCCCTCTACTATAGTGAAAAATAAAGTAAAGGTCTACATAAAAATAAGTATAGTTCCTTATCCCAACACATAACCACCACCAGTAATGTACAGAGAATAGTTGAACCAATGGGGACAGGGCTCTCTTCATAAATAACTGGCATTCACATAATCAGAATACCATTACAGAAGATTTTTTTTGCATTTATGGTTTCTATATTTGTGTATGTTTTCAGCTTTAATGATGCTTTCTTGAACGATTTCGTTTTTTGCTATGTTGGAGCTTATTATTGTGTGGGAAGAGCAAAAATTCTCAATCTCTGTAGTGTCTGACCATTCTCTATATTTCATTTGTATGTGAAATATACAACCTCATGTGTCACTGTCTCTTTACTTTTACTTACTCATTTGTGCAATAAAAACTTGTCAGAATGTGCAATACAATACAACTACAGTATATATTTCTTGCTGTAGAATACACAGTACGTAACGTTATACTTGCTTCTTATCATGCCAAAGGTAGAGACTTATACTTCTTTATTATGCTAAAATCAGAGTTTGTGTACTCAAACTGAAGATAAGAGATTTCACACATGTTTATTCAAGAGTTATTGTTCATTTATCTTGTGCCGTGTGCTTCTGATTTCTACTGTCCTGTGACTGGTGATGCAACACTGACTTTTCCCCAGTGTGGGACGCATAAAGAGTCTCCTAATCTTAATCGTATTGTGGAGAAACATCATTTAAAACTGAAGCATGTGCTGATGTTGTTGTTGTGTGTTGTAGTGGTGGAGCCCATGGAGCCCCTCGTCCGGCCCTGGTGGTCAGAGATGGACTTTATAGTGCTGGGAACGGTGGGCTGTGCCTCTTTGCTCTTCCTGCTGTCAGCCATCATCATCTGCTACAAGGCCATCAAGAGGTGGGTGTCACAACGACTTCATCACGTCCACACGTCTGTAGCGTCTGCACACTCCACCGGACCGAGCGCCTGCGTCTGAAATATGACCAAGTGAAGAAGATTTGAAACAGGAGCCCTAAGGGACGGCTTGTCTACGATGTCATGTGTAATACGGCCTGTGGCACACTGCAGCGGGGTCTGGTGTCTGAGGGCTGCCGCGACCCCGTTCTCACCCGATTAGGTCACGGCGAGGGCAGAGGGCGCTTAATGAAATAGACAGGAAATGTCAAACGAGAAGATCCACTGCACCACAACATGCTGTGGACTACATAACACAACATTGAGGAAAAAGCTGCGAGATTGCTTTGCCCAGAGCGATCTCGTAGACCTAGACCCAGTTTGGAGTGTGACATTGAGTTGGTGCCACAACACACATGCACGGCGACACGTGTTAATGGCCACCTCTGGTTAGCAAACACACAGAGCATAGCACTCAGCGGTTCACGTCATAGATCATCCTGGCATGTTAGCACGCTGGACCAAAGATGGAAGACACATGAGCAGTTGTTTAGACGTGTGGTACTGTTTAACCTGGCCACTTTAAATCTCTGGGTTATGGACCATTCTATGAGTTATCTATGACGATTTATTATAATCATGACATTTTTCTGTTGAGTTTGGCAAATATGGCTTTTCTGATCATCACTCCCAACTTCCTTTCGGTATAACAAAAAAAAATAGGCAAAGTAAGGTTGCGGAAGTAATGGGTGGTTGGTTCAGGAATTCATTATTAGGGCATCCAGCTCCTTGTGAAGCCAAGGGTCACCTTTTAATGCAGCTGTGGTAAGAAAGTGTTGTTGTGATACAGGCTCTAGCACCAAACCCAAGTCATTATTTATGAATTAATTTGCACAGTCATTCAGTGCCAGGCCGCATCTTTTATACATGCGAGCAGGTCGTGTCCTGAAGCTGGGAGGCTGGAGACAGCAGAGTGCGCCCGCCTGGCCACGCGGCCTTTTCTGTGAATGAGGAGATCCAACCAGTCTCTCTCATTAGCTCATCAGCCAATAGGAGCAGAGCAGCAGAAATGTCACTCTTTTACATTTGCCATGGATCTCCTAATGATGTATTGGTGTGCAGTAGAAGAGCAGGATAAACAGCGCAGCAAAGACCATAAAATGTCCTGCGATGCCAGCACTGACTGTAATTAAGCAGAGGAGTCAATAATATGCGAGAGGCTTTGTCAGTGAGAAAAGTGCACTGGTTATATATAGGCTCCAGCCCCTCATGCTCTGGGCTTTCCCAGTGAAAAAAAGCTGGCTGTGTGCCAACGTCTGAGCTGCAGACAGCTGAGGACCTAGCGCTGCGGGCTCCAGCCCTCCTGGCCTTTCGGTATTTTTTATAATCTGTGTCTGCCACTCATCTGTCAGGAGAAAAAACACTTCCATTCAATTGTATTCAAAGTGCAGACCAGCGGGAGGCGTGTGTGTAAGCAGACCCTCGCACACACGCTCTTGTTCCATCTAAAGCAGAGGGCATGATGCTGTAGTCTGTCACACATCCAACAACTCAAAACAAACAACTCCAACCAAGTCACTAATGAAGCACCATGCTCTTTACAGCACTTTGCAAGCTGTCCAAAGACAGAGAATACATCACAGCTGGTGCTGTCCGAGAGCAGCAGCGCTGCCCAAAGCAGAGCACATAAAAGAGGGATTGTTTGAACACATTATTAACATTTGCTACAAATGCCATGGTAATTGTTGCATTTCATTTTGAATGGCTCCCAGCATCATCTGATTCCACTGTTTTTTTTACAGTCAGTATTTTAAATTCTTTGAACCATATCATGCACAGATTTCCAGATGGCTGGAGTAATTGTAAACAGCTCAACACATGTCCCAATTTCAGAGTGATCCATTCCCAAACTTCAAACAGGAATGTGTGCTGTGATTGCACAGCTTTCTTATGAAATATTCATCCAACCTGTGAAGTGTTGTGTTGCCACCTGCCATGTGTCAACAGCATGCCATCTATTATTGAAGGGTCTGGGTAGAGGTCGGCCTGGCGGCACAGTGCCACTGCCCTGTGTGCTGGCCCTGTGTGCTGGCCCGGAGCGGGCGCTCAGTCTGGGATCACCCTCAGACAGAAACAAACAGCACCTTCAAGCAGCCGCTGTGACGAGTGTCAGGGACGCGCCTGGTCAGAATGCCAATGAAACATCCTCTTATGCAACCACACTTCTCTCCTCTCACTTTTAAACTTTGAGCTGGTGCTATATTAACAATACCCTCTGCAAAATCATTGAATCTTTTGCTGATGCTCCTGCACTGCTGACCATTAGCCCATTACAGACACAACAGTGACCACATCATCAAAGACCTCTGCTAAAGAAACAAACACATTTTAGACAAAATAAGACACTACTCAAACATTCATTTAATGATTATTACAGACTTGTGTTGTCAGTATATTCACATTTCGTAGATTCAGATACTACTGAAGAGGCTTTATAACATGCTCTTTCTTGTACCTTGAGCTTTCATTATGATACAAAATACTAGTATATTGACATCGTGTTCATTTGTTTTTAGCATTTTGACAGCATTCTTTTACTTCCCTTTTAGTTTAGATATTGCTTTGTACTTTTATTTTTTTCATACATAATTAAAATGTATTAAGAGTTATTCTCTAAATATTCACAGCTACTAATCTTGTTTCGAGTGCTTCTTATAATCCTACTATTCATGTAATGTGCTTCAACACTGAACATTTCCCTCTGTGGGACAAATAAAGGCTCTTTTACATTTTAATCCCAATATTTTTAATCCTATTTTTAGAGTGATTTAACATCTAATTGTCTATTGCTCTGACAACCGTTATACAAGCAATAGAAAGAAAGGCACTATATACTTCAGCTACGACAGTCACTGAAATAGTAGCAGCACAACCACGGAGTCAGATAAAAGTTGCCGATCCATTGGGAATGCTTTCAGAGGAGCTCAGATGGAGACAGGGTGGGTGTCAGCAGTGACTTTCCAGTAACAACTCAGAGGCAGCCATTTTGAAGTCTGACAGCAGGACGCCGATTGTTGTACAGGTGTTGAGGCAAGTGGAGCAAACAGCAGAGCACATCTGAGCACTCGAGCTGTCAAAGAAACACACCACAATAAGCACCGCAGAAAACCTCAGCACGAGCCGGAGGAAAAGTGATGCAGAATAATAAGAATAGGGCTGAAACAACAAAGATTGGCTCACACCTTAAGATAAGATAATATTAGATAAACTATATTGATCTCATAATGGAGAAATGTACAAGATACATACATGACATCAATAGGATCACTCTGCGTGTGCAAAAGTCAGGAAAAGTTGATAATAAAATGTAATGTAATGATCATGTTAAAGAAGTGGAATGATCTGTGGAGATAAAGGTCTTTCATGTACAATTAAAAAGGGACTTAGCAAGTTTGCGGATCGTCATTAAGTGACTAAAGCAGGGGTGCCCAACCTTTTCTGACCCAAGGTCTACTTTTTAATTGGCAAATCTCCAAAGGTCTATCAGTCCAGCGTAAACATCAAAACCCCACATTTACAGCTGTTACAAACAACTTCTTCACACAACCATTAAACATCAGATTATGAACACAGAAAGCTGGCCTTTCAAATCCCTCGCTTTGGTGGCGTGCAGTGCCTTTTTTGCGGGAAAATCCCTCTCATAGCTCGCGTGTACCGTTCGAAAATGTTGCTCCAGGTTCGCTTTCTTTGCCAATGCCATTGTCGTATTGCAGCCCAGACAAATAAGCTTTGAATGAGAATAAACCAACAATTTTTTTCCCTCCCTTTCAGGATGAAAATGATAAGTTTTGGCTCTTTTCCCCTCAGCCATGCTAGGGTTTAGCAGCGATTCAACAGCTCCGACCCGCTCCGATCTGGCTAGCCACAAACTAGCCGCTGCTGTTGTCCACAGGTTGGGCCCCCCTGGATTAAAGTATTCTCATGTCTCTGTCTAGAGCTGATGTATAGTATCTATACGAGAATTACTTTTTACTCTTTCTGCAAAGATTACACTGCATTGTTAAAGGTATATAGGAAGATTGTCCCAAATGTTAAGAAAAAACTGCCCCCTCCACTTTAAAAAAAAAAAAAAAAAAACCACTCCCTGGTCTCGTTTGACGAGCACGTATCATCAGAATGATTGACAATTAGGTGCACCAATAGTCGTGATGATCCACCCGGCAGTAGAATATCCTCCTGTATACAGTACCTTTAAGGCTTCCAGAGTAAACCAAAGCCACAGTCTTATAGTTTATAAATCATTATAGTGTTTTCCAGCTCCTCAAAAAAGTATTTGTGGATAGATAGATAAATACATTATTGATCCCTGTAGGAGAATTTCAGGTGTCCACATTGCAAGTACTTAGTTAAAATACAAGTTAAAAATACAGTTAAAAATACAAGAAATATCTCCCTTGGAATGAGAAAATAAAACTACAGTTCTTGAAATAAGAATAAATGGCTTTGTCCCATTGGCAAATAGTGTTTTAACACAATCAAAATTTACTCAAATGAAGATAAAAACACTCGATTCAAGCGATTATGACCTCATATGTAATCATTTTCTGCAGTGCAGCAGCAGAAACACATCCAAACAAACACATAAGTACTGTACATCCATTATAAATGTTTGTCACTAACTATAACTGAAAACCTTTTCACATTATGCTTTTGTTACGACCTCAAACATTATTTTGTTTGTTATTTTTGTGTGAAAGACCGACTCAGAGAAGCTGAGAATGTCTATAAGAAACTGCCAATCATCAATCATCATCAGATGATTGATGAAGACTCCGATGTGGTCAAACTATTTAGTGGAGTCCACCAGAGTGTAATCTAATCTCAGTATAATTGCAGCTGTTCTGTTTGTTTTGTTTTTATTCAGATCCCCATTAGCTACTGAAAGAGACAGTAGCTATTCTTCCTGGGGTCTATATACTTCATGTCACATAATATAACGTACA